ACATATTATTGCAGGATCAGGCTGGAGTCGTGGCACAGCGTTTGGCGTCCTGTACTGTGATCCCGGCGACCAGAGTTCGATTCCAAGACTAACCCTGGCTCATCTCCCTTCACCAACACACAGAGCGTGGTGAGGTATGATATAAAACAATTCAATGTGACTATCCCAGCAGTGGACTGACAGGGAGAATGTATAAAACATACATGTCATTCCTCTACGAACTTTGAAGCTGATTTTGGCTCAGGAGAAACTACATTTTACAACGGTTGTGCAATAATGGGGCATCTTGATCGACAGTTCAAATTCTTCAAAGATGTTTGTGATCTCCACAACGTGAACAAAAAAGAACGCCTTTTGGCGTCCTCTGGTCTAACACCGTTTGAGACTAGGCTCGAAAGAAATCTGTCTCTGGTGTGGACCAATTAGTTTCAAAGACAATGCATATATACAATTTCGATTTAAAGCTTTCGTGACTGCAGGGATTCATCTTCTTGGGTTTTTCGGTAAAGTCACGTAGAAGGGAAATAATAAAATAATGAAAATAAAACATAATAAAATAATATAAAATATATAAAATTTCGATTTAAAGCTTTCGTGACTGCAGGGATTCATCTTCTTGGTTCTTTCGGTAAAGTTACGTAGAAGGGAAATAATAAAATAATGAAAATAAAACATAAAATAATATAATATTATATTTTCGGTAAAGTCACGTAGAAGGGAAATAATAAAATAATGAACATAAAACAATCAAATATTATATTATTTTATTATGTTTTATTTTCATTATTTTATTATTTCCCTTCTACGTGACTTTACCGAAAGAACCAAGAAAATGCATATATTATCAGAGTATGTTTTTTGTTTGCATTCTGACCACAAGTATTGTGGTTAATGCAGACATGATTCCTCGTAAAAGGTTTCAGTTTGATGTTTGAACATCTCTCTCTCTGGCTATTTGTTCTCTCTGCCTGTGTCCTCTCTTTGGAATTTTCACACTTAAATTCTAACTTAGCAATCTTTGAAATACGTAATCAACCAGGCTATGCGTTAATTGTGTGTTGACCGACTCTCTGTGTTGCATTACATCACATTTCGATATTTTGCGAGGTTATTTAATTTTAGTGTGTCTTTCTCCTAATTTTCAAGCTTGCATGCCGTGCCACGTCGTCATCTTACTTGCGCAGCAGCAACACGTTGTCGTCCACTCATTGATATGCTAATTTTCTCTGCCCCCTCCCTCTCTCCGTCCCCGCCCCCCCTCCCTATATTTAAGGGACCGTCACAGAAACGACCCCTCTCTCTGTGCCGATATGTGTCCTCTCTCTGTGTGTCCTTGTGATGTCTGTCTGCTTGTATGTCTGTCTATAGTTTTCTAGTTAGATTTTTGTTGCTATTTCTCTTATGCCTGATGATGATTGCTTGTGTTGCAATCGAAACGTCGCTATTATTTTAATTTATTATTTTATCTTTAGACGTGACTTAACCGAAAGAACCAAAGAATCTTAACACCTGTTTTGTTGCCAGAAAAAATGGGAAAACCTATTCTAAAAAAAAAACAGCTTATAAATCATATACAACAAAATATAGAAAGATACCCCATAGAGGATTTAACAGAATGTTTGGGCAAGTCATGTCGGTGAGCGCCTATGAAGACCAGCACGGCACACGTATCTGGAAAATGTCCAGAGTGCTAACCATTACACCACGGCATCATCGAATTGTTCTACTTAACAAGGAATATCATTAAAAAGTAATGTTTACATTAAATGGAGACACATCACACCCAGTCGTCTAGTCTCCCCAAATGTGTTATGTTCTACAGACGGCACCAGGCACTCATTCAAGAATGAATCGACCTAGGCAAGGCTCGGAAGCAATTCATATATTTGCTACTGTTATCGATCGTGAGTGGGAATCGAATTTGGGTAGCTGGGTTGGTAGCACAGTGCGATCACCATTACACTACTGCTCCCCACTATATTTATATCGTATATACACATACACACACGCTACACTTGGCAATAATAACTCCCTTTTATGAATTACAACTTCGTGAATGACATCACCTGTAAATCATACGAGTTATTAATGTCAGCCACCGAAAGCACTCCCATGTGGGAATCTTACATTTTTATTACCTAGTACTGATTATTCTCGGCTGTTTTAAGTTGCAAGGTGCTACACGTTTGTGCATTTTTTTTTGAATTCACCGTTCAACAGTCCGAATGGCTGCTTCTAAGTCTTAAGTTGCTGCTGCTGTTGTTGTGGTGAATTTTCCTTTTAAAATTGTTTCGCTGTTACATTTTTTTTTCAATGCTTCATTTTTCTGCATCCTCCTTCTACTCCCCCTGCTGACCCCTTGATAAATATATATTTTTAAATCTCAATTGGTCCCTACCCCGGGTGAACAAAAATAACGCGGTCATCCTTTTCACGAGGAATTCACATGTGGCCCTGCGTCTCTGCCACTCTGCTTTTGCAATCAGGCTGCGCCCTCTGATGGTAGTTGGCTGACACTGCCACCTAAAGTCGACCTGCTGCTACTTCAATTCGAAAACTAAAAACACGTGCGTCAACAACACAGACACAATATAGGCGACGTTTCGGGAAATGTCCCTTCTTTATGACACAACAGAGAGATGATATATTTGGTCTCTCCTCTGGCAGTGTAATGTGTTGAAATGTTTATTATCTGTGCTTGTGGACCGCTCCCAAGGCAGTATATCACGAAACATTTCATTCCAATTCAAGAAGACTTTAAATACCTTTAGCGAGCAGCCACACGTTAACACAAACCTCGGTGTTATCCAATAATAACTGGCAACAAAAGCAATAGCATGCGTGTAAAGCCGAGTATAAAGTGGCACTCGTCGTTAAAAGATTGACTGAGCGAGCCAAAGCTGCTGAGAATTGTCCGTTGGACGACAGTCCCCCCTCCAGTACCCAATTAGTGCCGCCAAGATGCTTGCAGTGACGGATTAAAACAAAATAGTTGATGGTCTCTACCTGCGTGGTTAGGTCGAGTGCGACCACGAGGTCACATTACGTTTGTTTCGTTTGTTATCCTTCCCCGCGCACCTCCGATTAACACGGTTGGTGGCTACGTACGGCGCAAAAGAAGTTCAACATACACACGTAGGTTCTCCACCCCTGAATTTACAGGATAAATGAAAAAATAAGCATTGCAGTTTTGCCAATTACAATCACGAGGCATTAAAAAAACCCACCGAATGCATCACTGTTTATTGTTCTTCTAAATCGAATCTCAATGCCCTCCATCAACATCAAAGGCAGCGTATTCGTGGCTTTATGTGAAAAGGGGACATCTCTGATGCAGAAGTATCAACAAAACACCACGATTATGTAAGGTTTTTTAACGTTTTTTCTAGGACGTTCTCCTCTCTCAGCCTCAGATGTAGGAATATCCAACAGGTACGGGTGCACATTTTATTTGATCCTGCACTCAGACACATATGAAACTCAACACATTCATCAATAACGCCACTTCCCTTCATGAAAAGAGCCATTCAGTAAAACGTCGCATATTATATATATACAATTTTTGGACAAATGTGTTGAGTTTTTGTTCGTTTTGCTTATGCACCACTGCCAACGAAGCATCACCACGTGATTTGTATCGGGTCAAACTTCAGGCATCTCGCCGACAAGCAGACTAGAACACAAATAGTACTCTACGTATCTGTACTTATATGCCCTTACTTTGGAACTCCTGTAAATAACAAACATTAATCTCCAGGTAGTTGCGAGTGGTGATATTTGCATATTACTAATTTATTCAAGACAGTGATGGTCCTTGCCAATAACGTCTGGCAGTTTACCAGCGCAGTGCTTTGAGCAGGTCTGACAGCTGATGAGTCACGGTGTGCTGAAACCAGTCTAGTTAGCTTGAACTGAATGCTGATTAAATTATACACTCGCAAGGCATGTGGTTACGTGGCCCAACGTTGGAACAAAGTTGGGTCAACGTTAATCGTTTACTGGGAGGCCTTGGGGCTGATGGGTTGACTAAAATAAACATATTTTACGTGGAACACGGAGGGGAGCTGGTAGGAACGTTGGGTTGCTCGGTCAATGGCCAGGGTCAACGGCGGCGTGGTGTATTCCGCAAATATGCCCGACTGTGAGGGCGGGCACAAGCCGGCGTGAGTAGGTTAAACGTTGAGTTTTATAAGCGTACCACGCGGTGACCAGCCCCTCCCCACCCAGCCCCACCCCTCCCATCCCCCACCCAGCCCCACCGAGCCCCTCCCCACCCTCCCCTCCCCACCCAGCCCCTCCCCACCCTCCCCTCTCCGCCCAGCCCCACCCCTCCCATTTTTGGATTCACGACGGACGGACGGACACAATAATCCCCTGTGGGCTGGTGGAACCAGGTGGTTCCTACCAGTAACAGGTTATATGAAGAAGGTATTGCTTATCTATTGTTATATTCGCAATAACTGTAACTTTACTGAGAACCAGGCATGTGTAGAGTGCGTCTGGGGCCCCCAACGCCTTATAATTGGGACAATACGGTATAGTGGTGGATGCGTCTTATAATCGAGACAATACGGTAATAGTGGTGAGTGCGTCTTATAATCGGGACAATACGGTAATAGTGGTGAGTGCGTCTTATAATCGGGGCAATACGGTAATAGTGGTGGTGCGTCTTATAATCGGGACAATACGGTAATAGTGGTGGTGCGTCTTATAATCGGGACAATACAGGCAATAGTGGTGGTGCGTCTTATAATCGGGACAATACGGTAATAGTGGTGGTGCGTCTTATAATCGGGACAATACGGTAATAGTGGTGGTGCGTCTTATAATCGGGACAATACGGTAATAGCGGTCTCGCTCTCCCTCGCACGTGCGCGTCCCGTCGCGTACACATGCCGCCACTTCCTGTTGCGAGTGACGTCACGTCCGGCTCCCCCTCCCCCACTTGGTGGGGTGGGGGGGGTGAGGAGCCCCCCCCCCCCCCCCCCGCATGAGAAGAAGAAGAAGATGGCGGCGCGGGTGAGGGACGGCGTCTCGCCTCGCTCCGCCGTCGCCTCCTCCTCCTCCACGCGGCTGCCCGCACGCAGCAGACTCGGCAGGCGCTCCAAGGACGGAGACGGAGGAGGCGGAGGCAGCGGCGGCGGCGGCTTCGATCAACGCGACGACGATAAGGAGAGGGAGAGCCGAGTTCAGGAGCAGCAGCAGCAGCGTCACCTCCACCCTGAGCAGCAGCAGCAGGCGGCGGCGGCGAGGTTGGTCGGGAGGCCGCGCAGTCGTCGTATCGGCGTGGGCTTCAGCTCGGACGAGAGCGAGGGAGAGGCGGGTGTGTCCCACCACCATCACCACCACCATCATCCCGTGTCCCCGTTCCCATCCATTCCGCACCCACCGCCGCCGTCGTCCCCTCACTCCCCTCCTCGCTACCAACATCCTCCTCCACCACATTCTCCCCGCAAGGCCGAGCTCAACAACGGCCTCAAGCGCGGCGACGCTTCGCAGTTCAAAGTCCCGGCGCCGTTGCCGAGCCCCAATGGCCGAGGAGGGGGTGCCAATGGGAACAGCAGCGGTAGCAGCAGCAGCGGCAGCGAAGGATATTCGGCATCCGAGGGCGAGGACGACGAGGGGAGGAAGCCCACTGGTGCCGCGAGGTTGCACGGGGACTCGAGGAGGCATCAACACCCTCGCCACCAGCACCACCACCAGCAGCAGCATCAACACCACCGGTTGCAGAGGCAGCAACAACAACAACAGCAGCAACAACAACAGCAGGCTGTGGGCAGAGGGCTTGTCAAGTCTTCTCCGGGCGTCCAGCAGAATCCGAGCGAGAAGTTGTTCGGGGCGCGTTACGTAGCTGATGGAACAAACGGCGGTGGAACTGGACGTGGTGTTGAAGTTGATGGCGTTGCTGGCGACGGAGTGGTGGCTGGTGGCGGTGTTGGTGGTGATCGTGCCACCAAGCAGGATGACCATCACGGCAACTGCGTGGTGCGAAACCGGCAGGTTGCGGGGTCAAGCGAGACCCACGCACCCACGGTCACCACCACCACCTCAACGTCCTCGTCGTCGTCTACTACAACCACCACCACCCCCGCGGACGCCAACCACTCTGGCAGCAACCACACGCGAGCGAGACGCGGCTCGGAGACTGAGCGGGAGCTGCTTCGCCAGTTCAAGGTGGAGGAGGGCGAGGCGGTGACCCGCCGGCGAGCCTTCTGTGCCCAGTACCTGTCCATGCTGCTCCTGCTGAGCACGGCTCTCTTCTTCCTGTGCCTCGCGTTCGTCTACGTGAACATCAGGACGGCGAGCGAAGCGACAGGGCAACGCCAGTGAGTTGTTGAGGCTGGGTGGCCGTGGTCAACGTGGGTTGGATGGGGTGGGGGGGGATGGTTGTGTATCTGTGCGTGTGTGTTGGACTTATTTCGTACCGTGCGTTAATAAGTCGGGGATGCGGGGAAAGACGACACGCCGAAGGCAAAAAGCAGTTCTAAAGAAAATGTTTTTTACAAATCTGGATTTAAAAGTGCATGGCTCCCAGTGGCTTCCTAATATCTGAAGGAAGAGAAGAATAGGACGGTCGGTTGTAGAGGCAGACGGAGATGAGATAAAGGAGGGTTAGATTAGATCATCTGTTTAATGTTATGACCAAGTAGGAGACCAGGAATCCTTTTTGAAAGGGAGACTTGGGAGTTAAATGTAGAGGTTAGATAAGGTCATAGCCGGATAAGTTCATATCCGAGAGGACGTCCACCAAGGAGATGGAGTGATAAAATCCGCTCCAGTGCAGGGTGCTAGGTGGATTATTACACGGCAAAGTTACTTAAGCTGGTGGTGCTTTGGAAAGCCCTTCATTCACGGTGGATTAACCACGGTTGATGATTTGCATCTCGCCTGGAATGCTGCACCAATATCTCAGAAGCCAACTAGGCATGAGCCTGGCGCTAGGGCTTTGGTGGGTGATCACCACACGTACAACAGGTTGTCATAGGGCTTGCAGGCATGCGTGGTTGGGCAGTATAGCAAAATGTGTTGTTCTGTACCTCTGATTCCACGACCATGCTCCACGCCAGTGTTCTTAAATAATTTTCAGAGGGGGGGGGGAGGCACTTTCGGCAATAATAGTGTGAGGGCCGCCACACCATTTAAAACCATTGGGTTTGACGGCACGATGGGGGTGTTTTCACATTTGTATGTTGTCGGGGGGGGGCAGTGGCCTGCAGGCCTTGCAATGAAGACCGCTGCTCCACACCTTCACCAACCCGCACTGACCAATGCAGGTGAATTCTGGTCAAATAACCCCCACGTCTCATTAAGATCAAGGGTCTGTTTTGCAAGGAAAAACTTTTAAATATAATGTAGAGGGTAGGTAGGTGTTGTAATACGTGGAATCATATGTCTGTGTAGGTGCCCTTTGACTACCAGGCATTTAAATTTGGGTTTAAATTACGACATACGAAATGGTAAAAGTAATTCAACGTGTAAGAAAGGCAGGGCGTCCAAAGAAATGTGTAGCACTGGGATAAATAGTAAAGAAAACCTTAAGTATTTTCATCAACAAATTGAAAAATCCATTAAACATTCACCTGTTCACAAAATGGCTATAAGCAACTAACTGCTATGTTGCGCCAGTAAACAGGTGGATGTGTGTGAACTGACACATCTTCTCTTTGTAACGTTCTAACATAAACCCAGCTCTGCTGCTTAGGCAATGCGTTGTAGCATCCTTCATGGATAGGAAGCTTGAAACAAATAAAACCTGATTTCTGCCACAAATGTAGCCGACCCCAAACCAACTCAGACTAATTATGTTACCTAAACTGATGGCATATAACGAAAGTGCCCAGAATTTGCCCGATCTCATCAGGTCTTGGAAGCTATGCAGCACTGAGCCTGGCTAGTGCTTGGATGGGCGGAATTCATCCACAGATACATGGGGCCACCGGACTACTTGGTGGGCAGCATAAAGCAGTGCACCAAAGTGCATTGTTATGCTGCATACTTCTATGCTCTCACATCTGTGTGCTCGGTGTTAACCCACACCGCACCAGCGTGGGTTACTTGATGGTCAAATGATTCCGCATGGCGTGGGGGAGCCCCTCGTCCAGCAGCAGATGAGAGGCCTTCCCCCAATGCAGGCTCGCGTGAAGCTGAAGCGAATGCTGGGATTGCAAGCATGGGACGAGAGTGCTGTTTGGTCACCCAAGTCGTGGTGCATATTTGCTGCGACGTTGGGCACCTTTTGCCAAAACAGACGTATGAGCAAAATGAGGTCGAATGGGGTTTCTTGTTTGAATTAAAGGCTCGATCAAACCCTTGCATTAACCCGCACGAGCATTAGTGGATGATCGGAAAACCCCACTTTTCAGGAAGGGGCAAATCTTTTTTGCTGTGCTACACTAATGTTTAATTGCCAATCAGTGGTAAAATACCACAGACCATTGCTAAATGTGACTTGGTCGACCTGCTTGTCTTGAAATTAGAAGTTTATATTGGGCTTCATTATCGCACAGAATCTATTTCTGTGTAACCTGTTCTGACCAGCGTGGTGAAGTATGGTGAAAAATAATCACCCATGACCAGCAATTGTGTGGGGAGGCCTTCATCCATCAATTGGTTGCCAAAGGGCTGTAGAAAGAGTAATTTAAGAGATTAAACACACCTGTTATGTGCTTCAATGTTTTCTCTGTTTTTTCTGCAGCATCAAGCAGTGCTTGCTGTAACCATTCTGCCTTGGTAAGTTTATAACCGCACCAACAACTTGCATGTGCCAAGACTAGAGTGTGAACCCTTTGGCAAAGAGGAGGGAGAAATCTTTTACCCCGAGGAGAAGAATACGACGGGCACAGCTTGGCATTATCTCGAAAAATAAGAGGGCTCGCATTAATGCCTCGTGCGATTTTTTTTTTTATATATATCACGTGTGCTTTCCTCTTGCAAGCACATAGTGAATGGCGGGCTGCAGTTCTGAAATAAGATATGTGGCTATGATGTTTGCAGTTGAAGGATAAATATATTTTGCTGTCCATGTTGAAGTCTGTAGGCCTGGTGTGGCACCGGGTCGTATGAAGTGAAGTCATGGGCCCTATCTGGGCCATAATTTGCTCAACCCTGCATTAGCACACGTAGTTTTTACACAAAGGGGCTATAACCCCCTGTTGTTAAATGGTCACGTTGTTGGTGGTGGTTTGTCTGGCAAAAAAGAGATAGGCTTCATTAAACCCACATTACAAGGTGCAATTGCAGCAAAGTAATTGGCCTAAATTAGCCGGCAAAACTGCGGCATTAAACTGCTGCTCATTGGTAACCGGGCACTGGAAGGGGAGTGCCCTTGGGGTGGTGTGGGATAATTTAAAATAAAATGTTCTCCCCCCCCCTTCTTACCATTACACTGTGCTGAATGCTAATGTTATAAATACATTTGTAACTTCAGAGTGCCTGACTCTTTTCAGCTGTCGGCTTTGCGAATGCTTGATTGAAACATAGGTTATCTGAGGCAACTTGTGATCAGGCACAGCTGCTGCTGCATTGTTGCCGCCGCAGTTTTCCCGCTTATGCCGCCGTTTAGGTTTTGACTATTTACTCATTCTGATCAATACGAGTCCCCCCCCCCCCACCACAACAGAGGTAAGCTGAGGTTAGCTACCGCCTCCTTATGACCTCTATGCCTTCTCTTAATGTCAGCGCAGTTCATGGTGTTTCATAGAACGTTTATTGCGCATTGATTTTTTTTTACCAGTAATTTTAAGGTCAAAAGCTTGGAAGTTGAGTCCGATGTTCTGAAAGCCTCTCTCTCGTACCAGTGTTTGCCTGTGCACATGATATCTGTTCAACTTTGACCAGATTGGATGGTGGTTTTATGGGTTATGCCAGTATCTCAAACTGATGGCTCTGATTGCAGTTTAGCTGGTAGGTCAAAGGTCAGGGGCAACATGCATTTTTTTTCTGTTTCGTATGCCGAGGATTTGATCAACTATGTTTGTGTTCATGTCCGAGGCTGGTGAGTGAGCCAGTGGATGGCGTCAGGAGTATCTTCGTGGTGACTTATCAACATTTCTGCCTGTCAGTTAGCGAAGCGGGCAGTGGCATTACTTTGTGCTTATTTTTTTCAGATCGAGTCATATAGAGGTTCATAAACTCGCATATTCTATTCTTGCCTATGGCAGTATGTTCAGTAGCTAAATGCCTATGTTTGAGGTCTGCGAGCCACAAGAGTGCTTCAGGAGAGAGTTATTGTAGTCTTGCTATTCCTCTTCCGTTGATGAAGCGCAGACTACAGTGGTGTACTATGTGGTCCATAGTCTGGGTTGCTTGGCCATAATTGCACCGTGGTTTGTCTTTAATCTTTCATATATTAAGGAGATGGGTTCATCGGTTCGTTAATTTTCTGATGTGGTTGATGGTACATCAGTGTCTTCGAGGAATGTCAAAGCTATTTGGGTCTCGAATTAGGTGTTGATTCTGGACGTGCACGTTATTCCGCTCTGTTTTTCAGCATTATTCATGATGTGGGTGAGATTCTAGGAGGGTAACAGCATGATCCCAGAAGGGGGGGGGGGATTATCAGGACCTGTCAGCTAAGAGTTACATTGTTGAGGTCTTCATTGATGGGCGGGTTGTCGTTGGCAAGAAAACCATGTACATTTATTTTGCAGTTCGCATCTCCCTGCAGATATTTGGTGGTAAAAGTTCACCATAACAGGGAGCCAGCGGATTTGTGCCGGTTGCAGTGTACCAGTTATGGTGCGCATCGCATTATTTACTTGTGCATATAGCAGTTTAGGTTACAAACTCTTGGACCAGGCTGGAGGGCACAGTACTCTGCCACCAGCTTACATAGAGACCCACAGACTTGAATACAGAGTTCTTATTTCGTGCGACGGGGTGTTGATCGGCAATTTGGTATGACAGGGAGTTAATCAGCAGTGTTTCTATATTCATGTTGAGGTTGGTGGGTGAGCGAGTGGGAACCTTCAGGAGTAGCCTCAAGGTGAGTATCTGAAATTCTGCCGTTGAATGATGGAAGCGGGGCAGCGGGCATTTCTATGTGGTCCATGGTTTTGAGACTGGCGACCTCAGTCGCACTCTTGGCTATTCTTAATTGTCCACCGGTGTATGCGATAGCCGCATATGCGATACGATGTTCTTGTGCGGTTCAATACAGGCCATTGTTTGCGTGGGTAAATTGAAACCGGGAGGTTTCTTCCATGGGGTCGGCGATTAGAGTGCTTATTCAGAACATTGACATTGTCCCACTGGGAGACAGACATGGGGTGAGCAAGTGAGGAGTTGACGGAGATCTTGTGAACAGAATTACTGGTTGTATCACGGTGGCTGGCACCGGGTAAAGAATCGGGCCTGTTGCCATAATATGGGGCGCCTAGCTCTTTAAAACCTGGGGAGGAGGCGGGAAAGTGGAAATATTCATGAAAAAGAGAACACGGAGGATTGAATTATAGTGTAGCAACGGGGGGCTAACGATCATTCATTCCTGCTTGCCCCTGATGAGTGCCGCAAAATGCATTCAGCATTCGCAGTTCTTTTACAAAGCACTGTAAGTGCCCTTTGCAAGCATGCCCGTTGCTTTTAACGCTTTCCAAAGAAGGTTGAAAGCAATTAATGCGTTCGCTCTGTCCGTCTGGGGCAGGAGGGGATCATGTTAACTCTAAGAGGTGATCCAATGCGAACACGACTTTGGTGTAAGAGTTGTGTTGCTATTAGGGACTTACCCAAACCGAGAAAACCAGGGAAAGTGATCAAACGGTTTCCCTGGGCAGAGCCGTTATCCGAACGCCGGTGTCTCAGGTTGGCCTCCGAACACACCGCTTCCCGTCTGCCTCGTGAAAATGCTACCGATAGTGTCGCTTTGAGGATGAGCGTATGGCGGAAAGCTTAACAGAATCCACTCGTTTGCTTGATTTCCTTGCTTTTTTTGCCCCCCCCCCCCAATAAACACGGAGGGAAAAGTGAAGATTACGGCACGTACACGTGATGTGCAAGCCAGGTTCCGGCAATGTGTATTCGAGTTCTGGAATCGGGGGGTGGGGGGGGTGGCGGCCTTTTGCTTTGTGATAGACTTATGTAGCTGGAATAGGTTAAGTCGATGTGCGATTAAGTGCTAGGAGGATGTGAAGGGTCTGTTAGGAAGTGGTGGGGGGCGGGTGGGCGGGCGTGTCCTGCAGCTAGACAGGAGACTGCCAGGAAATGAGGCAGAAATGTGCAGAGCTGTCTGTGAATTCGAGTCATGTGCAGTTGCATGCGTGCTTGTTCGTAGCAAAAAAAAGAGATGTCTGGCATTGTTCCACCGACACGAGAGATATCCAGTGACTCATGTCCAAGTCCGGCTACTTATTTGCGTGAATTCTGAAAGAGATTGAAGTTCAAACCCATTGTGAGTTCCACTGAATGCGTTTTCTTTTTATTGCCATAGAACAAGTTAATTTTAAATGGGAATGGGGAAAATGCACTTGAAATATGTCGATGCTTCGCAGAGGCTAGGTTTGAAAAAGGGAAAATAATATGAAAGTTTAGATTTTTTTTAAATCGAGCGGAATTAAGTGTTAAAACATACAGTATTGTTTAAACAACATTGTTTCGGCCCTATATGAGGTTTGGTGTGGCATCATCTGAAGCATGGATGTAACACGTGATACATTCACTCCCAGTCTGTGCCACCGAGTCTGAACATATCCACAGTTGAGCTCGATGAATATGCATTGTACTGTAATGTAATTATCGGACCACTTGTGGTTTGGCAGTCTTTCACTGTGGCTCTGTCACAGATTATAAGCTACTTGGTACTCTGAATGTCAAGCACAGCATTCCTTTACCTTACTGTACTAAGTTCATATACATGCCACAGAATAAGCAGTTGACTCCCTCGACAGAGCCTGATGATATCGTGCCTACAGTTTGTGATTGGATTAGGAGCCTCCGTGGCGGGGCGGGGGGCACATTACAAAAGTGCGCTAGATGAATCGCTCCGTGCAGGTTGCACCCCTTGCACATTGTCAGACTTTGCAAGTGGATGCAGCCAATTTGTAACAAGAAAATCTAATTTGTGCGCCGCTATAGAAGCAGGAGTCGGTTGGGCCGTACTTGCAGTAATGCCTAGAAGTGTGGAGCCCTCTGCTCTTGTGCGTGCCCATCTGCAGATGCCTCGCTGAGTGTCCTGCAGCTGCCGATGTCACCGCCGTCACGTGTTCGGGCCTCGCTGTCACACGTGTGTGTATGTCCTTGTCATTATTGCTGGGCCACCTGATTATTTCAGTAATAGATAACGCGGCCGATTTTGAGGTTGATACTCGAGTAATCGGATAATGGCAAAATAGTTGGAGGACAAACAAGTCTAACCTTACCTCATCGTCATTATCAGACGCGTCACGTTGGGCATTGCTTATAGGCGGTTTCCCACCTTAAGGATTCAGAATGTCAGGGTCATTTACATTCTCAATGCGGCCTGAGTAATCGAACGTACAAAAAAAGTAGTCGTTAACAATTTTTAGGAGATAAATTTACTTAATCGGCTGATCGTCCCAGCTTCAATTGGGATTTATGGTATTGAGAGCGATGTTTCAACGGCGAGGGTTTTGTTTCCGTCGTGGCGTTCGGTGCCTTGTAAACGGAATGCTGCCACGGACCCCCGGGGTGCATAATGGATTGGGCAGCTGCAGCGGCACTGCCAGGGATGCGCGGCGGTGTCGGTGCGCGCTCGCTGGCGCTCGTTTGGCGGCGGTCGCCCTGGCCTTGTGCCGGTGACGGGTGGGGGGCGGGCGGGGAGTACGCCGGTCCGTGGGCCTGGCGCGCGGAGCGTCTGCGTGAGCGCCACTCTGTCCCCGCTGACCCCCGGATGTGTCTGTGTCCCGTAGATATTTGAGATGCGCACTTAGAGGCATTAACGTTCAATGCGGTTGGTTTCTTTTAGTTTTTCTGCACTGCAATTTGGTTATAACAAAATCACTCCCGAGTTCACTCTGTCTCGTCAGATCTCGGAAACCAAGCTGGTTTTCGTCCTGGTTTTTACTTGGATAGGGTTGTGAAATGGCCAGGAGGTGGTAGTAGAGCACTGGATACTTGAATCCATCTGTGCAGAGCTTTGAGTGCTATCGTTTCATGCCAGTGTGTTCTCTGGAAGCTTCCGTTTGTCAAAGGCGCAATACCATATTTAACTAAGCATCCCAATACAGGAGTCTCCAAAAAAGTCTTGAGATTCAATTACGGGCAAATCAAGGGCGATTTTTAAGTTAATGTTGAAAAAAAAAATTGCACAAGTCAGCATAAATAATGCAATATTAATGACCAAAGCATTGGGAGTCGATGTTGAATGGTTCCTTGTTCATTTCTACATCCTAGCATTTCTGAGCAGATTGTTATTGCAACATTAGCTTTGAAAAAAACAATGCTTGACATTGCCCTGAATGAACTAATATGAGATGTACGTATGCATTGAAATAATGCATATATGCTCATTAACACTGAGCAGAGCTCTGAGGTGGTTGTGAAACGGTTGTAAGAGCCGGTTCTTTTTGTGTTGACACTTGCTATGCTTCTTCCCTGACAGGACGATGGCCCCGAGTGGCAGATCCTCAGCAAACTCTACGATCATCTGGCCACCATCGCCGGTACAATGACAACAGCAGCAGTAGCAGCAGCTGGTTCTCTTTGACGCAAGTTGTCTTGCTGTCCACAATAATTGCAGCACAGCATATCGGATCAATTTTATCTGTACATACCAAATTAGCTGATAAATTATACGCCGATACTCCAGCGGTGTTTAATTTAGTAAAAAAAAATACTTGGCCAAGACAATGTGCTAGCAATTATTTCTTGAGCGTGTCCTGAAAGTTCGTGTAAATTTTTTCGAAGGCACTCAAAGAATCCAGTGACATAATTGAACCTAGAATTAACCGCGGGCAAGAATAAGTTGTTTTAATTGCCCATTTAAAGATGCACCCAAGTCAAGGTTCTTTCACTCGCTTGTAGACTACAGCAGTGCAATTAGTAGTGGCGATTGCACCTTTAGAACACTGCACAGGTAATTACACGTGCAACGCATGAATAACTTGGAGCTCATTACAGTTAAATCTGAATTGGCGCAGCGTAATTGTTGCGCGGCGAGCGTAGCGCCCGATAGCCGGAGCGGCGCGTGTGTAATTGAGTGCAAGGTGGTACCCCCCCTTCCCCCGCCTGCGGGTTCAGGTCTCGTTCATTACCACACCGCAGTGTTTCTGGGAGACGGTGGCAAGGGCCAGATTTCCATCCTCGGGTTTTGATTTCGAAGAGATTTCTCTTGGTGGGGGTTGGGGGCGGTGAGCACCACTGTGCCGGTAACAAGGGGGGAAGTTTCCGCATTTTGGGGCAATCTTGGAGCAAAAGTCTTAGGGTCCTCCGGTTTTTCCCTCCACATTTATAAACGTGCATTCTTTTGATTATTTTGCTGCAACAAATGTCCAAATGATAGGCCACTTTGTTGAGCTGTCATTTGTGGCCCAGGTCACTTCTTCTGACAAATAAGCTAATACCTCAGTGGGTTTGACTGGTAGGATGGGAATGGTTTCGTTTTATTTGTATGTTTGGGTGATTTGTTTACATTGTACTTTGCACGACTATCGTGTTTTTGTATTTCTTTTTATTGTTGTAATGTGTTTACCCGCCCCTTCTGGGCATTTGTGAAAAAGAGCTTCATAGCTCATCGGATTCCTCCAGTATAAATAAATATTCTGATTCGGCTCATGCACATGGAGTGTCATTTTGATGGTAATTATAGTTGTAGAAAATGTAGCTTATTTATGGAATGAGTGAATGGCCCACGTACGTGAAACTTAATGCATCACTGTCGTCCCTGCGCTGATGAAATTGTGAGTTCGTCTGGGTGCATCCGACACCGCGGTATTTCATGAGCATTTCTCCCGTATGGGGAGAAAGTTGGACAGTATTTATATCTAAAGTGCAGTCCAAGTTCGTTGACTCGGTGCCCACTGTTCAAGTGCCTGTGACCGACTGCCTCTCTTCGTAAATGAAATGTCCAGTATTTCTGCACGGCATAATTTGCGGAGATACGGTAGCATTTGGATGCTATGGGCATCAAATTGTAATGTATTAAAAAGTTAGTTCAGCTGGGTGTCAGACAATTCAATATTTTGAGCATTTCTCCCCTTGTCACATTACTTTTACTTGAATTGCAGTCCTGGTTGGTTTATATGCCGTACCTATGTGAAAAGAAAAGCTACTTAGCCGTTATACCAATGATTACTCGCATCGATAAAATGTCTGGACCTGCTCACAAACGCCACGTGTCTCGCACAGGTGACCTGGACTGCGGGGACCACGTTCACATCAAGAGCCGCAGGATTTCGTTTGTAGATGCATACGCGTTCATCACGGTAACTCTCGGTCGGCGCTGCACCATTCTCGCATCGCGACATTGAGCGATCCTATATAGTCGGGGGAGGGGGTATAACATCGCTGCCATTTAACGATATACCTAAACCGGCTCAAGCCTGCCGTGAAACCACCTGATTTCGGTGTGGCCACCCCCACTCTAAATCCCTCCCTGCTCCGTTACGGGTCACTCTGCTTGCTCTTTCCTCATCACTCCCTCTCTTCCCTCCCCTCTCATCACCCTCTCATCCCTGACATCTTTGCCGGGTCATGCCTTCTTTTCCCCTTCCTGTCTGGCTCTCTCCATTTCTTCCCGCTCCTCATCTTGAGCCGTGTCCACTTTGCCCGTCTTGGGGACTCTTGTCCCAGCGGCCCGTCCCTATCCCAGTCTACTTGCTCATCTGCCTTTCTGTGCAACCGACTCTTCTCGCCTTCCCGTGGTGTCCCATGGGCACAAAGTTGTATCAATCATTAATTAAGTTATGTGTAATGTATATACTATCCTGAGTTTTGCAAATTTAGTAATGATATTAATTCAGCCCCCGATGACCACATCACCTGGAATGCGCCTCATCTCATTAGATCTCGGAATCTAAGCTGGGATAAGTGTGGCTAGTGCTTGGGTGGGTGTCAACTATGCACAGGCAGGTTGTTATAGGGCTTGGGAGGAGACGTGGTGGGCATTAGCTTGGGAAGAGCAGCAAATTCGATTATTTTACTTTTTGCTTATTCTTCCGGTTTTATCGAAACCTGTAGCTATCATCGTGGTAAAGTATGGTTAAATAAGGAGTGGGGAGGCCATCATCCAGCAGTGGATTGACAAGTGAGCTGTAGTCATGCAGCTGTGTGCAGTGTACATATTGATTCTGCTACACCATTGCTATATTTTGCGAAGAAACACAACGGGGGGAGTGTTACCCCCGCCGCCTCCCACTAGTTCGTTTTTTTTGCTATGTTATCTCCACTGATGTGTTTGATGGTTTTAGACTCAAGTTTTCTCCTGTGCCTTGGGCGTAGACACTGAGAGGTCTCCTAATTGGTGAGCGGCAGACATCGTTTTCCGCTTGTGAAATTGCGTCGTCTTTGTGTTGCAGTCGACATCCCCATTGGTCAACGAGTCGATGTTCAACGCTTCACTCCAGACGATCATCGGGAGCGAAGCCGACCTCGGCATTCGGTGAGTTTGCATCACCCCCCAACACTCTGTGCACAGGACACCGTGTGAAAGATGAATATAGCGTGCTCCATAAACTGCAGAGCAGTCGGCTACGGGTTGACAAACGACGGTCTCATTCCCACAACTGATCCCAGCTGTGCTGTCGTCATCGCGTCATGCGACGAAGCATCCATTTCGCATCTGTTGCAGGGCAGTGGTAACCCTTCACGTTAGAGGAACGGTCCATGAAAGAGGATGTTGCAGAGCTACCTCTGAAATCCCTTGAAGTGACCCTCTGGTCCAGACAGTAGTGGACAGCAGTTTCCCACCTACCTCTACACGACAGTCAAACCCATATCTTTAATTCTAACCAAATTAAGTACAAAAGCAAATGTGATTTATATAATTTATTTAGTGCAGTTATTGGTGACCAGAAATCACTTTGATTAAACTGAACCCAAACTCTCAACGTTTGAGTCACCAGGCCACCTCTGCAGGTGGCTACATTTTGTGCGATTCTACAGTGCGATTCTTATTCACGGTGTGATTCTAACCCCGCACCTCCGTTCAGCTCGGTTGGCGAAAGAAGTTCACACGCGTACATTTTAATCCGCTTGATGCTACTTTTGACGTTCACCACCATTCTGTGTCTCACTGCGTGTCACCAGGTTGCTCGGCGAGGACACGGAGCAGGAGGTCGCGAACCTCGTGGACGTTCGATACCTCGAGTCGACGCACCCGCAGAGGTCTTTCATCTGCCGCCTGCGCAGGGCCTTCCTCACAGTGCTGCACAAGCTGTTCATTGTGTTTGCAGGCGAGGGGCCCACACACACACACACCCTCTTGCCACCTTTGTCGCCACCACCAGCACCGCCACCACACTTGCGGAGCCGTGAAGATAAACTGAAAACGACATTATTTTGTATTCTACCAGGTAAAGCCCACTGAGCTATGCAGCTCTATATCAGAAGTGACCTGGTCACAAATGATGGCCCAACGAAGTGGCTTATCACATGTAGAAATGTGTAGCTTGCCAAATAATCTAAACGCATGCTGATTCTAAATATGGAGGGAAAAAGCGGAGGACCTGGAGAAAAATCCATGCAACCATGGGTAGAACATGCAAACTCCAAATATAGACCCCATAACCTCCTGTATACCAGGCGAGGTAGTTACCATCTCGCCACCGTGGCAACATGTTAATTACCTCGGGAAGAGGTGCCACTGTGCAGTAAATCAGCGTAGGCCTCACGGTTTTGACAACTTTTTGTCAAACCGAGTAGTCGGTAAGGGCATTTACATGGTGATGGATTATTTACATTGCAAAATTATAGATGTTTTTAAGTGTTACCGCATCTCAAGATGTTGTACAGCAACAGTCATCATATTTATGTAATAAAGAATGGCAGTTTGCCAATGGCAGAGGAGAAAAGGATGTTTTTTTTAGCCTGAACATGAAGAGGCTTGGAATCAAAAGCACGGATGGCTGGGGTAAGGGAGCTGCAGATTGGGCAGCAGTTTGAAACAATCTTGATGTAGCCTAGATTTTGTGCTAGGATTAATTGCATGGCAAAGGTGAGAGCTAGTGATACGATTACCTCTAAGCTTCAGGTAAATTCCTCAATGTAGATAATCTTATCACCTCTTCCCTATCAACCCGCCCTCGTCGAATCGATATTTGCGACAGTTGCGAAGCGTTCTCGTGACACCACCAGTTGAATAATCCCCATAGCCGAGTGCACACAGCGGTCAAACCTGGACGCGTGTTGTGTGCGCCCACAGGTGTGGGGATTGTGCTGGGCGTGCTGGCCTACATGAAGTATCGCTGGCGGAAGGAGGAGGAAGAGACCAGGAACATGTATGACCTGGTCGAGAGAATCGTCGGTAAGTAAATCACCTTTCTTTCTTACTTAATTTGAAAGCCCATGACTGTTATGGTGAGTTTCTAAGACCGTTCAATGTCATCTTGCATCTATTTAAGACCGAAACAGGAGGAATTATCCACAATTCTTGCCATCGCCTGATGAAGCTGGTTGCAATTACCAGCGAAACGCCACGGTACTGGAATTGTAAATGTGGGTTTACTCTCCAACACACCTGTGTGCTAAACTATTATCTAATTGGCATGTTTTTCTTACATGACAAACCTCACTAATTGGCTGTGTCAGGTGATGGCGGGTTTAACTACACATTTATATGTACGCGATCTAACCCGAAACCAAAAAAGAACCTCTCGTGAATCAATTCCATTTTGTTTCTCCTGCAAAAGCATCCGTGGCGATGTTTGGTGATGCGAGAGAGATTTAATTTCACTTGACTGCTGTCACAAATTAGGTGATGGAGGGAATTACCTGCCACGTGTGGTGCTAACACGGTGGTTAAGTGCGGCCCAGTGCCTTTTGAGACGAGGAGGAGAAGCCAGGTGGTAGTTCCTTTGTTGAATCTCCAATTAGGTGACTTGTTAGGATCATCGCATGCCGGCCACTTATTCTGCCCCACCGGCTGTCGGTGCCTGTCCCGGCTGACAAAAGCGTCGAGTGGGTTTGAAATGAAATGGCTTGAAGGAGAGTTGGCGCATTCCTAATTGGCACAGTTACTCCAGATTCCGGGCTTTGAAGGTCGAACATATTAATAGCTTCGCTTTCGGTGGTGGCCGTTTTTCGCTTTGACGTTTTGGCTGTCGGCAGATCTCGCACGCCACGAACCTCAGGGGGATGGTCCGTGTGTGAAATCTCGATTGCGTTCTTTCCCCCCACTCCCCCGGGTACAGCGCAAGTTAATACAGCGGCATGGGACCGGCCGCTCCGTAACACCGGTGCTGGCAGCTGCCGTGGTGTGTGTAACGATTGTTACTTTGCAACTGGTTTACATGCCCTAAGATTACGGAGTGGCATTTTTAAGGAGTTTGGAGACCTGACGGCGATTCTGTGTGTGCGTGTTTTTTTGTTTTCGTCATACAGTGCACAATGATGATCGCTGTTTACTCCTGTGGTTATATATTTAAATTTAGAATTTTTAAACCTGCAGTTGTTTAAATACCATTATGTGTGTGTTTCGTGTAGCTATATGACAACTCGTCTGCAATGCACTCAATCTCTTCAGATCTCAGAGACTAAGCTGGGGTTGAGCCTGGATAGTGCTTGGATGGGCAGCCACCAAGCATGACAGCTGTGGGGGCTATGTGGTTGTGGGCAGCAGAGGGCAGTGCAGCATAATACAATGATGTACTGTACTTCTTTGCTGCCCACCATCACCAATCCACACTGACGGGAGCGTGACGGCGCAGTCAAACAAACCCCGCAACCCGCACAGCGCGGGGAGGGCACGTTTCAGTCGTGGATTGTACGCATGTGGAACGTCTCTCGCACCGTACGTAGCCGACCACGCCAATCAGAGGTGCGGAGAAGGACGACAAACAATGAGGCTGTAAGTGTACAAATAAATGAGGTGGGTTAATGGAAGATGTGCGTTCATTTGTAACTAAAAGGCCCGCTCGTTGTTGCAGAAATGCTGCGGAGCCACAGCGAGAACTGCGTGGAGAACAAATCCCTGCAGCCCGTGCTGCCTCTTCCTCACGTCAGGGACACGCTCATTCCGCTGCAGGAGAGGTGAGTAGCTCGTGGGGCAACCCCTTGTTAGAATCGGAATCTTTATTTATCCTGGAGAAATCAAATGAGGCTATGGAGCTCTTGAAGACCAGGGTGGGTTTCCCAAAGACGATTCCGCAAGGGAAAAGAAAAGAGATGAGGAAGGGAATGGACCGGTTTGTGGGACAATTTGAGCAGTTGGACAGGACTTTCCATGAGAGACGAAAGGTTGAAAGCATCTTTTGTGGGACACTGACCCACGCATCCTCCCTCACTTATCAAACAAGCTCAATACATTCGACTGATGAGGATGACAGTAGATGTGGGCAGCGGACCCACACGACATCGGGAGGCCCTCATCCAGCAGTGGATTGACAAAAGGGGCTGTACATGTGCGTGTACAACAGCACTTGTCCCAACAGTTTCTGCGGCAGTGGGTGATGACGTGGCCCAGTGGGAGCGCGTTCACCACTTTCTGCAAATGTTCATGGTATGAATCAGAATATTTATTTATTAGAGGAATCCGATGAGCTGCAAAGCTCTTTTACCACAGATGTTACGGTGTAAATCCAGCGGCCGCCCTGATTAATACTGCGGTGGGCATTAACCGCAAGAATACGCTACGTGAGTGGGCCCTTGTGTGCCGGCGTCGTGGTTCAAATTTTGCCAAATAAAAAAACACACGCATATTACTCTCATTTGTTGACATCCACAGATGGAATGCGCCTTACAAATGTAAATGATTAACACATTCCTGCGGAGGGAGCCAGGGTCAACGGCGGCGTGGTGTATTCCGCAAATATGGCCGACTGAGGGCGGGGCACAAGCCGGCGTGAGGAGGTTAAATGTTGAGTTTTATAAGGGCACCACGGGATGACCAGCCCCTCCCCACCCAGCCCCACCCCTCCCACCCCCCACCCTCCCCACCCAGCTTCTCCCCACCCTCCCCTCTCCACCCAGCCCCACCCCTCCCATTTTTGGATGCACGACGGACGGACGGACACAATAATCCCCTGTGGGCTGGTGGAACCAGGTGGTTCCTACCAGTATTATTGCTCACAAATGTGGAAATCTGGCAGACCCCTCCTGAAAAAGAATTGTGCGATTAAGTGAGGCTTTCCTGGATAAAGAAGCCTAAATATGATAATGGAAAATGCGGGAGGATCTTTATTTTGTGGGTGTGTGACTACGCACACGAATAGCACTTGCTCCGACAGTCTGCTAATGCTATACGGGGGATCTTTGTCTTCGTCTTCGCACGTAGGCGGAGGATGCGCCGGGTCTGGCGCCGCGCCGTGGCGTTCATCGCCGCCAACGAATCGCGCGTGCGCACGGAGCGGCAGCGCATGGCCGGCGAGGACTGCGAGGTCTGGCGCTGGACGCAGGCCGCGGTCACGGCTCCGCCGCCGGGGAAGCTGCCCGCCAAGATCTGGCAGGGCAAGGGTGAGCTGCTCGGCGTGACCCCCCCACCTCCGCTTTGCTCAGCCGTGCGCACGTGCAGGGTTCGGGCCTTTCGTATGTGCTGCATGTTGAACTTCTTTCGCGCCGTACGTAGCCAACCGTACTAATCGGAGGTGCGTGGGACGAACCACGAGTTAAATACAGCGTGTAGGCTTCCCAGGGTTGGAGAACATGCCACCACGGCCCACCGATAACAATAATAATGATTATTTCATCTTGTAACACACCGCCCTGTTATTCGCTCGCTCTCGAAGAGCGAGAGAACGACTGAGGCATGAGGAACCACAGGCAAGCCGGAAGGCGGCAGCTGCGCCATGAGCCGGCGCCAATAATTTTCCCCAGCTCTACGTGAAGGTGTTAGCGGACATTTACTGAGTGTTTACTTGCAGGAGGAGACCGCAGCACCTGTTTTTGTACCCACTAATCGGGTACCAGAGTCTCGGAAAAAAATCTCACTGGTTGCCATGTGTAGTAGTAGTTGTGAGTGTTGGCATTGATTTTAATCGATGACTCATTACGTGCCTATCATTCAGCCCTAATTACAATGCAACGCTTGCCTTGGGAGTTTATCATACTTTACCCTTGAACATTTTTTTTCTGATATTGCTGTAGTTTAATGATTACTCGGTGTTTGTTCTTCAAAGTGCATGTTGGCATGCTCTGACTGACATGGCGATGTTTTTCTGTGCCTCTTTGCAGCCTTCCATCTGGATCGGAGGAACTCCCCACTGCACAGCCTCACTCCCTGCCTCAAGATACGCAACATGTTTGACCCAGACATGTATGTACACTGTCTTAAGCGGATTAGCCTTCCCGTCTGGGAGGGGGATGAGGGGGTGTATTTGTAGTGAAGTAGCTTACTTGCAGCTGGAGTGGCCGCCGAATACAAATGTGCCTGTGCAGGAACGTTGGTAATCAATGCAAAAACTCCCTTCTGTGGCGTGTGGATCAAAAACATATGGACATGAAAGAAATGATTTGAACTCAACCTGCGAAGAATCACAGACAGATGCGTGCTTGGAAACACATTGAGAGACAAAGGGGAACATAGGAATTAGACAACACGTGCAGATTCATGATAAAATTCTGACCGTTAAGAAAAAAAATTTGGTTTGGGCAGCATGCGTCGCTCAGAACGACGGAGCAGCAGCCAAGGCATGGGACACATCCGGGAGGACATACGCTGACATGGAGCATGTGCAGGTGCTAGGCGTGTTCTATCGCACGATCGTGAGAGACGGCAAAGGTTGATTGGCACGACGCGCGACGCTTCGCTGTTCGCGCTGGGACCTTCTTCAAGACCTGAATTGAGCAGCTCACGCCGTATAAACGAGGAGGCGGTAGTAGAACCTCGCAAAACATTGGGCGAAACCTATGACATGGCACAGAGCACGCTGTGCATTCCGAGAACACATGGGAGAGCTAGAGAGCATCTTATTTTCTCTGCTGTGGAGGCGAGGCATTCATTCGTGGATTGCTGATATTTTATCATGAAAAAAATCCTTTTCTCGGTTCTTGCCACTGGCTCTGCGGAGGCTCTGCATCTCTGTTGATGATGATGTTTTGCTGCTGCCGATGATGTTAATGCTTTGCTGTTGATGATGACGATGATGCTATTGTCCTCTTCAGGGAAATTGGGGAGAACTGGCACCTGTCAATCCACGATGCCATCATGGAGAAGTGCCATGACAACGGTGGCATCGTCCACATCGAAGTGGACAAGACCTCGCATGAGGTGAGCAGTGCAGCTGCTGCGCCCACCACCCCACTGCCTCCGATTAGGACGGTTGTATCGTACGGTGCAAAAGTAGTTGAGCATACATACACACCGACTCATTCCGCCTTTCGTGTGCTGCCTAGGGCTGCGTGTACGTCAAGTGCCTTTCGCCTGAGCACGCTGGGAAGGCATTCAAATCGTTGCACGGATCGTGGTTTGACGGTAAGGAGCACAAACATCACCCTCCGCGCCTGGAATGGCAATAATTAGTAATAATTAGTAACCGTGGTATCGCAGCAAAGGGGTATTTCTATTCCTTGCGGCGACTTTTGGAAGAAAAGAAAGCAGTCTACCCATAGGGACAGCCACTTTTGACTTGCCACGAAGTGTTACGAATTCTATCGACCCTGGAGGGACAGGTGGGGCTGGTGCCTTCATTGCTGGAGGGACAAAAGTGGTTATTGTAAACAAATGACTGGCGTTTCCTTCTACGTTAAAGCGCGTGCCACTGTTTCCCACAGGCAAGCTGGTGACGGTGAAGTACCTGTGGTTGGAGCGGTACCACCAGCGGTTTCCGCACGCCGTCACCAGCAACATCCCCATGCAGCCGTCGAACCGAGCGGCAAACGCGTCCCCCTCCTCCTCCCCCCCCGGTTGCCAAGTGGAGAGGCACGGCGACAAAACAATCTAAAAATCACGCTGCTTCCTCGCCGCAACACCTCGAGTCCCCTCGCCTTCTTCAAACCGGCCTTGCCTGCCTCAAGTTCTCTCTCCTTCCTTGACTGTCCCCTGCTACCCGCCGCCGCGCCAACACTCCACTCCCCCCCCCCCTTTCCCCACCATGCTCCCTTTTTACGCATGGGAAAAATCACCCGTTGAGTCGGCGTTGATCTCAGACGATCGCTTGATGCTTCGTGTTTCTGTTTATCCCTCCTACGGCTCGACTTTTTTGTGTTTGACCCTTTGGACTACTGCCTGCGAGTGCCCGTATGTACGCTGCTATTCTGTCAAAGTGCAGTATTACTGATACTGATGGGGTGGGGGGGGGGTTGGCATATGCTTCTTGTTGTAGGACCCTTGAATCCACTCTGGTCTACAGATTCCAATCCCATCTGAAAAATGTGCATTTAAAAAAAGCCATTTTTACAATCAACTTAATTGAACTCAATTTTTTTTATGTGAGAAGTAGCGTCAACCTTTTTTACATGTGAGAAAAAAAATTACAAAAATCTTTTAAACAATAAGTCTGATGTTTCTTAACAAATGCTGCAAATTGCGGTGTTTCGTTATATATTTTTTACCTTGTATATTTTGTCGCAAAGGCCTCCTTGAAAAGCCGTGGCAACCCCGTGGACTGTTTCGCCATGTCCCCGTGCGAGCCGCAGCGCTGCTTGATCACCGTGGGTCCACGGTGGGAGACGCGTTGCATAACCGCCACGGCCTCCCTCTCTCGCTGGCATTCGTTTGCACAATAACGCCGGGGGGGCTTGCCTCTCCGCCTCCCCGCAGGGGATTTCCAGGCTAAATTCCTCGCACCCCCGCCACGGTCTGCCTTTTACAATCGCCGAGCGAGAGACGCTTGCTATCCGCCGCCTTGTTGACTGGGGTCGGATTGCTCTGGACACCATGCTGTGTGTGCGAAAACACCCAAGGTTTTTGCAGTGCTGTGCGCTGGCCACCGGAAAGTAAAGCAAATAGTTTGCGAACAGGGGGATCCATTTTATCGACTGACCTGAGCTCGCGCGTGATTAAATGTTGTGTAAGCACGTCACACCCGCTACGTTGGAGTGCATCGGGAGGGCATTGGTGATGTAATGAGTGGAATGAGATTGTTAGGAGACATGCCGGACGCTTCAAAATGAAGTTGTGCTCTCCTTATAGTTTTTCGCTTATTTAAGCGGGGTACCGGTAAGTGGATCGCCCATGTATTTCTCTTTCGGAGTACAAGAGTGTGCCGGTTGTTGCCAAGCGTGCCCCCGCCCCCCATGTCCGCTCGCTTGCAAGTGAGGAATTGGCCGAAACTTCTCAATGCGGGACCCTCCTCCTGAGAGAGTCCCGAGGCTCGGCCACGACTTCCTTGGATTCCAAAAAAGTACAACACTCTTCTGTACGACGTGAAATTGTGGTTTTATGACGTGTTCAGTCTGTTGAAGCGAGACGAAACAAACCTTGGGCTGTGGTGGGGAATGAGCACAGGAGTTTGAGGGTCCCCCGGTACACAGGGTGTTTTAAAATTCTTACTGCAAGCAAGATACACGGCGAGTCACCCAAGCTCCCGTATTACAATTTGTTCCTGACGGTCCACTCTTGGTGTTGCGTTTGCGATGGATTCGTTTATTTTAGTTTTATATCTATATTTTCCTACCTAATCGCATATATTGATTTTCGTGTCTTTTTTGGGACCTGTTAATAGGTTGTGTTTGTATTGGATGCTACCTGCGTTAGGAGAGTGGGGAGGCGGGGTGGTTGTTACAAATGTTTTAAGTGGGTGCATCTCCCGAGTGTAAATGCAAACTGTACATTTTATTTTTTTTCGTCGGGTTATTTTGCAAAGATGTAAAGTTGTAATGGTGGTGATGCTTTGTTTGCGTGCCCGCCTCTTGGGTGGTGATGTTGGTCCGGAACAGACCGCGATCCCCCATCCGAAAGCGCACTCGAATCTCACGAAATTGTATGAAACTCTTGAAACTGCTGAGCAACAATTGCGCAAAGTGTGAATTGAACAATTTTTTTTAAAGGTCTCGTTTTTTGTACAGGTTCGGTGTTTTGTTTTAAAGCGTTTTTTGTAATGACAGTGCTGAGATTGCAATTCCATTAAAGCCATTTTGTGACTGAAACCATTATAAAATGTGTAATTGCAAGGGGCACTTGCTTTTCTTTTTTTAAACAATTGGACTTTGTACATTTTTAAACATGTATTATTATTAATGCATTTATATTTAAACATTTTGCCATTTGCTTCATTTCCATTGCTGTGCACTTGAATGCATTTGCATTTCCGTCAAGAAGTGGCCGCATCGCAAGAGAGTTTCCGTTGGAGCCATGGTTTCGTTCACAATCGCGGTGTTTATACGAATACAACAAAAAAAACACCACGTGACCCCTTGACCCACCATTGCTCACGACCTCTTCTCGGGCTCTTGCAAAAAAATGTTTGGCCAAAAAAAAAAATCTGACCTCCATTTCCAGCATCTGTTTACAAAACGGGCCCTGTGAAACAACCTTGTACTGACAATGTTATCTGGTGCTTGGGTTTGGACAGCACAGTATATTCCAGGCTCAATTATGTCTCAATCCCCAATTTACACTGCAGCAAAACCGCTTAGATTTCCCAGTTTATTTCTTTTTTTTAAGTGCGCTTTTGTTCACCAAACACCTAAAGCCGGTTGTGGAAACGTTGACGTCCCATTGCATGAGCATAGCCTTCTGTTGACAGCGGAGCAGCTCCCTGTTATATTTTTCTTTAAAAATGTATTTCCAAAGTATTACAGCAATACCACCGCATTGCGTACGTGTACCTAAAGTGCAAAGGCATTATTAGACAGTGTTACCCAGCTTGCGTACTGGCGATGCATATCTTGTTGGTGTGCCTTAACTACAAAAAGAAACTGCATTTCATGCTTGAAGAGGCTGCTGTTTGAATGTTGTTGCACGGCGTTTTGGTTTTTTTAATTGGGGTGGTGGTGGGGGGGTGGGATTCACGCGTAAAGTCATGTCAGTGTGTCTGACGTGTGTGTTCCTATATTACAAACAATAAAAAGGTGCTTTTTTATTTTAAACACACGCGCGCGCACGAGTGCATGTGGCGCGTAGTGTTCGCGCGCGCACTCTGTGCTCTCCGTGTCGGGGACAGGGACGGGGATTTGCGTTCACCTCGCTCCCTCGTCCGCGCAAGTTTTGGAACACGGTTCGATTTAAATTCCGTGAACTGGTGCGAGCTTGGGGTTGGTTTGGCTTTTGGTTGTGGTGGCGGTGGAGTGCGCTCGGAACACGAGAGGACGCGTCGTGGCCGCTCGCCCCGCGTGGACGGGCGGAACTTTTTTTGTCTAAAGGCTGCAGCCCTAAATTTGTTATCCGAGTACTGTACAAAGGTATTTAATTAAAGTTTACTCATTTTTCAGACGCCGTTTCCTCCTCTGTTATTGTACATTCACAGCTGCGCGGTCAGTGGTACAGGTTGGCCCAAAATTCGGAACACATACGGTTATATTGTGATTTAAAGCTTTCGTGACTGCAGGGATTCATATTCTTGGTTTTCGGTAAAGTCACGTAGAAGGGAAATAATAAAATAATATAAATATTAAACAATAAAAATTCTCACGACGTTTCGACTGCAACACAAGCAATCATCATCAGGTGTGAAATCCTCGCTCCCTCTTGCTGTGGATTTCAAACCTGATGATGCTTGCTTGTGTTGCATTCGAAACGTGAGACTTTTGATTGATTTGTATTATTTTATTATTTCCCTTCTACGTGACTTTACCGAAAGAACCAAGAATATACATACGGTTATTTCATTTATTTAAATTTTTTTATGTATTATTTAAGTTTATATTTTATCTATTAATATATTTTTCTTATTCCTGTGGGTACACCTCGTATGCGTCATTTACGAAACTGGACCAAGAACCCTGAATTAATTGAAACAAAACAATTGGTGAATGCTTCAAGATTACACGGCTGTAATCTTTTTTTAGTCTTAAATTAATTTCAAAATAATTAATGCATGCGTTAGTGTTCAGAGAAGTCGGTTCGAACATTTGTGAAGTGGAAAAAACCCTTATGTGATTTGTTAAAATATAACCCTTTGTGCCCTGACTTGGGCCAACTTGTAAATTGTCCCAATTTCAGCGAAAGCTGATGCACTGAAGTGGCTTTTCTACTCGGGTGGAAAATATAGTAGTAGGCAGTGTTGTACAAAACGAAATCCTTCATTGTATGTTGAACTTATGTCACACCCTGCGTAGCCAACCGTGCTAATCGGAGGTGCGGGAAACATTACTGACCAAATCCACCTTGAGAATAGGTCAGAGTGGTTTCCTACTCTTGAGCATGGTGCATTGCTTACTCAAAGGCCCTGAACTTGTGGTGGAAATGCCACACTGCTTTGGCAGGTTTAATACTTTAAATCAATAACTTGATTTCCTGCGAAGTGCTAATTTCATCAATCCCAGAGGAATTAAAAGTTGACTCCACCCCGACTGGGATTTGAACTTGGAAACTGCATTCGGAAGTCACACACTCCACTACTGTGCTGCCCCAGTAGTCATGATCAATCATACACTGCTAGATGAAGGCGTCTCCAAACCGTGGTCGGCTCACGGACTCGAAAAGCAACGATGTCATCGAGCTCCTGCACGCGAGCCGATGTCAACGCTCCACCTTCGTGGTGGACCCTCGACCAAGGCTTGCCTGCCTGCTTTTCCCGCCATCCCTTTTTGCCACGTGTCCTGCGCAAGCCCACTCACGCACTCTTATTAACAGCCGAAAATTAAGTCTAGCTTTTTGTTGTGTAGGGTAATAGCGCCGGCTGCTGCCCAGCAGCGGCAACTGCGGTGGACAAACAGCACCTCCACGGGTGCGTGTCGGCAGGGCGTACGAACTGGGGCAAGGGTCATGGAAGACCCCATCTGGAAGCCCCTGGAACCTGCTAGTGAGTTCGAGAAGGGAGGCGTGGCCAGGGCAGAGCCAGGCCGCGCTGGGAGCATAAAAGGAGCTGAGAGCGGGGGCTCGAGGCTGCCGGTTCTGGGAATGAACTCGTCTCGTCGTCTTCGCTAGATATTGCGCGGCCGGATAGTTGTTGGCTGTCTAGGTCAGCGCCATCAGTGTTACACGGTCAGGGTTGTGTCGAGGCTGGGCTAGACGACTTGCGAGAGTGCGAACCTGTGAAATGTGAAGGTCTAAAGAAAGAAGGCATCTCCTGGAAAACCCTTGTCTCCGAATCATCGACACTACATATGCATGTTACAAACTCATCTCTTTGCAAGAAGTGGACAACTCGCTCATCGATGCCATGTTGAGCAGTCTGTCTGCCAGACTGTTTCGCCCCATCCACACTATGCTCCACCACCACTGCTGGTCACAACAACAACAACAGCAACAACAACCGCCATTTCCCACTAAGTGGCAGTGACGTCACTACGGCGTTTGTGCCAGGCTAGGTGCACCGTCAGGCCACGTGAAGCGTCGAAGGCTCGCTGGCAGGAGGTCACGGAACAGAAGACCCAGGTGCCATGGGTTTGACTGACTGAGATGACTGGCAGATCCACCACGTCTCCTTCCACCCAACACACTCACCCACGCACACGCTCAACCACCACACAGTCCACACTGCAGGGAACAACGCTTCTCTTTCTGCCTCTTCCTTCACATCTCTCCACTTTGAAATTCCCTCTCCTCGTCTGTATTCTCAAACTCTCAGAATCATAACCTTGTTCAATGATCTATTCTTAATTACCTATACTTTGCTATAAAATGTAACATTATATGGACAGAAATGTGCTGTATTAGTTGTCCTTTCCCCGCACTTCTGATAAGCACGGTTGGCGACGTACGGTGCGAAAGAAGTTCAACCAAAATTTCGATTTAAAGCTCTCGTGACTGCAGAGATTCATATTCTTGGTTATTTCGGTAAAGTCACGTAGAAGGGAAATAATAAAAGAATAAAATAAACCAATTAAATTCTCACATTCTTTATTTTTTTATTTGTATTATTCTTGTGAGAATTTTATTGTTTTATTTTTATTGTTTTATTATTTCCCTTCTACGTGCATTTACCGAAAGCACCAAGAATAAGTTCAACTTACATAAATAATCTATCCTGTCTCCAATAGTGTTGTTTGTTATTGGCCGCTTGGACGTTTTTGGCCTGTGCTCAGCAACTGTTACATTCAACAACAACAAACATACAATGTCAATGTGTCTCATCTGATTCATTCTTTCATTCCCGTACCACGCGTGTGAACTCATTCATTTTTGATGAATGCCCTCTATCGATTCCAGCTGTTATCGATTCCAAATGTCCCGCACTTTCCGATTTCCACAGCTTCGGCGCTAAATGACATTCACCGAGAATCGACTCCCCCCCGCGCGTTTGTCGATTCTGTCGATTTACTTTCTCGTTTAATATCATTGCGGGAATCTATGTGGTACTAAACGGCAAATCGAATCGATTTCCTCCCCTGCTCGCCTCCCACGTGACAACCAGGAAGTGCCGCCCGCTCCTGAGTACAGCGGCGGCGTTGATTTTGCTCCCCTTGGCCGCCTTCTTCAAGTCCAGGGTCGTAGTCGTCCTCGTCTTCACGTCGTCGTCGTCTTCACGTCGCCGCCTCTTCAAGTCGAAGGTCGTCGTCGTCTCTACGTCGCCGATCGCTTCCCTCGAATCGCTCCGTTTTGCGTCGAGGGTGACGCGCACACACACGCGCGCACATGGCCGAGCTGCCCAAGCGCATCATCAAGGTGAGGAGAGGGAATTGTTAGACCCCCCCCGCTCACCACCACCCCCTCGCCTGACTGCCTGTCCAGCCCCGCGGACGTTGAAGGTTGACGATGACGAAGCGGGGGTGTGTGTGTGTGTGTGGCCACCATTGGTGTGTGTGTGTGTGGCCACCATTGGTGTGTGTGTGTGGCCACCATTGGTGTGTGTGTGACCACCATTGGCGTTGTGTGTGTGTGGCCATCATTGGTGTGTGTGTGTGTGGCCATCATTGGTGTGTGTGTGAGATCACCATTGGTGTGTGTGTGAGATCACCATTGGTGTGTGTGTGTGATCACCATTGGTGTGTGTGTGATCACCATTTGGGTGTGTGTGTGTGACCACCATTAGTGTGTGTGATCACCATTGGTGTGTGTGTGTGAGACCACCATTGATGTGTGTGTCACCATTGGTGTGGGTGTGTGTGAGACCACCATTGGTGTGTGTGTGAGACCACCATTGGTGTGTGCGACCACCATTTGTGTGTGTGTTTGTGACCACCATTAGTGTGTGTGTCACCATTGGTGTGTGTGTGTGTCACCATTGGTGTGTGTCACCATTGGTGTGTGTGTGTGAGATCACCAATGGTGTGTGTGATCACCATTGGTGTGTGTGTGTCACCATTGGTGTGTGTGTCACCATTTGTGTGTGTGACCACCATTGGTATGTGCGTGTGTGAGATCACCATTGGTATGTGTGTGTGTGTGTCATCACCATTGCTGTGTGTGTGTGTCATCACCATTGCTGTGTGTGTGTGTGTGTCATCACCATTGCTGTGTGTGTGTGTGTCATCACCATTGGTGTGTGTGTGACCACCATTAGTGTGTGTGTGTGTGTCACCATTGGTGTGTGTGAGACCACCATTGGTGTGTGTGTCACCATTGGTGCGTGTGAGACCACCATTGATGTGTGTGAGACCACCATTGATGTGTGTGTGTGTGTGATCACCATTGGTGTGTGTGTGTGTGTGACCACCATTGGTGTGTGTGTGAGACCACCATTGGTGTGTGTGTGTGTGATCACCATTGGTGTGTGTGTGACCACCATTGGTGTGTGTGAGACCACCATTGATGTGTGTGTGTGTGACCACCATTGGTGTGTGTGTGAGACCACCATTGATGTGTGTGTGTGTGACCACCATTGGTGTGTGTGTGAGACCACCATTGATGTGTGTGTGTGTGACCACCATTGGTGTAACACGTAGGCTTTCGCGACCAATATTATTCATAATAAAGGTGTTTGGTTAGATCGCGTTATTTATAAATGTGTCGTAACCCTCCACCACCCGACACGGCCAAACAGCAAAAAGTGTCACGTTGACAAAAGACAAATAGTTCACTACTTTAGCCAACGGTGTGTTGAAGAGTGAATCCACAACATTTACAGTTTTTGAGTACGACGTTTCGCTGGTAATTACATCCAGCATCATCGGGCAAATTGTATACCAGACGAGGTAGTTCACATCTTGCCACCACGGCAAGTCGAGAGGTCCGGTTCGAATCCAGGCAGGAATGAATTGAGGGGGGCAGGCGGGGGTGTTCTGGATACAATTTAATAAACCAAACATTTTGAAACAATACTTAACTCCAGCCCACCTTTGATCATGGTGACGATTTAAGCAGTTCACACAACGATGATGTTATTGCATCATCTCTCCACAGACATGACCATTCATGGACGAATCGCTAACAACCAAACAGTACTGTCGATGTGTCAATGATGACTGCCCACGACCATGCCAATGTGGAACTTCCACCACGCCTCAGTGGCCACCAGCTGAGACGATGTCTCCGTTAGAGCGGGAAGACAATGATGGTTACACTTCACGTGAATCCGGGTCATCATCGGCAGCCATGATCTATCCACTGCTGGATCAAGGCCTCCCTATCATGTATGGCCATTCGACGCAACACTCTTTATATCGCTCCTGCACGTGAGATGATCTCATCGCCCCACATCTCCCTGGTGGTCGGTCCTCCCTCCCAGCCACGTCCCCGCTGCCCCTTCATCTTGAGGATGGACCACCGGCCAGTATTCCTTTCCTGCGACTTAGCCCACTTGCCTCCTTCACAGTCAATGTCATGTTTCTGACTTGGGTTTATCTGGTCAATGTCTTCGTCATTCTGCCCCGCACGGTAGTTGCAAGCCTGCGTCACGGTACGCTTTTCTACTTGGGTTTTCTTTTCTTTGGCATTGTCCACATTTCAGATCTATAGGTCATAGCAAGTTAACACACACACTGATGCTTTCATCTTGTAGCAGTTTATTTATGTTAATCCACATGCCCTCTTGCTCTCAGTTTAATTACCGAGTTGCACCTCTCTCTCCATGCCTGTCTGTATACTTTTCCGCTCGTCACACTTTCTTCAAAGTGTCCACGTGTAAGCTCTATAGGTCACAGCGGGGTTAATACTCACCGATTAAACAAAATATTGACTTAACTTTCGTGACTGCAGGTATTAATATTCTTTGGTTCTTTCGGTAAAGTCACGTAGATAGAATAATAAAAAAGTGAATAAAAATGATTTTAAAAAACTATCAATGTAGACTGTAGCCTGGTTCTTAATCGGAGTGAGTGTACTGGCAGTCTATAATGTAGACTATAGCCTGGTTCTTAACCTCGGTGACCATACTGGCAGTCTATAATGCAGACTGTAGCCTGGTTTTTAAGTTTGGTGAGCGCGTATTAGCATTCTAATGTAGACTGTAGCAATGGTTATTAGACTGAGTGAGCATACTGGCAGTCTATAATGTAGCCTTATTCTTGGTTCTTTCAGTAATTAAAAATAATAATACAAAATAAAGATAAAAAAACTAAAAATCTTCCTCGGCCGTCCGCAGGAGACGCAGCGGCTGATGACGGAGCCCGTGCCGGGAATCAGCGCCGAGCCGGATGAGAGCAATGCGCGCCACTTCCACGTCATCATCATCGGGCCCCCCGACTCACCCTTCGAGGACGGCACCTTCAAGCTGGAGCTCTTCCTCCCCGAGGACTACCCCATGGCGCCGCCCAAGGTGCGCTTCATGACCAAGATCTACCACCCCAACGTGGACAAGCTGGGACGTATCTGCCTGGACATACTCAAGGGTAAAGGGTACAGCAAGCGGACACTGGAGGTCGATTGTCGGGGCCGTCACTTAGTTTTAAAAGTAATTTGTCTTGGCGAAAAACAAGTGTTTTGGATTTAAAACGCGCCGTGCAAATGCGGGATAACAGCTCGCTTCCTGCTTTCCCTACGGTCCGCACTTCAACTGTTCACATTTTCGTAGCCTGCCAACGGGGCCCTGATCAAATCACTCGCAATTCACCCCAATCTCGTCAGATTTCGGAAGCTCGGTAGGGCTGCGTCTGGACAGTGCTTGGATGGGAGACGCTGGGCTACGTTGTAAACAGTAGAGGGCAGTGCATCAAAGTACATTTCTGTACTGTATTTCCCAACCCCCCCCCTCCCCGTGTCTATTCTCCATATCTTCACCAACACACTGACCAGTGTCAAGTATGGTCAAATAACCTCAACGACCCAAATTGTGTCAGGAAGTGCTGGTCCAATAATAGTTTGGCAAAAAGGGAAAGTGTATATGTTTGCAGTCTTATCCAGGAAATGTTATTCAGTGTTTTTTTTTTCTAACAATGAAGGCCAAACGGAGCACCAAGCATCACAAACACTGCCGGTTCCTTTCGACTTGGTAAACCATGTCGGTGTCTCAGATGGTGTCTCATCACCATATACTGTTTTAGGACAGAGTTGACACGCTTGTGCGCTACTGCCACAACCCTCGGTCAATGTCTTGGAACAGTCGTCACCGATTTAAGTTCAGCTCTATAATTCTTGCACCGGTAGCAGCCTTTCACGAGAATGCGAGGGCGGGGCAGACGATGCAGACGATTGTCTTCCCTTGCAGACAAGTGGTCACCGGCGCTGCAGATCCGCACGGTGCTGCTGTCGATCCAGGCGCTGCTGAGTGCACCCAATCCAGATGACCCCCTCGCCAATGACGTCGCCGAGCTGTGGAAGGTTAACGAGGCCCAGGCCCTTGAGAAAGGTGAGTGGGTGAGCGGGGTGGGTAGCCGCGTGGGTGGGTGGGTGAGCATGGTGGTTAGATGCGTGGGTGGGTGAGCGGGGTGGGTAGATGCGTGCGGTGGGTGGAAGAGCGGCGTGGGTGAGCATGGTGGTTCGATGCGTGGGTGGGTGAGTGGGGTGGGTGAAAGAGCGGTGTGGGTGAGTATGGTGGTTAGATGGGTGAGTAGGGTGGGTGTGCTTGGTAGGTTGATGTGTGGGTAGATTTGTGGGTGGGCGAGCGGTTGGGTGGATGCGATTGGGCGAGCGGGTGGGTGTACAAGTGGGTCGGTAGGTGAGTGCGGGCGTGAGCAAGTGTGTGGGTGAGGACGTAGGTGCGGGAGGGTATGTGCGTGGGTAGGTGGGTGCTTGAGCGGGTGATTGGATGAGTAGGTTAGTTTGTGGGTGTGCGAATGTGGTGCATTTAGTGCATGAGCGAGTGGGTGTGTCGATGCGAGTGGGTGTGTCGATGCTTCTGGGTGTATTTGCGAGTAGGTGGATGCGTGAGCGAGTTCGCAGGTCGTTGACTTTGTGGATGCGAGTGTGAGTGGGTGGGCGAGTGCTTAGATGTGGGTAGGCAACTCGCCGCTCACAAAAGCTGCAGCCAACCGTACGTGGTGGCTGGATGTGTGGGAGCCCCTGTAAGAGTGCATCAGGTCCAGGCTACGTGGAGTGGTATCGCGAGGGTTTTCAGCAGAGGTTGACAGCGATTGCTTTGCTCGGTTTCACTGGGGGTTGTGATTGCTCTAGATAAATAAGCAGCGCGTTGGGAGGTAAACTGCACGTTCCCAACAACATGTGCACGTATATATTGTTTTTAGAAGGGTGTAATTAAAATTGTTAAATTATGAAGACCGTTAGTAAATACCAGCACAAGCCATCATAGGTCTAAGGACACGGCAGTAAACAATGCATGTGTTCTACACTGTAATGTTTGATGTTATATACCCCCCGTAGACGGTAAGGCAGCCCAGATATTAAAAAAATGTTGGTACCACCCCGAGACAAACCTCGCGTGGTACGTTTTCGTGTCGGCCAATAAACATAAATTACGTGATAACCTTTTCAAATGAGTAGGCCATCATGGATTTGTTTAATTGGATATTCGATGAAAATGGTACCGTTTAATGTGTGCACTTCAGCTTCTACGAATCTCCAGTGACGCAGTGGCGTTGGCATGGGGCCCCCTCCCCTGTTACAACTCCTCTTTGTAGCCCGGCATGTGGGCCCCCTCTGGCCTGTCGGGCCCATGGCAGTTACTATTTTACCAGCCCACTGAGCTTTCTGGCTCTTTTTTTTTCAGAAGTGACCTGGCCACAAATGATTGCTCAGCAAAGTGGCTTATCGCGTGGAAAAATTACAGCAGTCAAATACTCTTAACACGTTTCTGAATGTGGAGCAGAAAAACTGGAGGGCCCGGAGAAAAATCCACACGACCACAGGGAGAGCATGCAAACTCCGAATATGGAGCAGGTGTCAGGGTCCAAATCGAACCCACGACCTCCTGTATACTGGGCGAGGGAGTTAACATCCCACCACCATGGCTGCTCACCCGAGACCCGCGCTACTGCCAATTTCTGTTGAGGCCCTTGGACTGTGGGTGGATCGTGTGCTATTATAACCATACGATATTTAAGTATTCTAATGTCAACAAAATGTCACTTTGTGTTTACAGCAAGGGCTTGGACGAAGCTTCACGCGAGGAGCAATCAGTAACGAGGAGTGCACTTGAGTCGCCGTAATGCTTGAATCTTCTCGACAGGATGCTTTCCAACTTGCGGCTAGCTGTGAAAACGCACTCTAAAAAAACTCACTCTGCTGATGTATGCCGTTAGGTTCACTATTAATAATAGCGTTTTGGTTTCCACGGATGTGTTTTTTTTTGTGCTCGGCAGGATTGTTAAAAGCACCCGTGCGCGCTCAGCGTACTTGCACGCCCGCAGCAACGCGCCGGTTGTGAAGTGCGTGCGTAAAAACTGTCAAAAAGATCCATGACGGAAGGCCCGAGTACGCTGCTTGAAATGATGTGCCTGTTAAAATGATGCTCTCACCCACGACGGGCCTGCTCCGATTCACTCCGCACGCTCATTTGCACGTGCAATCTACGGCAGCATGCGCAGCCAAATTGCAGGGCAGTTACGTTTGTGAATGGGCCTTTGCAATTAGTCCTTTAATTTTCTTCCTTGATTCAATGTCATTAAATGTGTGTTGCCCTTGGTATTGAAATCGTACTTGGAATTTCCAGGCATATCTAGACCTCAACAGTTCATCAATAACACTTCCCTCAATAAAAATATATATACGACAGGTGACATTTTGAGCAATGGCCCTTCAGCTTGGAAAGATGATCTCTCTGCTCATGAATGTGTTGGCTTCTTGCTGTGTGCACCACTGTCAACGCAACATGTTTGGTCCAGCGGGAGCAGGCTTAATAAGAGTGGTGTACAATTAAAAAGTCTAAAAAAATTACGAGCGCATCAATTCAAGATACTTTGTGGTTGTGTATTAAGGAATTACTGTTCAGGAATTTCTTTTCCAGAGGTGGAAACGGACTGGGTATGTATAACTGCTTGCATGCCATACGTAACCAACCATGCTAATCAGAAACGTGGGGAAGGACAAACTAAATATAAAAAGCAGTTTCAGACATTTTTTCAATCTATTTTAAAGTGCATTGCTCAGGTGGTTTCCTGATATCGAAAGAGCGTTCCAGACTGCCACGGAAGTGCATCTAAAAGCGTGTGATGCGGTAACTGTCTGACGGCGAGCCAAGGATAAAAATGCTCCGTCACTAACATTTGCCGCTTTCAAACTGAAAAATGCTCCTTTCTGCAAAAGAGCAATTACACAAAATGTAAGTGTACTAGAAGATTTGTGAATCAGTGGTTGGCGGACTGTACAATGAACTGACCCAGGTTCAATTCCTGGCGACGGCAAGCAATGGGCCTCCCCCCCCCCCTTCACCAATCCACACAGACCAGCGTGGTGAAGCATGATCAATACAATCCCTGCAACGATTACACCATTGGGAGGCCTTTATCCAACAGTAGATAGGCAAAGAACTGCACATTACACTAAAGAAACGGTGAAGTATCTCCAAACAGATGTCTCCAGTGACTGTCATTCAATTGTCCATCCGCTCCCTATTTACACCAGGTACTTAACACTTTACCACACACTATCCGATCGAATTTCTCATGCGACATCGGCACTTTGCGAAAGCTCTGGCAAAGCTTAAGGGCTGCTGGTTCTGAACAAGTTTGCCCTACAACCTTATTTGCAGACCTTACCATTTTTATTTTCAATGCCATGCATCTGACCACTGAATACACCGTTGCGTGTTGAATTCTTGAGTGTAAATCTTCACGCTCTTTATTTCTTAAATAAATCTTTTTAAAAACTGTAAAAGTTTGCGGTTCAGGCTTGGTTCGAAGGGTGTGGATTATTATTACACTAATAAACATTGTAATACATTTGTTGAAAACAATTCTTAAAAGTTGTAGGCATAATTGTGGGGTGTTCCCCCCCGCGAAATAACAGACAACACTCCTTCACTGGAATTATATAAGACAAAGTAATATCCGTTGTGTATTTCCAACTTAACTTTATAAACGAGTTGTTGCATCATGGGAAATAAAGTACGTGAAAGAGTTACAACCGAAAGGACGGCTTTCCAGCTTCGTCTAAATTCTAGAATGACTCCATATTGCAGGCGAGCGGAAGTGCTGTGCAACACGCAAACCTTGGCTGAAAGTTAATATCAGGAATCCGGCCTGTCTTTGGGTGGATTTTTTTTAATCCTCCTCAGGTGATACCTGCAATGAACAAAGAAAAGCTTTTAGCCACAATGTACGTCAACCCCACAGTACACCGCGACCCCACAATGTCCATGATACTAAATCAGATACTTTTAAGTCGTACATTTGAATTAACATATAGTTGATATATTCATCGTGGTAGTGTACAAAACGTCAATCCGCTGTTGGACGAGGGCTTCCCCACACCAAGCGGGTCGGGGGGGTCGTGAGCACGCTGGCCCACGCCGGTCAGTGCGGAATGGCGAAGGTGGGCACCGTAGACTTGCGAGCACCGAAGCGTCGCACAACAGATTTTGCTGCTCACAACGGAGCCCTGCAAGCTCTATGACAAGCTGTTTGTGCGTGGTGGTCACCCACTGTTCAAGCACTCAAAGCTTGACGCCCCCCTCACCCCACTTAGCTTCCGATATCTGACAAGATTGGGCACAAGGTGGCACAGTTTCCCCACATGCAGTCTGGATGTAGTTATTTAAAATGTCAACTTACTGTCCGACAGGGAACCAGCGGTGCTTGCTGGTGTAGAACAAGCGGCTCAGCTCCTCGATGGCGTGGTGCGGTTTCTTCCTGAGCTGCGTCAGCGGATTCACTTCGAGTCGAGCCTTGAGCATCTCCTCGTAGGTCTCCTCCGTGTTGTTTACGGGGTCTGGCCTGGGCATCGGCTGCATGGGGGGTGGAGGGAGGAACAAAATTAAATGTGGCGTGAAGACCGAGGAGACAAAAGGAGGGGAAGACAATTGGAAGAGATGGCAAGATGAACTCGAAACGTTTGGTGACCGCTGCTGGATAACAGGAGAAACTAAAGATATCAAGGAACGGAAGTAAAAAAGAGAGACCTTTTGCCCAGCAGTGTTAAGTTACAGGCCGATGACAACTTATTTTGTGGTCGATTACATTGGTCAACACACTTTTTAACACACCATCCTAAAAATACAGCACCATATTTTAACACTAAAGCAGTCACTGACTCGCAACAACTTGCAATCATAAGTGACAGTTAATTTCGGGTAAAATAAATGAAAATAGGGTATGCCGATAGCATAAAAATGAGATGTGATAGAGCAAATCTGAGATCAGATTTGGAATCAGCACCCTGAAATTAGTCTAAAACAGTTGCAAAAGTCCAAGCCAGAAAAAAATGTTTTTTTTTTGTTGACCAGAGTTATCTGGGCCCCTTTCAAAATGACAGCCCCCCACATCCGTCTCCCACAAGCCACAACCAGCACGACGCGGCCGATGATGTTCAGTCACCAAGCACCGCCAAATCACCTCCCGTCCAGCGGTACGTGTTATTCAATTCGTCGAGCAATCGAACCGAGAATTGGTCGAGATTACCAGGCACGGAAATAAACAAATACGATGGAATTGCGATGTACAATTTAAAAGTTAGGGGAAAGTGATCTCGTGATTATCGCCATAGCGTGAGAACTGACATCGTATTGGTCGTAAAAACAAAAATGTTGTAGCGCTGTTGTAGATGCAAGCAGCACAAACCTGTGACAGCTCGTAGGGGAACTCCAGGGCCGGGTGGTGGCAGACGATGGTGCGCCCATCGGACGTCAGGGCCAGCTCCACCTTGCTGTGTCACGTTTGAAAACATAAATGAAAAAAAAACATCAATAACACTGCCCTAAAAGTAAAAACTGCATATGATAAGACGTTCCTGGCGATGGCACTTCTTCATGGGCACGTGTTTATGCATCACACATCTATTTTCTTGCGTATAGAAGTATGTTCAGGAGCTAAATGGCAAAATTTGAGGTCTGCTAGCCACGAAGAGGGCCTTCAGCAGAGTTGGCGTAGTTTTGCTGTTCCTCCTCCGCTGAAGGAGCGCAAGCTACAGTGGATTGATTACACAACTCAAACTATGGACAATTCAGTGAAACACGAGCAGTATCACAAACACGGTGTTTACTAATAATAATTCTGATAACATCAGTGTTTCATAATAACTCTGATAGTCTGTTGTCTTTCCCCGCACCTCCGATTAGCACGGTTGGCTACGTACGGTGCGTAAGAAGTTCTACGTACATCACAAGCACCGACTAACCGAGCCCATGCGAGTGTAAAGTGAGCTTCGTACCAGTTGTAGTCATCGGGCAAGGCGGAGTATGAAGACTTGTAACACGGGTGGAGCCAGCCTGCGTTTCCAGACCACAGTTCAAACGCAGTGTTTAACCTGCGGGTGCGAGATGCCCTTTCTGGGGGTGCGAGACATGGCCACATTTATTTTAAAAGGTAAATCATCAAAACTCAAAATAAGCCACGGGCACGTAAATACAACTTACTTTGTTTCATCAAACCCATGTATTTAATAACATTAAATTTTTGAATGATTGAGAACCAAATGGGTGTAAAGCAAGCCATCGTCAGCCAGGCTCGCTCCACTGCTGAATAAAAGCCTCCCCGTGCAGCTGACGCCACATCTCTGGATCCTGCGATGCAACACTCCACCACCTATGCCCACAACACCTCCACACACCACGAGCCGAGTGCTGGTTAAGTCACGCGAGTGTAGCCGTGGGGAGCATACAAGATCGGCCTCTGTGGAGGAGGTTCATGAAGGACGCTGCTGTGCAGTTGGGAGGCAGTCGCCCTCCAACAACGGAGGGCGGAGGAACGACGCTCACAACGAGCGGAGCGCCGGGTGGATAAAGCACAGCAAGTTGGTACAGTAGGGGGCACAGGTGGTGCATCAGCCAGTCGTCTCGGTCATCTCAAGTCAGTTGACCCGTGGCACCTGCTGGGTCTGCCCCGTGATCTCCTGCCAGCGGGCGTTCGACACTTCACGTGGCCTCAAGGTGCACATAGCCTGGCACAAGCGTCGTGGTGACGTCACCGCCACTTAGTGGCGAATTACGGTTGTTGTGGGGAGCATACAAGCACAGTACAATTATTTCGCTGCACCGCCTGTTGGCGTATAGGCCCTCAACAACAGCCAAGCGGAGGCTGCACCACGGCACTTGCGCCAGGCTAGGTGCACCTCGAGGCCACGTGAAGTGTCGAAGGCTCGCTGGGCAGACAGTGATGGGGGGCAGAGGCGGGTGTTGAGGGTTGATCGACTGGCAGAGCACCGTCCAGGGTCAGATGTACTTATGGCATTGCCCTACCACACAGCAGCAGGAGCATCAAATCGGAGTATTATAATCGATCCACTGCTGGACCGAGGGGCCTCAATCCACGCCTCCGTGGCAGGCCAGTTCGGTGAAACAACGCCTTCAATGTTTCTTTGTTTAAATGTTAAACAAAACTAGAAACAAGCGCTGAAGGTTGCCTCGACTTGAGGCCTTACCCCACCACCCCCTCCCTCGTCGCTTACCCAGCCGAGGCAGACGCGCCGCGCTCCGCACAGCGGCCAGGCGAGCCAGCGCGTTCATCTCCTGCTGCGGGCTCGCACTCCTCTCTTTGAAAACACAAATGTAGTCAACAGCGGCGACTAAACTAGAATGAAAACGAAAGAGTTGAAGTATCTAAGGGCTGTGACGAGACGTCGCCTGGCCACGCGTGGAAGCGACCTTGCGTGACGTCACGCTCGGAATAACTTTATTGGAACCGGGCAGCACCACCAAGGCTCCGCCCCCCCCCAGGGGTGAGCGTTGAAATAACTTTATTGGAACATCGGGCGATGCAGAATATTGAAGCATTGGGTATTTGATAATTGTTTTTTTACCCTTTTAAATGGCAACACAACTGGCACCTGTTTTACAAGGAGTCATGTTTGTATAGACCACAATACCTGCAGTCATAATGCAAACAAAAAACATAACTCTGATAATGTATGCACTGTCCTTGAAGTTGATTGGTCCACACTCGAGACAGCTTTCCTTAGAGCCTAGTTTCACATGGTGTTGGGTATATCGTAAGAGTTTTTTTTTATTGTAGGTTAAATATAGACGCGTCGTTAAATCCACCAACCACCAACCACGTCACACGGCCAATTAGCAAGGTGTTTGTCACGCAAATTAATAAAAACAAATGTGCCAATTACGGTAGTTACGTTTTCAGCACACCAGCGTGTTGGAGAGTAAACCCAGAATAATATTTACAATTATTCAAAAAGCATCAACGAGCTCGGGTTGAGTCAGCGGCGTGACTGGCGTGGAGGCAGGCAGGGGGTGTGCTGTGCCTTGGCCCTCCTGGTGGATAAAGCTACGAAATGTGGCCCATTCCTTGACAACCGCCATGAAATACAGATTGCTTCAAAAAGTGATAACACTTAAATGGCACAATCGTTTTTAATAGGAAAAGAACGGATAAAACACTGTAACATGATAACATATGTATGTTAATAGCTTCAAAAAGCTAAAGAGAATCCTACTCGTTCGCCATCATTGTCAATGTTTATTGTGGTTTCGTTGCACATTTTAAGAAGTGTTTTTTTTTTTATGTGAATCACCCTGTAATTGTTTTCAACAACAGTGTAACAAGAACAACACACGATAATTTAAAACATGGTTTAAATGTACTCTCGTGAAAATGCTTTCATGTTACGTGCCACGTTTTATTTTAACTTAATTGGAGCAGTAACGTTTCGCCTCCGCAAAAATGGGCATGGCGTGTTTGTGTGTACGTTGTAGTCATCATCATTAGTTCATTACCATTGTGTAACCAGCAGGTAGACGAGCAGCGCCGTAGTAAACGAAACGATTCCATGGAGGCAAGAAGACAAATTTAATATTGGGGCCCCACGGGGCCAATTGCCGCACCCCCCTGGGCTGATGTCGTCACTACGCCACTGGGTTGAGTAAGTTATAGCTATGGGTCCCTTTTCGTCGGTATCATTTGTGCTGTTCGGCTTTTGGCGTTCTCTCGCCTATCACTGGTTGGTGAGACAATTCCATCAAGGAGACCAATCAGTTTCAAAAACAATACGTGCATTATTATCGAAGCATTTTTGTTTGCATCTTTGACCACAATCACGTGCGGTCAATGCAGACTTGATGCCCTGGAATGGGTGTCTATTTGGTGTTTGAACGTCTTAACACCTCGTGTATTACAGCATTGTCGGAAAAGGGTAAAGCCTATCATTTTATCATCGGATTAAAAGCGTCGTAATTTGCGTGTGAAGACGCGACTTAGTCTTTGCTTATCTTTGCTCGTATTTCAATGAGGCTGCGCCATATTCCATGAAGTATTCAGATGTTTGAATACACGTGTTATTATTTACTTAATTTAAAATACGTGGGGGTCATGGTATACGTTGTAATAATATAATCACACACCAGGGTCACATCGTTTTCATCCTCATAGTCAACTCGGTTCTTAAGGCCCAATAGAATAAAAGGGCCTCAATTGTCATCAGCCATGATCAATCCACCGCTGGATGAAGGCCTCTCAAAGCCGACGCCGATTATCTCTCACGGTCCTGCGATGCCACAACTCCATGGTCGTGATGGTGGTGGTGTACGACCTCCCAGCTCTGTTCCCTACTTTGGCAGCCATTCTGTCATCAGTCTCAACCGCATGGTTATCATCCGTTCTCGCGACCATGCTCTAGCCAAGCCCCACTTAACAAGTCAATACGATGTCTCTACCTTTACTTTTTACGTGTTCCGGCCAGTGTGAATTCCACGCGCTTCTTTGTGCACTTTTCAGCTTTTGGTTGCATTTTCATCGTGTATATATTTTCTCAAATCTACGTGTCATAGCAGAAAAACATGCGTATTGTGTGAACACTTCCTTTAAGCGTATCGATACGTTGCTTTTCAAGAGTTCAGCAAACACTCAAATCTGACTGTCTCGCTCGTCTCTATGTCATCATTGTTATCCAGGTACTGTTTGAAAAACTGCCCTTAGGACATTCTACTCTGATGTGTTTTCCAGTCGATGTCATGTGCTGGCTTTTGTTTGGCGGCGAGATGTTAACGACCTCGCCTGGTATACAGGAGGTCGTGGGTTCCATCCCGACCCTGACACCTGCTGTATATTTGGAGTTTGCATGTCTCTCCCCGTGCTCACGTGGAATTTTCTCCAGGGCCTCTGGGTTTTCCCTCCACATTTAGAATCAAAGCGTTTAGAGTATTTAGTCACTGCTATAAATTTCCACATAAGCCACTTCGTTGAGATATCATTTTGGCCAGGTCGCTTCTAAAAAAGAGATACATAGTTCAGTGGGCCTTATATGATAAAATAAAATATAGTTGAGTTTAAATCGTTTTTAGTTAACTTGGTCTCCTTCTGCATTAAGTTATTCAAACTGTTCTATCGGTCTCTATACCGACTGGCATCAGCAAATTTCAGACGGTTAGTATTCCCCTCGTTTATATGTATGCCTTTATTATTTCATTCTAATAATCTGTAAACATCTTCCCATGTTGCTCTGACTAACTTTCGCGAGTGTATATCTCATTTCCAGAGGCTGCTAATTAATGTTACATGTGTGCACTGTTTTCAATTTATTCTGTAATTCCTTTAGGGTTTTTTTTAAACTGTGATTTATATGTCAGTTTAACACGTAGGAGGCTTCACGACCAATATTATCCGTAACAGAGGTTGTTTAGGTGAGATCGCGTAAATATATAATGTGTCGCTAAGCCCGCTACCACCCGACAGCCGATTAGTAAGATTTGTTACGTTAACAAAACATGCCAATTCGGTACCAGTTCAGCACACCGGTGTATTGGAGAGTGAACCCACAGCATTTACAATTCGGGTACGACGTTTCTGCCGGTAATTACAACCAGCATCATCAGGCGGCAGCCAGATACATCTGGCGGGTTTCACGACACATTTATATTTACGCGATCTAACCCAACAACCAAAAAACCCCGTCTATTACGGATTGTGTGGCTATGGGCGACCCGCGTTTCGCCTCTAGATGGCAGCATTGTCAGTCGAAAGTTCTCTCGTGGCGGGCACGTGGAGCGGCGAATTCGCGTTCTTACCCCAGGCGCTCTGCGCGTCGAGGCTTCGCCTGGCTGGCTTCCCTCCCACACACGCAAAATAAAATCATAACGACCCACGCCACGCAAGCTTCAAATGTTAAATGGACTTACACACTCAGCAGGAAGAGGGGTGGGGGTGCGATAAATCACCCGTTCGCACGGATTCTGTAAATCCAACATGCCTTTGTCCGTGTACGTTTAGTTCATTCAAGAAACAGTGCTGTATATAATAAGATGACGGATTGTGACACCGGGAAAACCGTCTATTCACAGTTTGGCCTTTTGGCGCAGATTTTTTTTTTTTACTCTCCCAAGTTATGGGCAATCCTTCAACGCTGTGGCCGGCTTTCAACAGCCGAAGTGCCTTATAGCAACACAGCGTTACACTCAGTATACATTCTCATTTATATTCGAATCAACTTTCCGCCCACCGTGACGCGACCGATGTCGATGTCGCCAGCGAGTCCCGCCCGTCACCTCCCGTCCAGCGGCACACGTTTGCCCAACTATCTTCGTGCTCTCCGGCTAGCCGAGTAACCGATCGCTTCTTCGTCTACTTGCTTGGCGGCGAAGACAGATCGCCAGCGTGTCTGTGTTCATGTCGAGGTTGGGTGGATGAGTGAGCCACCACTGAGCCGCACCTCCGGTTGGCTACGTACGATGCGAAAGAAGTTCAACGTTCTGTACATAACAGAGGAGTGGCCTCGTGGTGTGACGAACTGTGATTGTGAACCCGCGAATAATCGAAGCGGGCAATTGCGTGATTGTGTGCGGTCCATGGTTTGAGATAAGACTCACGTGCATATTCATAGACTCGCACAGAGACACCTAGAGACTCGCATAAGAGACCCACGGACTTACGCAGAGACCCCCACAGACACCGATATACTTTGCACGTGGACAGCGACGTCTCTCTGTGTGCATGTTGAGGTCGGTCCGAGTGAGCCAGTGGGTGGCTTCAAGAGTCGCCGCACGGCGGATGTCTGCGGTGCTGCCATCAAGTAAAAACACATTCCTGCGGAGGGAGCTGGTAGGAACGTTGGGTTGCTCGGTCAATGGCCAGGGTCAACGGCGGCGTGGTGTATTCCGCAAATATGCCCGACTGTGAGGGCGGACACAAGCCGGCTTGAGTAGGTTAAACGTTGAGTTTTATAAGGACACCACGGGGTGACCAGCCCCTCCCCACCCAGCCCCACCCCTCCCACTCCCCACGCAACCCCTCCCCACCCCTCCCCACCCAGCCCCTCCCCACCCTCCCCACCCAGCCCCTCCCCACCCTCCCCTCCCCACCCAGCCCTCCCCACCCAGCCCCACCAAGCCCCTCCGCACCCAGCCCCTCCCAACCCTCCCCACCCAGCCCCTCCCTACCCAGCCCCTCCCTGCACGACGGACGGACACAATAATCCCCTGTGGGCTGGTGTAACCAGGAGGTTCCTACCAGTACAAGTGGCGCTTTCAAAGTGGCCCCGTGGCTCGAGACAAGCTGACCGCAGTCTCACTGTGGCCGATTGATAATCGTCCGTCGGACGGAAGATATCCCACTATCGATCGCTGAAAACCATCGGTTATCCCAACTCGACGCGAATGACCATGTTGCTGTTACGATGGCTCTGTCTCGTCATTTACAGAATCTTCCAGGCTAAATAAAGATTTTTGATTTATTCGATCGACAACTATTTACAGACAGGGTCGCCTTGTATGTGTGAGATGTTGTGAGCTGTTGAGCCGTTGATGGCGGGGAAAGTGCCAAAGACAAAGATCACCCGTGTAGCCTTAGCAGACTGTTGAGCCAAGTGCTCTTAGCGAGTAGCACCTATGAAGGCGCACGAGGGGGGGGGGGCGGCCAGCACTACGCCCTGCCGCCTTTGTCTCCCCAGTGCAGTGACGATGTTTACACACCGCACCAGTTACTCATTTAAATCTGAGTCGACCTAGACAAGACCCATGACCCGTTCAGATACTCGCCACTGGTGTTGGCCGTGAGCGGGAATCGAACTCGGGTCGCCGGGTGCGTAGCGCAGCGCGCGAACGGCTACACTGTCACCACCGCCACCGACATCACGAGCGGCAGCAGCAGCATCAGCAGACATCTGAAATGCTCCGTGCCGGAGGAGGGCAGCACGTGAGCGTAATTCCTGGAAGCTTCCAAGAAATCGGCTCGGAGAGGAGGCAACGCTCTCCACAAACCCAGCCTCCACGCGAAGCCAGAAGGAACGACCCCACACCACCACCAGACGTGCGCCGGGTCTCAGATTGAAAGCTCCAGGCTCCGCACGTTGCCAAACGGGGCTGGGTGACCGGCATCGAAAACAACAACAACAACAACAACGTCGTCGTCAACATCATCGTCACCCAACAGTTGCAACATCGTCAAGAGAAAGCGACGGACGCAAGGACGGAGATAGAGAGGGGGGGGGGGGCAGTAGAGGACGAGCAGGAGGAGATACGGGTTCGCGCGCGCGCGCGTGCGAGTGCGTGTCTCACTGGATGTGAAACTCTTGAGCCCTGGTTTGCACCCGAGCAAGTGCGGCAGCGCCACGAAAGCGCGAACAACGTTGTTGCACATTGTTACACATTGTTACACGCGCGACAGATTTGGCAAAGGGTGGTCTCTGGTGCGAGTCTAAAATTAAAACACCCGCCAGACAAAGTCCGAGACGTTTCCACTTCGCCTTTCAGCAGGCGAGCGGCCGTCTTCTGCTTTTTTGGGCGCAAGCGACACTCCGACCACCGTCCGTCACTCGCAATATTTGGTAAGTGTGCGCAGCGGCGGCATTAGCAGTAGTTGTTGTTGTTGTTGCAACCGTCGTAGTGAGTCGTTCTCGTCTTCCCAATCGTAGTTCTTGTGGGCTTGAGTCACTGCGTCTGTTTGTCACGCCTGTCTGTTTGTGGTCGGCGTGCGTTTGAATGCGCCCGGTGTTGTCCACCCGGTACGTGTAAACCGGTGTCACGGGTAGAATTGTTTTGAGTATTTGTTTAGTTGTGACTGGGAGGGAGGCGGACGAACCTGCCAGTGATTTCCACTGCGTCTGTTAGAATGATGCAAGTCATCTTGAACCGAGTTGAGTGCGCCCACCATTATATTGCGCATGGACAGAACAGCACGTGTCGGTTCAGAGGTGTCAAAAAAAAGACAATTCAGAACGCGCGCAAAATGCAGTCGGTTCGCGTGCAGGTGGATTGTGATGCCGTGGGATCGCACGAGGTGGTGGTGGTGGCGCTTCGCCGAGGCATTCATTCAAAAGTGAATTGACGATGACCCACGACGACGACTATGATGGTGGTGGTGATGATGAAAAGCGAATTAGATGCCAAACTAGCACGCGCGCTCGCTAGTTTCGCGTCGGGAGTGCGTTCACGGTGGTGCTGGTGGTGGTGAGCGCGCCGCGCTACGAACCCAACCACCCGAGTTCGATTCCCGTTGACGACCAATAAGCAGTTGACGGATATCTGAGCCGGGCATCTGGGCCGCCCCTTGGATCGACTACGCTTTAAACCAGTATCTGGTGCGATGTGTGTAAATATTCGCCGCTAGGGAAGACAAAGGCGGTCGGGCGGGGTCTTGGTTACCCACCGTCTCGTGTGCCGTGCCGGCCTTCACAGGTGCTACTCACTAACAGCACTTGGCCGAACCGTCTGTCGAAGGCGATACGGGAGATCTTTGTCTATTCCGTGCGTACCTGCGCTCGCCATAAGAGCAAACCCCGTCGTAAACCCGCCACTGCATCTCGTCCCGAAACGTCGCTCTCCTCGGGTCGAACGAGTGCTCGGCGTGCCTGCCTGCCTGCCTGCGCGCGGATCGCTCGCATTGTTGCGCCTCGGTGTCGCCTCTTCGCCGCGTCGCACGGGGGGAGGGTGGTGAGGAGTGGTGGTGAGTGGCGGTGGTGTGGTGTGGTGGAGGTGTGGAGTGGTGGTGAGTGGCGGTGTGGTGGTGTGGTGGAGGTGTGGAGTGGTGGTGAGTGGCGGTGTGGTGGTGGGGAGCGGTAGTGTAGTGGTTAGCGCGCTGCGCTACGAAGCTGGCCACCCGGGTTCGATTCCCGCTCACGGCCAACACCCTGTGACGATTATCTGAACCGGTCCTGTGCATCCCCTAGGTCGACTCACTGGGGAGACAAAGGCTGCCGGGCGTGGTGCTGGCCACCCACAAACCTCGTGTGCCGTGCCGGCCTTCATAGGTGCTCGCTATAACAGCACTTTTCCCCAAAAGTCTGTTAAGGCCACACTGGGGATCTTTGCTGCCATCGTCTGTCATCTCTCTGTGACCGGGGTAGCCGTCCTGTCGGATTCGTCAGAGCGCGGCGAATTTTGCCGCTTTCGAATTTGACGCTCACCCCGAACCGACAACGGCGGCGGCGCAAAATTCTCACCAAACTCCACGCGCGTAAACGTCGCCGCGCCTGTGTGTCCGTGACAAAGATCCCCCCGTGTTGCTAATGTTTTTTTATACACGTCGCACTAGGTACTCATTTTAGGCTGAGTCGACCTAGATAGTCGTCACTGGTGAGGGCCGTGAGCGGAAAGCGAACTCAAGTCGCCAGCTTCGTAGCGCAGCGCGCTACCGATCCCCACCTTTGACGTGAACCCACAAACACACGCACACATATGTACATTCACAAAAATGACAAAAGATCCTCTGCATCATAGCGTTCATAGCGTTTAACAGACTTTTGGGGCGCGTGCTGTTAGCACCTTATGAAGGCCGGCACGACACACGAGAGAGGATGTAGTGGCCAACACCACGCCTGGCCGCCTTTGTTGCCCCAGTGCTAATGTGTACACACGTCGCACGGGCTACTCATTTGAGGTCGATTCCACGTTGGGGGGTGGCGCAGGACCGGTTGAAATAGTCGCCGGGGTTTCGAGGCGCAAGTTGCGCTCACCGCTAACAAACCGCCGTCGTCTTCGCAAACACACGCGTACGCGTCCGCACTTCGTACGTGCAACACAGCGGCCTCGGATACTGAACGTGCCTCGTTAATTATTCCGCAGACAATAATCGCAGTAATGAATGCGCCACGCAGGCGTGCGGTGAACGCACCGAAAAAAAACCACAAAAACGCGCTTGACGCAATTAACCACGGAACGCTGTCTGCGAGCAAAGTGACCAGGAACACTACAAGACTACACACGACCCATTGTGTGTTCGTCTTGCTGTTGTTGTTTAGTATGTTCAGTCCGACACGGGTGGCACAGGCAGGTATCTGTTGCTTCTTTGTCTCAAGTGTCCCCGGCCCCCCGACTATATCTCCAGTAGAAGTGCACCCTCGATGACAAGTTCATGGATGACAGCGCGCCACGGACACATTGGCGAAACAAACGGGATAACTCGATACGGATTGATCAAAAAATCCGGGTTAAATCGACACGGATTTGAAAAACACCGGATAACTCGACACGGATATTTTTTTATATAAAACGGGATAATTTGACGCGAATTAAAAAAAAAACGGTATAACTCGATTACATTAAAAACAGGATAACTCGACACGGATTGCTACAAAACTCCGGGTTAACTCGACACGGATTCTAACAAACGGGGTAACTCGACAGGCAATGAAGAAGAAAACCCCCCAGGATAACTCGACATAAAACCCAAGTGCGTGATAACTTTGACACGAATCGAAAATAAACTCGAAGCGACTTGAGCACGACTGGTTTTGATGTGTCGCTTGTAAGAACGATGGTGGTCTCTTCTCCACGTGTGCAACCTGATCGCCGCTCTTTCATTAAACCCACGCGTAATTTAATAATCGTGAGTAACCCTTAGCGACAAATGGCAACGCTTAATCAGATGCGCATGAGTAATGGGTGTAGAAATGATGCCCTGACTAATGATCACCTCATTTTAGGGCTTAGGGGGGGGGGGGGGGTGTCGTGGGGCAATTGTGCAGGGCGTAAACTCCACGCTAACTGCGTCTAAAATGGTTCAACGTTGGCCTAATTGCAGTTCTTAAAGATACCACCACCACGCTCCTGTCGTACGTTGTGCGGGGAGCGGTGGCGCGGCAGTTAGCGCGTTCGATTCCCGCTCACGGCCAACATCAGTGGCGATCGTCTGATCCGGTTCTGGGCCTCCCCTAGACCGACTCAGCCTCAAATGGGTACCCGGTGCGATATTTAAACGTCGCCACTCGGGTCGACAAAAGGCGACAGGGCGTGATGCTGACCGCCCACCCCCCGCGTGTATCTTGGCGGCCTTCATAGGTGCTCGTCAACAGCACTTGCCACTAAAGTCTGCTAAGGCTACACGGGGGAGCTTCGTCTTCTCCATACCCCCCCCCCCCCCCCAGTTATCTCCGAGTAAATCGCTTTAAAACGCGAGATACGTTGAAGCCGCTGGGGCGGTTGTTCAAAGAACAAAGAATCCCGATTTAAAGCTTTCGTGACTGCAGGGATTCATCTTCTTGGTTCTTTCGGTAAAGTCACGTAGAAGTGAAGTAATAAAATAATAAAAATGAAACATAATAAAATAATTCTCACGACGTTTCGGTCACAACGCAAGCAGCCGTTCTCAGGTGAAGAATGAGGACGGCTGCTTGCGTTGTGGCCGAAACGTCGTGAGAATTATTTTATTATGTTTCATTTTTATTATTTTATTACTTCCCTTCTACGTGACTTTACTGAAAGAACCAAGAAGATGAAAGAGAATCCCGTTTTATAGCGAGCGACACCGGCGTTATGAGCCCCCCCCCCTCCAACCCACACAACGCGGCCACCTCTGCCCCCCCTCGTGGAAACGTGGACGCGTCGCAGCAGTCACTCGCTCGAGGACGAGTCGTCGACACGATCGAGGCCAGGGACCGCTTCGCATGGCCGGCACTGACGTTAGCCGTGAGCGGAGATCGAACTCGGTGTCGCTGGGTGACGCAGCGCGAGTGGCCTACGAGGCCACGGCGCACGAGGAGACGCGATGGAGGATGTGTCCAACGTGCCCGGTCGCCCTTTGTCTCCCCCAGTGCACGATGTTTTAAAAAAAAAAAATTTGTTTTACACAACGCACCAGGTGTGTAGAACATAAACGGCACGGATATCGCGCGCCACCGGCGGTCGCCATGAGCAGCGTTGTTAAAAGGCAACCGATAAACCGGCGAACCTTGTTTGTTGTTGTTGCATAATTGATCATTACCGGTTACGAAAGTTTATGGAACGCCAGGAATCGTTTTACATTCGAATTCAGAAGAATCTATTCTGCTGCGTGGACACAAGACACACACGGAAGACGTGGTGGGGGTGGTGGGGTGAGATGATTAACAAACTCAGAAAGTTTCTCCGATTGACGCGTTCCAACTGCGGCACGCGGGGGAGATGTAATTGTACCGGGTGCCCCTTCCAGAATGCCAGGTTGTGTGTGTGCTGGGTGTATATGTGTGCTGGTTGTGTGTTTCAAGTGTCATGTATTAGGTGTATAGCCCTTTGAGCCATGCGGCTATTGAGTCGGGTGCAACCGCAACACACTAAATATGAACAGAGAACATCTTAAAGCGACGACGCGCAACAGAAACATCCTGGATAAACCCGTGTGTGTGTGTGTTGCGGAGGCTGCCTTCGTTTCCGAGTTAATAATGTGGAAATGTGCAATGATGTTAACGTCACGTTCGACCTTTTTAAACAGTACGTGCGGAAAAATCGTTAACCGTTTTTTTTTGTTCGTTACTCAGAAAGCAAAACCACCCCCCGGTGTTTAACAAGAATAACAACGACACAACCTTAGATCGTAGGCGCAGTGCGCTAACCACTGCACCACCGCTCGCCCAACAATGAACAAAAGACAAAGATCTCCCCCGTACAGTCTAGCCTTTGAACAGACTGTTGGGACAAGTGCTGTACCTATTTGAAGGCCGGAACGCCACATGATGTGCGGATGGGTGGCCAGCACCACGCCCGGCCGCCTTTGCCTACCCCATGCTGATGTGTACACACCGCGCCCACGTGTTCAGTTAAGGATGAGCCCACCGGTTCAAATATTCGTCATCGGTGTTGGCCGTGAGCGGGAATCGAACTCCGGTGCGCCGGGTTCGGAGAGCAGCACAACTAACCGGCTCCGCCACATGTACACCACGCACGCTCTGACACGCATGTAGACACAAAGATAAAGACCCCCACTCCCTATATAGCCTCAACAAACTGTAGGGGCAAGTGCTGTTAGCGAGCACCTATGAAGGCCGGCACGGCACTCGAGGGGGTGGGTGGCCAACACCACGCCCGGCCGCCTTTGTCTCCCCAGTGGCGATGTTTACACACCGCACCGGATACTCACTTGAGGCTGAGTCGACCTAGGAGATGCCCAAGACCGGTTCAGATAATCGTCACCGGTGTTGGCCGTGAGCGGGAATCGTTCTCGGGTCACCGGTTTCGCGGCGCAGCGCGCTAACCACGACACTACCGCTCCCCACGTACACACGCGCGCACACACGCAACTTACTACACATTGACTGATGTAGTTTCATTTTACCCACTTACGCCGTTGGGAAGCCTTGGGACAATACATTGTTTCGTTGCAAATCAAATACTCTCTCTAACATCTTAGAATGCATCGCGTTATGAAAGCCCCCGAGCATCTAGATTTGAATTCAATCAAGATGATTATAATTAACTCCCCATTAACTTATTACTCTTTATCGTCTGCTTCTTGCTGGTTGTATGCGCGTCCGTCGGGGTGTGTGTATGTGTGTGTTTGGGGAGACAAAGGCGGTCGGGCGTGGTGCTGGCTATCCACCCTCTGCTGTATCCGTGCCGGCCTTCATAGGCGCTCGCTAACAGCACTTGCGCCCCAACAGGCCGCAAATCTTAACTCGGGGTCTCTGTCTTGTTTGTTGTCTTGTACCCTGTGTATGTGTGTACTGTACCTGTGTATGTGTGTACATTGTGTATGTGTGTACCTGTGTATGTGTGTACCCTGTGTATGTGTGTACATTGTGTATGTGTGTTCCTGTGTATGTGTGTACCTGTGTATGTGTGTATGTGTGCACCCTGTGTATGTGTGTACCTGTGTGTGTGTACCTGTGTGTGTGTGTACCTGTGTGTGTGTACCTGTGTGTGTGTGTACCCGTGGGGAGCGATAGTGTAGCGGTTAGCGCGCTGCGCTATGAACCTGGCGACCCGAGTTCGATTCCCGCTCACGGCCAACACCAGTGACGATTATCTGAACCTGTCTTGGGCCTCCCCTAGGTCGACTCAGCCTGAAATGGGTACCTGGTGCGGTGTGTAAACATCGCCACTGGGGAGACAAATGCGGTCCGGCGTAGTGCTGGCCACCCACCCCCATCGTGTGCCACACGTGCCCCAAAAGTCCGTCCGGGCCATACGGCTGTGGGGGGATCTTTGCGCGCCTGCGTGTGTAGTGTGAACGAGTAGATCTGTGCGCGCGAGATTCACACACGCAACACAAAACACGCAAGTTCGATTCCCGATTAGGGAAAATAACCGCGTGGGGTTTATCCGAAGCCTGCGGTGGTTGCACTTGGGGCGACTCGGCCCTTAGAAGGTGGAACCCGGCTGAGTGAAGCTTCAAACGCAAATTGCAGACAGAGGCGGATGTCGGCATTGTGGCTTTGAGCTTGGGCATTATTTTCCGGCCTTTTGCAATTGTGTGGCTGTAAGTGTTGGTGGGGAGGAGGGGGGAGGGGAATAAACTTTCGTCTGCGTGTGAGCGGTGCATTCGTATACATTCACGCGTGTACACAAAAGACAAATATTCCACCGCGTTTATTGCAGCCTTATTCACTGTCGGGGCAAGTGCTGTTAGCAAGCGCCTATCAATAAACCCAGGCAGGAGCACGCGCGGCTGACGTGGCGAGCACAACGCCCGACCGCCTTTGTCTCACCCAGCGTTGGCGTTCGACGTTCACACACCGTATCAGATACCCGTTTAAGCGTGAGTCAGCCTGAGTGAGGCACGTGATGGCCGTGGTCGGGATTCGAGCTGAGATCGCAAGCTTCATCGCGCGCAGTACGCTAACCGCTGCGCCACTGCTCCATAACACTTGTCCCAACAGTCTACGTGCTATACGTGGGATCTTTGTCTTTGTTTCGTGTACGCGCGTGTGGGGAGCGGTGGTGTAGCGGTTAGCGCGCTGCGCTATGAACCTGGCGACCCGGGTTAGATTCTCGCTCACGGTCAACATCAGTGAAGAGTATCTGAACCGGTCCTGGGTCTCCCCTAGGTCGACTCAGCCTCAAATGAGTACCTGCTGCGGTGTTTAAATATCGGCACTAGGGAGACAAAGGCGGCCGGGCGTAGTGCTGGCCACCCACCCCCTCGTGTGCCACAGTGCCGGCCTTCATAGGTGCTCGCTAACAACACTTGCCCCAAGTCTGTTCAAGGCTATACGGGGGATCTTTGTCTTTGCAAGTCTTCGTTCCTTGAGTTTATTTCTGTAGGTAATGTTATGTGTACGTGAGTCTGTGTACGTATGTATATTTGTGTGTGTGGGGAGCGGTAGCGCTAACCGCTATGAACCGAGCGACCCGAGTTCGATTCCCACTCGTGGTCAAGACCCAGTGACGAGTATCTTGAACCGGTCCTGGGCATCCCCTAGGTCGACTCGGCCTCAAATGATTACCTGGCGCGCGGTGTGTGAAAGCATCGCCACTTGGCAAATTGTGTGTTCAAGATTCACAGATTAACAACCTTCACAGGTGCTACTCGCTAGCAGCACTTGCCCCAACAGTCTGTTAAGGCTACACGGAAGGGGGGGGGGGTCTTTGTGTACACGCGAGTTTGTCATTTTGGGAAGATACCCGTGCGTGTACGGCACGGGGTTTACACTCATTACCGGATCGTGGTGTGAGAGTGCTTCCCGTGTGTTGTGTTAACGCGCTGCGCTACGAACCCGACGGCCTGAGTTCGATCCCCGTTCACGGTCAACACCAGCGACGATGATCCGAACCTGTCTTGGGCCTCGCCTAGGTCGACTCAGCCTCAAAGGCGTACCACTGGGAAGACAAAGGGGGCCGGGGTGGTGGATGGCCACCCACCCCTCGTGTGCCGTTCCGGCCTTCATAGGTGCTCGCTCACAGCTCTGAGAGTCTGTTAAGGCTATACGGGGGATCTTAGTATTTATCTTTATTTATCTTGTGTATATTATGTATGTGATGCATACATATGCTCGTGTGAGTGTCAATTATGTATGTATGCGTGTATTATATATGAATATGAATGAATACAAACGTGAATAATGCATGTGCACGTGTTATGTATATGAAAGTATAAAAACCCGTGTGTATGTTATGTATATATATGTGTGTATGTACGCACGCATACACATATATATACACGGCGGTCTGTGAATGTCGAGCGCAAACGTCGTGGACTGCAATGACAACAATAATGATTTCGTCTCATTCGGCGCTGTTCGGCAAGACCGCTTCAACGATAACTGCAACATTTCCACATGCCCGTAGGGGGCGCTAATCGTGGCTTGGGGGGGGGGGGGCACACTGCCCCCCATTTCCTACACTGGGGGGAGGAGGAGGGGTGGTGCAAATGAAATAAGTAATATTATAAAAAGTTGTTTAAAACACGCTTTAATGAAATGTACCGTACTAGTAATGGAAGAACTCCACGACTCCAGGAAGCTTGCCATAACGTAAGGGACCGTGGTGATTTACAGCCAACGTCAGTTTCCCGTGGACAATTAAACCCAAGCCGAAACATAACATAAAAAATAGTGTTTTAAAATATTTTTTTTTAACGATAGATTATTGTATTGTCATCAGTATGACATAAGTATACCAAGTTTGCAGTCCATACCACATTGGGAAGTGGGTAAAAATAGAGTTACAAGATTTGAGGATACAACAACGACAACAACAACAGAGTGAGTTAAATAAAAGCGTGTAAAAAAAACCACATGTATTCAATGCAACACGTAGGCAGGCTTTCGCGACCAATATTATTCATGATGAAGGTGTTAATTTTTGTTGGGTTAGATCGCCTAAATATAAATGTGTCGTGAACCCACCACCACCCGATACAGTCAATTCGTGATGTTGGTCACGTAAACAAAATGCGACAATTAGTTACTACTTCAGCACACCGGCGTGTTGGGAGAATAAACCGATAATATTGTTAAAATATAACGATGAGCCATTGTATCAACCTCTCCCACTCCACATACAAAACAAGTAAACCCGTAAAAACAAAGTTTTCCACTCTAAATCCTTTATATGCGTGGCGGCTAGAGTTCTCTCGTCCTCTGGCTTGAGATGGCTGCAATCTATGGGTCAGATGATTGTCTGCCAGTATTAAGAAATTGGTAATTAAATATTTAATTAGTTTTCCCTAAACAGTGTAAAATTTTGGAAAAAAAATTCACGAAAATTAATTGTCACACACAACGAGTCTGTGTGGAAAATGTCAGCTCGATTGGATCACGGGAAGTGGGTTAAAAATCGAGCGAAAGATTTGCACGGTCCTAAGCAAGCAAGCGAACTTAATATAAAGGATTTAAAAATATATTCGCCTGTGGAGGACGCGGGGATCGACCCCGCAACCTTTGGCATGGGAAGCGAGGGCGCTACTAACTGCGCTACTCCACCACGGCCTGTGGAGGGGTTACGCTCTGGGCTCTTGCACTGTGATGTTCAGCCAAAGCCATGAATGCGTTCTATTTGAATATATGTAAAATACATTTTTTTTGCCTAAAAAGTGTAAAATTTTGGGAATTTTTTTTCACGAACAATAATTGTCTGGCACAACGAGTCTGTGTGGAAAATGTCAGCTCGATTGGATCACGGGAAGTGGGTTAAAAAACGAGCGAAAGATTTGCACGGTCCTAAGCAAGCAAGCAAGCACGCGAACTTAATATAAAGGATTTAAAAAAGAAATCCGCGTGGAATTTTCCCACTGTGCACAGTGGGAATTCATGGCCTTTACCAACAAGTTAACATTTAATTTTGAACGTACAGTTCTACTTTTACAATAGTATATAAATATTATTTATTGAACGTCATCTGACATTTTTTGTTTGTGATGGAAGTTAAACGCAGCCTCGCTGAGCGGAGCAGAGGGTTTGGGTACACAAAACCTAAATGTTAAACAAATTATTTGTGAATTCTGCACCAAACACAAACACATCGAACTCAACTAAATGATGTTATTTTCCTTACGAGATAAAACCCACTGAGTCATTCGCTCCTTTTCAGAGGAGGCGACCTGGCCACGCATGACAGCTCAACGCAGTGCCTGACAATCATCACATCTGGGAATGTATATCAGCAGCCAAATAATAATTTGTCGACAACGCCGTGGCCTTAAAAATAGATATAATAGGCGACGTTTCAGGCAATGGCTCTTGTTCATAACACACACATTGGAGAGGCTAGAGTGGATAATTCGACTTGGAGACTGCACTGCAGCGACCTTTTAAAGTATCTGTTGGTCTTTGTGTGATTTGTAAATCCGCGTTCAAGATCGGAAGCCTGCGTGTAATTTCGCGGTTAAGCTCGGCCTCTCGCGTCCCTCCCCTCGGCTCGAGCGCCTCCACGCTGACGTGGGACGCACCGCTCAGCATCCCCAGAGGTCGCCACCGGTTCAATCTCACGGCGCGGCAGTTAAAACAATGGGCAGGTTCTTTTCCTATCTCTCGCTCACCCCCGTACCACCACCCCCCCCCCCCCTTTAATCACCCATCAGTCGACTGTACGTGGATACACCGCGGTTAGTAAGCAGATCGGGAAGTCGCGAGTGGTGAGGTAAAACGTGGGCACTCCCACCTCTTCCCAAAACATCTGGCCAGCACCACCAAATATTAGACCAAAGCGCCCTCTTAGAGGTGCTCTCCAGAGCTCCCTCTAGCAAGAGCGCCTTTTGCCAGCAGTGGCGCTTGCAGGCAAACTGCTTGTGACGTGCGTATGGCATTGCCCAAGACCCGGGATCGGCAATCTGCGGCTCGGGAGTAGCATGCGGCTCTTCAAATGACTGCTTCGTGACGTCCTTTATGGAAGGCACCACCGACTCGTACCCACGTTGCTACGCGGCTCTTGAAAAATATTGAGTTTCCTACCGAATTCGAAAAAAACAATCGCTCTTCTTGTTATTTCGGTTTGCTGACCCCTGCCCATGACCATGTCCAATGCCTCATGCCCTTCTCTCTCTCCACCGCGCCCTGCTGCCCCCAACCTCACTGCCCCTCCCCCCCACATGCCCCCTAGGCATGACTTGCGAGACAGAGACCGAGGCAGCCGCCCTGCCGGTCGCCGAGGGCGAGGCCGCCGCCACCACCACCACCACGGAGCCCGGCGGAAAGCACGCGGAGCGCATTCCCGTGGCCACCATGAGGCACCTGCAGATGTCCGGTGAGAGAGGGGGGCGGTAGTGGCTCCTCCAACCTCGTGGGCTGCCACTCGCTCGGACGGGAGACTGCGTCGTGGGGGAATTTCCACGCGTGGACCGTCCGTCGGCTTGGGTTGTCGCGACGTGGGCAGGAGAAGGCGATATAGCCAGTGATGTAGGGAAGGCCCTTCATCCAGCAGTGGGATTGAGAAAAGGGCTCTTCGTCAGCAGTGGCAGCGGTCATGATCAATCCACTGCTGGACGAACCCTCCTCCACCCAAACCGCAGACATCTCTCGCGATCTTTGCAATGTAACAAAGGGCTACTAAACAAACAAACGAAAAATTCCGAGCGGAATTCTTCTCGAGACTGAGAAAATATATAAGTGACTATTATCTCTGTAATTTAAATTTTAATGCCTTTACAGCGATCCCGATAACTGCCCTTTGAGGTTCAATTAAGAACCGTCTTTTCATGCGCCCGCGGATGGCGATGCAGCCTGAGGACACGGGATTCAGCAGAGCGTGTCCAATTATCGCAGGGTCCGCTTTGCAACTCGGAATGAATCCTTCAGATCGATCGATTGATCCAAGTGCCACGGTTTTCTCCCGCGAGGACAGCTGAGGGACCCCCTTAACTCCCAGCCATTGTCGCTTATCAATGATTTCCCCGCGAGAGAGAGAGTCTCGGTAAGACTCGCTTTCAAGTGGCTCCTGCTGGGATGGTCCAATTTTCCAGCAAGCTCCTGCCAATATAAACTCTCCAGAAATATAAACTCTGCTGCTGAAGAAGATGTCCGATGATCTCCTGGTTAACACAGCTGACAAGTATTAATGGAAGTGATTTTCATTCTCGTATTAGTTATTATTAAAGGTGAGATGATTAGTCGATCAAACCAGGAAATCAACTAAATCATTGAAATCGACTGTTTTGTGGTTGATTACTTGGGACCATTTAAAGATGATAGCCACCCCGCCTCACATCCCACGTCCGGATGGAAGGAAACCCCCTTCAAGCCCCACGCCATCACCTCCCGTCCAGTGGCACACGTGGGGAACAGAGGTAAGACCTTTTTTTCTAATCCCAATTATTGGCGTGTTGTCCCATTATTATTATTATCATCATAATAATGTAAACCGAGAATCAGAAGAGAACTTTAATGACATTAAATAATTGGAGAGCCCAGCGCTAAGATTACTCTTCGACTGCTGGGATGTTTTGGTTCGTGTTATTTTTAAGGAAAACGGAGCATCCGGAGACAATCCAGCGTACCTACAAGAGGATGACATCCAAAGGGCCACACAGTTGGGTTCCTGAATCCACTTGTTGTTCTGCCATTTCCTCGCAACTCGCAGTCCACGGAATTTGGAAATACTGTATTACAAATCTCTGCATAATCCACCAACCCTTGCCTCCAAAGCACTGGATCGCTGGCGTACACCACCATGATCTGGCCCATCTACGCAAGCTGATTAGCGATGAGAATAATCATCTGGTTTCTAGACATCGTACCCAAGGGGTTACAATATAGGCTGCCATTCCAAAGCACGACTCCCCAGTGACGGAGTCTCGATAAAGATAAATCAAGGACTTTGGTAATTATAAGTCAAATTAATTTTTGGGAGTAATTCATTCTATCGTTTGAAACTATTATTGCACCGTCAGTGTCAATCGCGTGACTTTATCACCTTTCCTATACTTTACACTCCTATCGTGTTTTTTTTGTAATTGTGTTTGTTGCTGTAACTTTCTGACTGGCCCCCGACTGGACATTTGTGAAAAAAAGCTTTATAGCTCATCGGATTTCTCCTCCACTATAAATACAGATTTCTGATGCTTCTGTTATTTTCAAAGTTGCTCGTGAGAAAATAACGTTGGCCGGGACAAGGCAGGAGAGCATCAAAGTGGTTGTGTGCAGAGCTCCGATTGTTACCCCACACTTTGCCCTCGCTCCGGTTTTCCTCCCGCATGTGAAACGTTCATTCATGGAAGTTGGCCAAAAAATCCCAGCGTGGTGGGTGCCTGGGTAAAACAACAGCATCATCACTGTTATTATTATTGGGTAATATGGGTGTCGGGAGGGGAGTACTTTCATAACCGTGTCGTTTATGTCACCAGGTTAGAGAAACTGTTGACATTCAGTGCCTCTTCACGGAGTCAGTCTGGAGGGAGTTGAGATGTATGTTATGTCGCATCGTACGCAGCCAACCATACTAATCGGAGGTGGGGGAAGGACAACAAACTAAACACAAAAGCAGTTCTAAAGCAATGGGTTTTCAATCTAGATGATGATTTTAAAGTGCATAGCTCCAGTGGCTTCTTCATAATATTGAAAGGAAGAGCGTTCCAGACGGCCGCAGAAGCGCATCTAAAAGCGGTGACCGGCGTCTTTGTTCGATAGTTAGCAGCCAAAAGCCGCTTCTGCTGCTGCGAGGATGACCGTAATCACGAGATGCGTGGAGGGACGCAATGAATGATTTTAGCAACGATTACAAATATACAGCGGGCGTCAGGGTCGGGATCGAACCCACGACCTCCTGTATAACAGTTAACATATCCTAGCCACCGCGATGTAAATGTTTCGGGCAATGTCCCATCTGTAGAGCGCAGAGACGGGAGTGGAGTGGCTGACTTACAATTGGGGATTACTTTAATACGTTATAGTGGTTTGTTGGGTTTATCATTTGCATACTGGGGAAGGGTTTTGCTTGGCTAAGACACTGTCACATCTTAAGATTACCCTACTCCTACCCATGATGACATCATACGCAATGATACGTTAATAAACATTCTCAATATTATTATGAAGACACTGTAGCTGGAATCGAACCATCGACTCGGCTCTTATTATAAAAAACACACAGACTCCTCGATGTGCCAGATCTCGGAAGCCAAGCAGGCTGCTTTAGCCTACACAGTGCTGGAACGCACGACGGCCACGCATACGAACAAAAAAACACAGGTGAAATTTCGATTTAAAGCTTTCGTTACTGCAGGGATTCATCTTCTTGGTTCTTTCGGTAAAGTCACGTAGAAAGGAAATAATAAAATAACAAAAATAAAACATAATAAAATAATTCTCACGACGTTTCGGCCACAACGCAAGCAGCCGTCACGTAGAAGGGAAATAATAAAATGATAAAAATAAAACATAATAAAATAATTCTCACGACATTTCGGCCCCAACGCAAGCAGCCGTCCTCAGGCTGCTTGCGTTGTAGCCGAAACGTCGTGAGAATTATTTTATTATGTTTAATTTTTATTATTTCCCTTCTACGTGACTTTACCGAAAGAACCAAGATGAAGAAAAACACAGGCGCTATAGGCTGCGGAGCATCACCTGTGGTCAGTAGGGGAGGTGGGTGGGGGTCACAGCGGCTGCAATGAAACCCTCAAAACAAAGGTTTATTTTATCGTCCACCTCCCCCCTCTCCACCAGGCTGGTATTGGGGCAGCCTGACGGCCACGCAGGCCCGGCAGCAGCTGATGTCGGCGGCCGAGGGCACGTTCCTGGTGCGGGACAGCGCGCACCCGGACTTCCTGCTCACGCTGTCCGTGCAGACGAGCCGCGGGCCCACGAACGTGCGCATCGAGCACCGCGGCGGCGCCTTCAGCCTCGACTCGGTGCGCTTCGTCAAGCCCCACCTCGTGCACTTCGACGACGTCGTCAAGCTCGTGCAGTTCTACGTCGGCTGCAAGCAGCAGCAACAGCAGCAGCGTCACCTGCAGCAGCAGCAGCAGGATTTGAGTGAGGAGAGGCAGCAGCAGCAGCAACATCAGCAGAATCACCATGATCATCATGATCATCATCAGCAGCAGCAGCAGCTCCAGCAGAATCACCATCAGCGCCAACAGAAGGAGGAAAATGGCTGGCACCTGTCGAGGTGTCTCTGGGAGGAGGGAGCGGAGGTGGAGGAGCCGCTGCCGCTACGGCTGTGCAAGCCGTGCTACGTGGCGCCGCCGAGTCTTCAGCACCAATGCAGGACAGCGATGCACAGGGCCAGGCAGCGGCTGCCCGGCTCCATCAGGCTGCCCAAACGCATACGGAGCTACCTGGAGGAGTACCCCTTCCACTTGTGATGGGCGTGAGCCAAGAGCGCTTCGTGCTCAGCCAGGGCCTGTCCATAGGCTGAGCTCCAGAAAATATATCGTGACAAATTAAACCCTGGGCGCAGGAGCACACACACACACTCCTTCTTCTTCCGCGCGTGTGATGGGTCGGGTAGTCCATGGGCCAAGGTCTGAAGTCGGTATACCGCCTAATGTAGCACAACTTGAGTCGTAACAGTCGTTTAAGTACTTGATAACTCCACGAATTTCAAGTGGTTATCGCGCAATTCGCTCCCACTGGTCACGTAAGGCAATTGGAACCGCTAAAGTTACGCTACATCGGGTGGGTACCGACGAGTGAAACGTTTTGCCCCTTGGGCTCATGGATTGGGGAGCAGGGCCTGTTTAAGACAGGGGCCTTAGGGCCTGCAGAGGCCAGTGGCCCTGAATTATGCGGGGACTTCTCCTCTGAAATATATAAGCCGCTTTATACCAGCTTAAATGCAAAAACATCACCATGAAAACTCCTTCAGGTAGCTTGCTCATTAAAACCGTGGCACCACTGGCAGCATTACGACCGTTTGGTGATGGGCCGCGATTAAAATAGCGTTGCGAAAGTTTTAACTCTGATTTAACTTTACACACAATTCGCGTATCGTGTAAAAAAATGTTTCAGAACAGAAATAACCAAGGTGGATAGCAATTGAGTGTTTGACATCATAGGTGGTGGTGAAACAGTCAAGGGTAGGAAACGAAACTATTTAAACTTTTTATTTTATTTTACCAGGTAAGGCCCACTAAACTATGTCGCTCTTGTTTCAGAAGCGTGTGATATTGATTCTAAATCTGGAGAAAAATCCACGCCACCACGGGGAGAGAGAGATAGGTAAACTCCAAATATACAGCAGGCGTCAGGATCGAACCCACGACCTCCTGTATACCAGGCGAGGTAGGTAACATCTCGCCACCGTGGCGCCAAGGAATTGACTAAACAGTAAAACCTTGCCCAACGCGGCATTTGTTGAGGAACGCAACCCCTGCGTTCGGTGAGGTCTACCTGGACAAGAGCTCCCCCCCCAAACCCCACCACCACCACCACCACCCCAACCCCTCCGCAAACTGAAACAGCCCTTGATCCCCTTGTAAATATTAATCCGGCCCAGGCAGGAGTATCCCTGTTACACGTGTTGTTGGCAGTGCCGGGTTAAGCTAGTGCGGGGTCTGTAGCACATGTTATAAAGGGGCCCGAAATAAAACAAACACGTAAATATTAAAACACACATTTTTTTACTTGCATAGTAAAGTAATTGTATTTTTTCATTTGCTATACAGCCAGATAATACGACAAATCGCTAACCTTAAACACCCGGTCGTTCATAACAGTTGAAGGCGGTATAGTACTATAGTAATAGAGCAAGTGCAGAATCACTGAACCGGAATTGATAGCTTGAAAGCATTTAGCGCGGGGCCCTTGAAAGTGCGAGGCCCGTAGCTACTACTACTACATGTGTAGCTACTACTACTACATGTGTAGCTACTACTACTACATATGTAGCTACTTTTGCTACTAGGATAATCCGGTACTGGTTGTTGGCCTTTGCGCTGCAAGACACACACACGCGCACACACTCACACTTGCACGCGCTTATGTAAACTTGCACATATCCGCACGCTTAACATGTACAGGACGGAACTGCAAGCGATCACATTGCACGTGTGCACACGAGTACATATACTTTTCACACGTGAACACAAGTATTGTACATGTAGCTATACAGACGAGTATACACGAGTGGATTTGCTACATGCGTACACACAAGTACATGTAGTTACACACGTGCACACAACTTTAAAAGCGCACGCACGTGCACACACGCAGATAACAACCGCGCTTGTACCAGGCTAGGTGCACTTTGAGGCCACGCGAAGTGTCGAAAACTCGCTGGCAGGTCACGGAACAGACGCGGGTGCCATGGGTTGAATGAGATTACAAAGACACTCACACACACGCAGATATATAGTCTACATCTATACTTAATAACACACATGGCACACACGTTGACAACAGCGCACCTACATACCTGTACCGACACGTGCATGACGCATGTACACCAACGTATTCACACGGCTCGCGTTACACACATCACACAATCCCGAACGTATTCACACGCGCGCGCGCAAGTCGAAAATGTTCTCTTTATCACCTCGAGGGTCTAATTTGGCCATACGATTGAAACGGAATAATAGCAAGCGTACATGCCATCACTCAGTAAAAATAAATGTTGTATTGATGATGGCGTTTAGCTAAACAGAACTGCTAATTGCAATGACAGGGGTGGTGGTGCAGTGGTGAGCGCGCTGCTGTGATGAAGCCACAAAAGTGGAGTTCGATTCCCGGCCACGTCTTAACAACAGTGTCGGAACCACCCCCCCACCCCTCTCTACCCCTCCCTCCACCCACATTGTTGTACTGTACTTATGTGCCCCGTATGCTCTCAGCCTTCGCCAACCCGCATTGATGACCAGCGCGGTGAAGTATGGCAAATAACAACAACGCTCCCGCGTGTGGAGAGAGACCTTCAATCAGCTGGTGGGAACAAGTGGAATGGCTGGAATGTATTTATTTGAATTACAATGTCACCCCTTACATGCTGTCCTGAAGGGCCACTGAGAATGAATGTGGTAAAAGTATGCGGGCGGCGGGGGGGAGACATCACAAAAGATCTGATTGCATTTGCCTGGGTGTTGAGCATGCCTGAGAAGGCCCCCTGTTACGAGCGCAGTGAAATTTCAGTGAAATACAAGAGATTGGCATATTCTCTGGATAAGATGCGCTTCCCCTAACCCCACCACCCCCTCCTCTCTCCCCAGACGTGTATTTTAAAGTCGCATTTTGGAGGAGTGTCTTATAATCCGGCAGCTGTGTATATGGTGTGTGCGAGAGAGAGAGACCTCTTTTCGGGTGCGTCTTAATTTCCGGAGCGTCTTAATATTCTGGAGAATATGGTCCATTCTCAGCCGGGCGATTTTATTTTATAAGGGAGCCAATGTCATGAGCTGGATATTTAAAACGAAAAAAAAATGATGACACGTATCGGTTTTGAGGATGCAATGTGGTGTGTGTGTGTACTGTAGTTGTATCTTCCAGATGAAAACACAAAAATATGCTGATATATTCTTTAGATGACTGCAATATTTTTACAAACAGACAACAAAGTCACAATCTCCTCTCACTAGTTTTGTACGGAGTGCTGTGTGGATCGTTCCGCCTTGGGCGCGTGCGAGACTGCGTGCATTCGGAAATTCGGACAACGCGTTGACAATGAGGTCAATGAACAACGTCGCGATTTAACCCCAACACGCCCTGACCGCAAACGCACTGCCGCATACGGCAGGACCATTTGTACCTTTCGAGATATTTCTCGGTGTATAATTTATATTTTGTGTGTGCACATGCGTACGTGCGTGGATGCGCGTGGTACAGTCATATGGAGTGATGTGGCATGCACATTTGTTTTGTGAATTATGGTTTCCCGTTTAAATATCTCCCCCCCCCCGTGCCCCCCGTATAATCTCTGTTGGGTTTTTTTCGTGACTGTCGCCTATTAAGTGTGGACTGTGGTACAAAGTGCACATCGGTATACGATGACAGAGCGAACTCTCCCTCTGTCCACGTGACGTTATTAAAAGCACGCCTTACTGATATCGAAGTCTGTGCGTGGATGTACACGTGTGTGTGTGCACATGACACGTTTGTCGTACGTGCGGGGCACGCGTGATGGGGAGCGGTGGCGCAGTGGTTAGGCGCGCTGCGCTGCGCTGCGAACCCGGCGACCATTCCCGCTCACGATCAATTATAATAACAGCAACGAATAAGAATGAAAATCGGTCCTGAGCCTCATCCCCTAGGTCGACTCAGCCTTAAATGTGTACATGGTACGGTGTGTAAAACATCAGCACTGGGGATACAAAGGGGATCGGGCGTGGTGTTGGCCACCCACCCTCCCGTGTGCCTTCCCTGCGGTTGCGAACAGCACTTGACCCAACAGTCTGTCAAAGGCTATACGGGGGATTTCTGCCTTTGTGTCGATGAAGCGGTGGTGTAGTGGTGATCACACCGAACTCGTGACCCGGCCGACGGAGTAAGATACCGGCCAGCACCAACATCAGTGACGAGTTATGTCTACACCGGTGATCGGTCTCCCCCTAGGTTTACTCAGCCTTAAATGAGTACCTGCTCCTGCGTGTACAGAGCGACACCGGGGAGATGAAGCGAACAGCACTTCCCCCCCATAGTCTGTATGACTTGGTGTTAGTGTGTACGGCCGTCCATACTAAAGAGGCAGTATTACATCTCGCACCGTGACCCCGGGGCCCGAGGCGGTCACCTCCTATTCGCCATACCCTAGGGACGGCCCTGATATTCACATCGTTAAATCATCGTTAATTCTTATATGAATTCTTATATAGATGAATTGACGGCACTTAAAGAATGTTGATTGATTAATCGCCATTACTGCTAATATAATAAACATCATCATCGCCAGCAGGATAAAAAACAAACATCAACATGGTTATAGGTCACTATAACGCAACCATGATGATGTTTTTTTTCACCATGAGTACAACACCCGCAATGTTGGAACTGTCCTGCGAAATACCGTGTAAGATTCGCAAAAAGTGTTGACCACGCGTTGAACGCACACTCAAGTTCTGAGAACAATAAAGACATGCGGTTATGGGACGAGCGATACAAATCTGGGTCAAGACGTTTTGACAACCAAGCGCTATGTCCAATCACGTGGATACGTGTAACTCTGAGTCAATGGTTCATGTCCCAGCCAACGGCTGACACACCACCATCATTAAGGGGAAATAAGCACTCCTATGCAATGCCTAAACCACGTTGGTGAGGCTGACATGAAGGCGCTGTTTCTCGGATTAAACAAACAAAAAAGCCCGCAGTAGTTTCACATCCCGTTGGCAGTGCCGCTGTGCAAATTCGCAAACGAGTACATTTGTTGAACATTTAAAAACTCAACAAATTTGGACAAAATTACCTCCTCTTGCGAAGGGCGACAACGGGGGGGGGGGGGGGATGGTTCTGTCTTTTATTTTTTTTATCTAAACGTGCGTTTAGCGAAGCGGCGGCAGCAGCGTTAGTCGGGGTCGGTCGGTGGAGTCAGAACCGCGAACTTCGACAAGGAACGGCGAATGGGCCGTGCGTGACCGCGGATCTTGAGACCGGACACGAGCAGAAGCCCGGTGGGTTGGGATCTGCGTCTTACTTTCCTGAGGATCTTACAAATTCGTCGAATGCGGTACAAAGTTGTACACGAGCAAAAACAACAATAGTAGAGAGAGAGAGAGTTTGGCAAGCGCAGTGGAAACTGGCACAATTCTCAGAAATGTCGCCGCTGCCGCTAATCTCGGAAAATAACGCCGGACGTGAGCGCGGTTGGGGGCAAACTTTTGATTCAGCTCCTAATCCCAATCAAAAGACCTGATACAATGTGCATTTGTCGATCGTCCGTGCAGATCGCAGGACGCCGTACAGAAACAGTGGGCTCGTTAATTTTGACTGAGTAGAGGTTGACTGAGGAATCTTGATTTGAAGCTTTCGTGACTGCAGGAATCCACACTCTTTGGTTCTGTCGGTGAAGTTACGTAGGTAGAAAACTAATAATAGATCACGACGTTTCGATCGCCACACAAGCAACCATCTTCAGGTGGGAGGACTTTCACAACAAGGGTTTGTGGTTAGCTGTGGAGGGGAGTCGAGTGAGATGAGAAGGAGAGGTAGGAGAGTGCGTGGAGGGGAGTAGAGTGAGATGAGAGGAAGAGGCAGGAGAGCGTGTGGAGGGCAGTAGAGTGAGATGAGGGGGGAAAGGTAGGGGAGTGCGTGGAGGGGAGTAGAGTGAGATGAGAGGGGAGAGGTAGGAGAGTGCGTGGAGGGGAGTGGAGTGAGATGAGAGGTAGGAGAGTGCGTGGAGGGGAGTAGAGTTAGATGGGAGGGGAGAGGTAGGAGAGTGCGTGGAGGGGAGTAGAGTAAGATGAGAGGGGAGAGGTAGGAGAGTGCGTGGAGGGGAGTAGAGTGAGATGAGAGAGGAGAGGTAGGAGAGTGCGTGGAGGGGAGTAGTGGTGAGATGAGAGGGGAGAGGTAGGGGAGTGTGTGGAGGGGAGTGGAGTGAGATGAGAGGGGAGAGGTAGGAGAGTGTGTGGAGGGGAGTAGAGTGAGATGAGAGGGGAGAGGTAGGGGAGTGTGTGGAGGGGAGTGGAGTGAGATGAGAGGAAGAGGCAGGAGAGCGTGTGGAGGGCAGTAGAGTGAGATGAGGGGGGAAAGGTAGGGGAGTGCGTGGAGGGGAGTAGAGTGAGATGAGAGGGGAGAGGTAGGAGAGTGCGTGGAGGGGAGTGGAGTGAGATGAGAGGTAGGAGAAGTGCGTGGAGGGGAGTAGAGTTAGATGGGAGGGGAGAGGTAGGAGAGTGCGTGGAGGGGAGTAGAGTAAGATGAGAGGGGAGAGGTAGGAGAGTGCGTGGAGGGGAGTAGAGTGAGATGAGAGAGGAGAGGTAGGAGAGTGCGTGGAGGGGAGTAGTGGTGAGATGAGAGGGGAGAGGTAGGGGAGTGTGTGGAGGGGAGTGGAGTGAGATGAGAGGGGAGAGGTAGGAGAGTGTGTGGAGGGGAGTAGAGTGAGATGAGAGGGGAGAGGTAGGGGAGTGTGTGGAGGGGAGTGGAGTGAGATGAGAGGGGAGAGGTATGAGAGTGCGTGGAGGGGAGTAGAGTGAGATGAGAGGGGAGAGGTAGGGGAGTGTGTGGAGGGGAGTGGAGTGAGATGAGAGGGGAGAGGTATGAGAGTGCGTGAAGGGGAGTAGAGTGAGATGAAAGGGGAGGGGTAGGAGAGTGCGTGGAGGGGAGTAGAGTGAGATGAGAGGGGAGAGGTAGGAGAGTGCGTGGAGGGGAGTGGAGTGAGATGAGAGGTAGGAGAGGTAGGAGAGTGCGTGGAGGGGAGTGGAGTGAGATGAGAGGCAGGAGAGTGCGTGGAGGGGAGTAGAGTTAGATGGGAGGGGAGAGGTAGGAGAGTGTGTGGAGGGGAGTGGAGTGAGATGAGAGGCAGGAGAGTGCGTGGAGGGGAGTAGAGTTAGATGGGAGGGGAGAGGTAGGAGAGTGTGTGGAGGGGAGTGGAGTGAGATGAGAGGCAGGAGAGTGCGTGGAGGGGAGTAGAGTGAGATGAGAGGGGAGAGGTAGGGGAGTGTGTGGAGGGGAGTGGAGTGTGATGAGAGAGGAGAGGTAGGAGAGTGCGTGGAGGGGAGTGGAGTGAGATGAGAGGTAGGAGAGGTAGGAGAATGCGTGGAGGGGAGTGGAGTGAGATGAGAGGGGAGAGGTAGGAGAGTGCGTGGAGGGGAGTGGAGTGAGATGAGAGGGGAGAGGTAGGAGAGTGCGTGGAGGGGAGTGGAGTGAGATGAGAGGCAGGAGAGTGCGTGGAGGGGAGTAGAGTTAGATGAGAGGGGAGAGGTAGGGGAGTGTGTGGAGGGGAGTGGAGTGAGATGAGAGGGGAGAGGTAGGAGAGTGTGTGGAGGGGAGTGGAGATGAGAGGCAGGAGAGTGCGTGGAGGGGAGTAGAGTTAGATGAGAGGGGAGAGGTAGGGGAGTGTGTGGAGGGGAGTGGAGTGAGATGAGAGGGGAGAGGTAGGAGAGTGTGTGGAGGGGAGTGGAGTGAGATGAGAGGCAGGAGAGTGCGTGGAGGGGAGTAGATTGAGATGAGAGGGGAGAGGTAGGAGAGTGCGTGAAGGGGAGTAGAGTGAGATGAGAGGGGAGAGGCAGGAGAGTGCGTGGAGGGGAGTAGAGTGAGACGAGAGAGGAGAGGCAGGAGAGTGCGTGGAGGGGAGTAGAGTGAGATGAGAGGGGAGAGGTAGGAGAGTGCGTGGAGGGGAGTAGAGTGAGATGAGAGGGAGAGGCAGGAGAGTGCGTGGAGGGGAGTAGAGTGAGATGAGAGGGGAGAGGTATGAGAGTGCGTGGAGGGGAGTGGAGTGGGATGAGAGGGAGAGGCAGGAGAGTGCGTGGAAGGGAGTAGAGTGAGATGAGAGAGGAGAGGTAGGAGAGTGTGTGGAGGGGAGTCGAGTGAGATGAGAGGGGACAGGCAGGAGAGTGCGTGGAGGGGAGTAGAGTGAGATGAGAGGGGAGAGGTAGGAGAGTGCGTGGAGGGGAGTAGAGTGAGATGAGAGGGAGAGGCAGGAGAGTGCGTGGAGGGGAGTAGAGTGAGATGAGAGGGGAGAGGTATGAGAGTGCGTGGAGGGGAGTGGAGTGGGATGAGAGGGAGAGGCAGGAGAGTGCGTGGAGGGGAGTGGAGTGAGATGAGAGGGGAAAGGTAGGAGAGTGCGTGGAGGGGAGTGGAGTGGGATGAGAGGGAGAGGCAGGAGAGTGCGTGGAGGGGAGTGGAGTGAGATGGGAGGGGAGAGGCAGGAGAGTGCGTGGAGGGGAGTGGAGTGAGATGAGAGGGGAGAGGCAGGAGAGTGCGTGGAGGGGAGTAGAGTGAGATGAGAGGGGAGAGGCAGGAGAGTGCGTGGAGGGGAGTGGAGTGAGATGAGAGGGGAGAGGCAGGAGAGTGCGTGGAGGGGAGTAGAGTGAGATGAGAGGGGAGAGGCAGGAGAGTGCGTGGAGGGGAGTAGAGTGAGATAAGATGAGAGAGGCAGGAATTGATTCGGGCATGGCATACATCTCTGCTTATATTTACAAATACACTTTTTAAACCGTAGAAAGCAATCGGAATAACTTTTTTTTCCAGCCTGAACGGAGCAGAGTGACTGGGTGCTCAGCATCACCAGCGAGTCCGTGACGCGGTGCGGGGGAGGATGCTGCCCCCCCCCCTGCCCCCCCCCCTGCCCCCCCCCGCGCCCCGCCCCCCCCGTGACGTCACGCCGAGCCCTTCGCTTGCGCGGAAGTGTCGTCCCGACCACCTTCTTGTTAGCGTTCAGCTTTCGGTTCTTCTTTTAATCTGAAGCGTTCACTGCTTAACCCCATGGTTGCACGGCGATAAAAGAGGTGGGTAGTTTGCCTCCCCATCATCATCACCATCACCACTACCACCATCAACCACCACACACCATCATCACCACTATCATCACCACACCACCATCACCTCCACCACCACTATCACCACCTCCACCATCATCACCACCATCACCACCACCATCACCTCCCTCCACCACCATCATCACCACCACCATCACCACCACCACCACCATCACCACCACCATCACCACCACCACCATCACCACCACCATCACCACCACCTCCACCACCATCATCACCACCACCACCATCATCATCATCCACCACCACCACCATCATCATCACCACCATCATCACCACCATCACCACCACCATCATCATCACGGCCATCTGCATCCATTCACCAATCCACGACTCTGTTGTGCCCGCCCCGTGGTCGTTTCTACCCCTCTAGGTCGGCTCCGCCGTCACTGGCTGCCGGCTGCGGTGCGAGCCAAACAGAAACATCGCCACGAGGGAGACGATCTCCGCAGGTGCTAGTCTCTCACGGCACTTGGAACCACAAGTCGGCTGAGGCTATACGGGGGTAGGGGCACCTTTGTCTTTCGTAGTTCACCATTGTTCGCTGCTTGCCAGGGAGACGGGCTGCTGGATTCAGCCATCATCACCAACGCCACCAACTTCATAACATCACTTACGTCATCATCAAGATCACTAACATCAGCAGCAGCATCACTGCCATCATCATCAGGAACATCTCTAACATCATCACTACCGTCATCATCATCAGGGACATCACGAACATCATCAGGGACATCAATACCATCATCACTACCATCGTCATCACTACCACCATCATCACTACCACCATCATCACTACCACCATCATCACTACCACCATCATCACTAACATCATCATCAGAAACATCACGATCACTACCATCGTCATCAGGAACATCACTACCAACATCATCACTACCATCATCATCACTACCATCAACAGGAACATCACTACCAACATCACTACCATCATCAAGAACACCACTATCATCATCAAGAACATCACTACCACCATCATCACTACCACCATCATCACCACCATCATCACTATCACCATCATCACTATCACCATCATCACTACCACCATCATCACTACCACCATCACCACCACCATCATCACTACCACCATCATCACCACCATCATCACTACCATCACTACCACCATCATCACTACCACCATCACCACCACCATCATCACTACCACCATCATCACCACCATCATCACTACCACCATCATCACTACCACCATCACCACCATCATCACCACCATCATCACTACCACCACCATCATCACTACCAACACCATCATCATCACTATCACCATCATCACTACCACCACCATCATCATCGCTGTAACAACGTAAACAAAGCCATGGCCTAGTACAGTGCTGCTGGCTGTAAACACGTGCGCGCACTGTACCGCGCCTCTGGGCACTGCGGCCCCACACACAAGACGAGCTCACCGTCGTGGTGAAGTATGGTCAAATCGCACCCACCCCCATGACCGACCTGGCTTAGGGTGTCCTTAATCCAGCAGTGGATAGAGAAAGTGACCCTTGTACCCACACACGGCACGTCACGCAACGCGCGTTGACTGCACGACGCACAGAACACGACTTCAGTTTAACACGCAGCGGGATTTCACGACCAATATCCACAATTCGTGAGGTTTGTCACGTAAACACAACGTTACTATTTTTGGTGCTTTCGGTAAAGTCACGTAGAAGGGAAATAATAAAAATATAAAACAATAAAAATTCTCACGTTTCGACTGCAACACGCAATCATCATCAGCTGTGACATCCACAGCTGTCATCATCAGGTGTTAAATCCACAGCAGTGGAACATCACTACCATCATCAGGAACATCACTACCACCACTACCGTCATCATCAGCAACATCACTACCATCATGGGTTTCACAGCTGATGATGATTGCTTGTGTTGCAGTCGAAACGTCGTGAGAATTGTTATTGTTTTATATTTGTATTATTTTATTATTTCCCTTCTACGTGACTTTACCGACAGAACCAAGCATATGAATCCCTGCAGTCACGAAAGCTTTAAATCGAAAACACAACGTTACTAGTACAGCAATCTCCCCTAACGTCAGCTAACCGTACTAATTGTCTGTGTCGGGTGGTGGCGGGTTTAACGACACACATTTGCTCGATCTAACCCCCCCCAAATGAACAGCGCTGTCTTATGGAGCACACAAGTTGTTTACAATTTGTCTACAAGTTCATCGCGCAATAATTGTAGCGAGGTGGATCGATTAGTTAAGTCGATGAATCGGCCGATGTTGAAGTCAACTACAGAGCCTTTCGCTTTGTGGGCTGTCACTCGGCCCTTTAGCAACGCGCTGAAGGTGGGAAACCCCCCCCCCCCCCCCCACAAATCGATGGCCGTGGTGATGCAGCTTATGATGTTGATGACGTCACCCCCCCTCCTCAACCCCCTTTTACTTCCCGTCCAGCGGCACATGTGAGAATTAAGAGACGACACCTCTTTTGAGTTATCCAATTTGTCGAGCGATCGACAAACGGATAATTAATCGGTAGTCATCGATTACTTTCGTAATCGAAACTCGCCAAGGCTGGAGTAATCGGCTGTATTGGGTAGCTTGCCTCCCTCAGAAGCAGGCAACCCGGGTTCAAATCCCTTGCAGTTCACTTTTGAAAGGACAAGCCATTGATTGTGGCCTTGCAACCCAAACTATATTCGAAAACTCCATCAACGGAGGCGAAGGAATAGTCAAAAAAACCTCACCGACTCTCTCGTCTGAAGCCCGCTCGTCATGGCTGGCAGACCTTGACATTTGGCATTAAGCTTCACGGACATATTGGCCCTCGTGTGCAAGAACAGAATAATAATAAAATGGGCAAACTTTCAAAACTCGCTCTCCGAGCCTCAATAGTTGAACAGCGTTGCAAATCACCGGTGGCTTGAGTTAGCCGCGGTTCCACGCTGAGCAGAGATGCCCCGTGCCAGGCGGTGACAGTTTACAATTACGACTGCAGCGGTGGATTTGGCGTTCCAGAATTACATTTTTCAGTGGTTTCAATCGTGTTGTTCTGCCATTCTTTAGTATCGCATGTTATATATTTATATTTTTGCGAGAATAAAAATAAACGTTAATATCCAGGAGGCGACCCGCGACGTTTTCGCAGTCGGGGGGCCGATGATCGCGATTTGTTTTCAAATCGGCTAATTTCCAAGTGATTTTTTTTTTTTACTTTGGCAAAGTTTAGGACCGTGACTTTGGCACACAGTGGGCCTACTCTTCTTCTAATGATATCACGGGATCTCGGAACGTTTAAAATACACTGGAGATGACAGTGTACCTCATAGCTCAACTACCGCAACTTATTAACCAGGGTGCCCTGCGGGATTTGAACCGCAAACAAATCTCTTGCAGCACGCGCTCCCGGCTCATTAGTCGCACAAAATAAAAACAACGTAGCACTCCCCAAACGAGATAAACGTCGCCCTTCATGGGAACAACGGGGGGCCGTTGCCCTCCCTCCGCCCGCCTCTGAATTCGCCGCGTCACCCGAGGACTTCACCGTACCCACACGCAGACTCGCGGCCGCCCATGGACCAGCGGCACAAGCTGACGCTGCGGCGGCTGCGCACGCAGCTGGCGACGGATATGTGCGCCGAGTCGGCGAGCCAGTACCTGTACCAGGAGGGCATCATCTCGGCGCAGCAGATGGAAGAGGTCCTGGCGGAGCGCGGCTCCCGGCGACGCGCCTACCGCCTGCTGGACGAGCTGCCGCGGCGCGGGCCGCGGGCCTTTGCGGCGCTGTGCGAGGCGCTGCGGGAAGAGTCCCCGTGGCTGCTGGAGCGCATCACGCGCGAGGAGAGCGCCGTCGGTCGGGAGGAGGCCGCGCGGGGCGACCCCCTCGACGGTGATTTCGCTCTGGCGCGGAAGAACGCGCGAGCCGGCGCAGGTTGCGCGCACCGGCGGCGGGGGACCTGCGTGCGGCCCCCGCGAGCTGATTTCACGGGACCCACAACTTCAAGTTTCAATTTTGTATTGTTATTATTGAACAAAAGCCCGGTACAAAGCACGAGTGATGGCAGGGGTAGAGGTAGAGCAATCTGTTTTACCCCTTCTGGCAATAAAACAGGTGTTGAGGTGTTAAGGTCCCATGTTGTAGCTGCTCACCCTGAGCTATAAATGCCCTGATGGTGGCGTTGTCTCTGTGCTGTTCGCCTTTTGGGGTTCTCTGGTCTAACTCTGTTTGAGACGAGGCTCAAAAGAAAGCTGTCTCTGGTGTGGACCAATCAGATTCAAATACAATGCATAGATTATCAGAGCGTGTTTTTCATTGCATGTTCACCACAAGTACTGTGTGTGGTTAATGCAGATAGCATTCCTTGAAAAAAGGATTCTGTTTGGCGTTTTAACATCTTAACACCTGTTTTATTGCTATGAAGGGTAAAACCTCATTGTTTATATTTTGATACTGCCAAGAAAGGTCCCATATTTGGGGGTAGAGGTAATCCACGGACGTCAGTCCCGAGGTAAGGGGACAGTCACGGGCGACTGGGATCCCCTACTCAACGTAGGAGGCAACGACCGGGAACGTGGGGTATTTAGAGGAGGGGAAGGAGACGGGAGTGGGAGCTCACAACTTAATTTTAAATAGCCTCACGGACTGTACCACCTCTTGCGAATTCAGTGTGTGTGTGATACATGGACCGGATAAGGGCCGGCCATTTCATAAGGCCACAGACCGAATGCAGCCCGCGGCATTACTTTGAAGCGGCGCATTGACGATATCTGTTTGTCACCGCAAGCATGGTAGCCGCACTAATCGGGTACTGGAGGGGTATTGATCTCGCAGCAGAGTTTCTAGATTCAGCATTTTTTTCCCCACGTTAATGTGCGGTTGCCCCCTAAAGTCATTTGAAAGTCCTCTTCGGCGCTTGGCGAGGAACAGGTTCCCCACCTCTGCCCATACGTAGTCGCACACAAAGACAGAGTTGTCGCGTACTCGCACGGACACCTAACGTTGCATGCAAGCGTGCGTGCACGCACGTACGTTGTGTGCTTACACAGACCGGACTTGGGGCTGTCGCCTCGTCTCACCTGGCACTCGATGAAATATTGCGTTTAGGAGGCTCGCATTCACAAGTGCGCACGTGCACACACATATATAAAAAGACAATGATCCCCCATACATCCTTAACAGACTGTAGGGGCAACTGCCGTTAGCGAGCACCTATGAAGGCCGGAACGGCATACGGAGGCGGTGGGTGGCCAACCACGCCCGGCCGCCTTTGTCTCCCTAGTGGCAATGTTTACACGCCGCACCAAATCCTCGTTTGAGGCGGAGTCGACCTAGGGGAAGCCCAGGACCGGTTCAGATAATTGTCACCTGGTGTTGGCCATGAGCGAGAATCGATCTTGGGTCGCCGGGTTCGTAGCGCAGCGCGCTAACCGCTACACGCCCTTGCACGTACGCATGCATGCATACGAAGAACAACACCAAGACCATAGACGCGTACGAGTACCGAGGCTTTTGTTTATTTCCTAGTTAATGTTGTGTACAAGGGCATAGATGCATCTGCACACATTTTGTGTTCTTTTATGACGGCGGTGGCTCTTGTGAAAGCAGGCAGGTGGCACGGCATTGCTAATACCATGGCCAAGCCCTGAGTCAGCACCGCTGGAATCCTGGGATCAACTTTTTGCAGCCACCCGTGATTAAACCGGGTGTTTTTTTTTTCGTGTAGCGATTTTTAATGAGCTTAGCCCTGGTCACCAATGACCGCACAAAAAAAAACCCCCAGCCAGCATCCCATTAAATTTTGGGTTTTCACTTCATTTGGCATGCAGTGTTCCAGTTCTTGGAAATGAACATTTTATTTGGCTGGCCATACGATGAAACGACTATTTTGAGACGAATAACACGTGCGCTCCCAGCGTGGATAAAGAAGCCGATTGAAGTGATTTTTAAAGTACGACTGCGATGTCATCTTCGCTCCACGTGCTCGGAGCGTCAATTTGCTTCGTGGAGCCAAATGTGGGACACGCGATGCAACCCTCGGGATACTTGGGAGGGTTGCGCAACACAGCCGCCAAAAACGTGCGCAGCGGCGGCATTTTGTCGAATCTCGACCAAATCGATGACGGCGTGAAGCAGTTGATCCAATTGCCAATCCAGCTCACGCCGATTCACTCCAGTCACTCGCTCATCGGCGGTCAGTTGCCCCCTCATCAAGCGTCCATCACTGCTGCCATGGTGACCGTTCCCGGGAACTTCACTCGACGATTCCTTCACCCACGTGAAGGAGTCGGTCGACCAGACAGTGACTGTTTTTGCCTCCACCCGTACTGTATTCAACTACCACACTGCAGGTCACCACCACCACTCACTCAACCACTCACTCACTCGGCCCTCACCACACTGCAGGTCACCACCACCCACTCACTAAGCCACCACTCACCCACTCACCTACTCAATACACTGCAGGTCACCACCACCCACTCGCTAAGCCACCACTCACCCACTCACTCAGCCCTCACCACACTGCAAGGTCACCACCACCCACTCACTAAGCCACCACTCACCCACTCACTCACCTACTCAATACACTGCAGGTCACCACCACTCACTCACTAAGCCACCACTCACTCAGCCCTCACCACACTGCAGGTCACCACCACCCACTCACTAAGCCACCACTCACCCACTCACTCACCTACTCAATACACTGCAGGTCACCACCACCCACTCACTAAGCCACCACTCACTCACCTACTCAATACACTGCAGGTCAAAAGCACTTTTTGCTTCTTCACGCTTCCTGTTATACTTTAGGAATTCCCTCCCATCGCCTCTTCTCCGGAGCTCTTACAATAACCATGCACAACTCAAGAAACACGTTATAAACACGTTATAACTCCCACATATTACAACTCGGATAGTGCTGCCGTTTGACGACTTTAATCCTTTGCTCGGCGATCGTTCACGAAAAAAGTTTACCTACGAAAGCATTGTGCGTTGTGTAAGCATACTTTAAAAATAATAAATTGTATCTCGCATTCAAATGTCAATCCCTCCCCCTCCCCTCCCCAGGCGTGCTGGCGCATTTCTCTCCCGAGTATTTGGACTCTCCTCCCGACGAGAAGGAGCTGAGCGACCTGGCCGCCTCGCTGGGGCCCGAGTGCGAGCACCTGGTGTCGGTGCTGGGCGTCTCGCAGGCCCGGGCCTACCGCTGCCGCGTGGCTCACCCTCACAGCGCGCACGCCCAGACACTCGCCATGCTGCTAGCGTGGCGCCAGGGCGCCGGCAGCGCCGCCACGCGCCGGGCCCTGTGCGTCGCTCTGCAGCAAGCCGAGGTCGACCTGCACACCGTCTTCTCTCTGTCACCGTGACCCCACCCCCTCCTAAAGCATTGTGACGCCCGTATAAGTTGGGACTCTCCGCTGATGACGAGATGTTAACTGCCTCGCCCGGTATACAGGAGGTCGTGGGTTCGACCCCGACCCTGACGCCTGCTGCTGTATATTTGGAGTTTTAATGTTTCTCTTCCCGTGGCCGCGTGGATTTTTCTCCGGGTCCTCCCGTTTTTCTATCGACATTTAGAATCGACGTGCGTTTTGGAGTATTTGGCTCCTGCTATACATTTCCACGTGATAAGCCACTTCGTTGAGCTATCATTTGTGACGAGGTTGCTTCTGGAAAAAAAGCTCTACAACTCAGTGGGCCCGACCTGGTAAAATAAGACAGTGGTAGTAAGTTGAACCTTGGGATCAGTACTGTGTAGGATACAGTTTGACTCGGGGTACAAACATCTGATCTGTGGGGTCAGAATTGGGCCCGGGCTTTAAATTACCACAGTGGGGCGGAAGTTCAAATATTTTATATAGTGGTCTGGCCCCTGGGGTCAGAATTGTACGGGGCATGCTGTCACTTTCATACCACGTTTGTGACGCCAGGTGAGACGGTGGAGCAGACCTTGACCAAGTGGGCAAGGCTTGCGATGCCACCCTGGCTGCCGATATAGCATGAGGAGATGTACATTTTTTTTTACGTTTGAAAATTATGTCGGGATGTTTTATAATTTTATAGGGGTCGTAGGGTTATGGCGCTTAATTAAAATGCCAACACACTGTTACTTTGAGCTTATAATGATGGTGGGATGAATGGATTAGGACTAATATTTACACTGCGTGCGAAGAATTGTGCGTGTAAGAATTGATAATTTAGGATGTATGCAAATGATGTGCAAGTGATGTGCCCTTGTTAAGATTTTGCGAGCAGCGCAAACAGCCAAAAAAACAAACGATACAAATGGGATTGTAAAATTACAAAAAACTACTTATTCACGAATCGCAAATGCAGACAATTCACGATGTTGCCATGGTGGGTGAATCGTTGCGTGCCTACTATTTTCTGCAACAGGCATCTACTTTGTTATCACCACTGCCATGGGAACGTGGCATTTCCATCACCGGTTCAGGGACCGCCTACAAAAATAATCTCCGCCCGGCACTCATTTGATTACCGGGACGAAGCCTTTGACTCTGCGAAGCTCGAACCCATTTCTGCGAAAGCGTGGATGAATCCTCGCCTCGTCTCGCGGAGTTTCGGGGCACGGAGCGCGGGGAAGCGTCCCCTGCGTTCACCCGTTTAGCCGACGGCAACGCGCCAAGTCAAATGCGTTAGACGCCCGACTGAGCTATGAGAACATCCCATTTCGCCTGTCAGCGTCGCCTCCTCTCTGCTCAACCCCGCTCCTCATTCCCCCCCCCCCTGCCTCACGCGCGGGGGATGAAATTATATGACTGCTGCCGCTTTTGCCGCTTCAGCCGATTAACGGGAGAATATTACCGCGGGCGTCTGCGGCGGCTCGGTCCTCTGGCTAGTGACTCACGCGCCCCCCCCCCCGGCCCCCCCCCCCTTTCCTTGCGCTGCGTTCGCAGCCGTCGTGACTACGCAAACGCCCCCCCCCCCCCCCCCTCCCTGACAGATGCCTTTGCCTTTATCAGGCCCCGCTTGAGCCGGGGGCGATTTGTCTCGAGTCACGGCGGACCACACGCTCGAGCGGAAAATTAAGCGGAGCGCGTCCGAACTCCGTTAGATCCCCATCGCGCGATCGACCCAAGCGTGCTCGTTATCAATTAACGATACCGCTGTAGCTGTCATCGTTAACGGCCGTTCCCGTGACGATGGAACGATGCGTTTCAGGAACGGTCTAGCGACATCTCCCAACTCGGTTTGTAACGATCTGCACCCCTCCCCCATCCCCACAACGCCCCATCACACCGTGGCTGCAGGGGTCAGATAAACCAATTCCAAGCGTTTCTCAATGAGGCTTGTAACGATTTGCCCCCTCATCCTACGCCCCCTCCGTGATGTGATGAAAGCTCCACACACACACGAGGCACTTTTCTCTTGGCCACACCTCCCACCCAATGCCCCCCCCCCACCCCTCCCGCCGCTTACAATACCTGATAAGCACTGCTGATCACCCATCCAAATATGAGCTGTGCTTAATCCTGCTTAGCTGTTGAGATGTGTAATATAGGATGATATGGTCGTAGATACTTCATTATTAAACTGCACTTTACCAAAGACGCAATCAAGTTCATCGAACGTGACCAAAATAATCGGTAACATTTGTAAGCGATACAAAATGTGGTTTGTTGGTCATTGCTTTCGGAAATGGGTTTGCCTACAGTGGTGAAGAGTTACAATGTGGGGGCCTTGAAAACACTGGCAAACGGAGACACGCTGTACATTGGACGATGGGTTTTCGGATTAAACATTTAAAAACGTTATGCCCAATTTAGGATTTTTATTCCAGACTTTGGTATATTCGCATGTGAACTGTGGGATGCATTTTCTCTTCTTGAAGTCATTTAATAAAATGCCATATTAAGCCCCGAGTTAAAAATTTTTAAGATAAGCAAGACAAACATTTTCACTCAAAAATATTCATCACTTGGGCAAAAGCGACTTCACGCGATTACAATTCACTCGATGAAAGCGCGGAAACGATGCCACCCCTCTCTCTGTTTTTCAAAAACAATTTCGTAAACAAAAACAATCCCCCGAGCGGCCGACAACATCGCTCGCTGAGCTTTCGCGCGAGGATCGCCGCAGCTCCGCGATGCCTTTCCAGGTCACGACGCCGCGTGGTTGTCCGTGAACGGCGCCGCGACGTTCGGTCCGCGCGCCGGGGGGCATCCCCAGGATCGGACTGGGGGTACGAGCTCGCGACCCCCCCCCCCCCCCCCCCCCAGTATAATACATAGCTTGTAGGTGCTACTGCCCGCCGTTTGATGTCGACTTCACCCGTCGAGGCGACGCGCTCGCTGGCTCGCTCGCTGGCCGTGACGGGGGTTGTTTTCCGGCGAGGCAGAACACGCAACCCTCGGGGCCACGCCGCTTGACGCCCGTCGGGCGAGAAACGGCCACCGCAGATCCTCTTCCCCGCACCGCCATCCCCCGCGGCGGACGTCGCCGTTTACGGACGCTCACTCTCGACTTGCCGGCACTATCTCCTCGGGACACGTTGTGCCAGCCGTCGAGAAAAGGAGCGAGTTTCAACAAACGATTTGGCCTTTTTTTATATCTCGGTCTCGGCGTTTACAACGGGCGCCATCCCTCATTCCCGCCCGTCCGACGGCCGCTGCAAGGAGCGGTGGCCACGTCAAGCGGATAATAGTGGCGGCAATTACGAACCTTTTGTCGTCGCGAGCTATTTTTTTTTTTTTACAAAGGGATAAAATGTGGGTCGGTGCGCGGTTATAATCTAGCACGGTTTTCTGGCTTTGCCCAGCTTGTGATGTGGTTTAGGGTTGCCATCCTGTCCTGCTGTCCCCCTCGCCCCCCCCAAGACGTCCAATTAGTTGAGGCAGCTGCAGTCTTGGGAATTATTTTGAAATCTTCCCAGGGACCATTACAAGTTGACTGTTATTGTCACTCGCGTAATAATGATAATACACCGCTTAAGACGAATGCATCCATGTGAACCTCTGTCCTCTGCTGGTATTGTGAGATATTCTTATTCCTCGTGATATGTCCCTGGTTTTTTATTGTTCAGATCTCAAGAGTTGGCAACCCGAGCGTGCCTGGTAAATAGTCGCTCGACGTAAAACTTCTGTGCTCGTGTCACCTCCAATTCGGCCACACACCTGGCACGGGATGGTGGGGATCGTAGGACGTGTCGCTCCGAGTACCCCCGGACTTTTCGTGTCGGGCCTCTGCGTTGCGACTGATCCCGTGGCGTGCGGCTGTTGCTATTTCCGGTTGGACCAAACAATTTTGTACAATTTTAATAAAAAAACCCAAAAAAGAAAAAACGCCTCTGCATTCAACGTGAACATTGTTGTTGCATTTTGTTTCCGCTACATTTCACACGAGCATGAGACTCGGGTGGTTGCGATAAAAAAAACAATATACGTCGTATAATCTTCGAGTGACAGTGGCTTAGCCTAGGTGACATTGGTCCTGACGCAAGGTAGGAATTGGCCTTCTCTTGAGCCCCCCGCGTCCCCTTCCCTAACGCAGTTGCAGTGCCTGCGCACTCGGTAGCTCGGCAACTGGCGTCAGCCCGTGGGGTTTCTGTGCACAGGACACGCGCGCGTGCAGCTCTAAGGATGGTTAAGTACGGAGAACCCGTCCCATTTGGGGGGGGGGGGGCACCCTCGTGACAGACAGCGGCGGCGGGGCCGAGTGGCCCTGGCAAGAGAGCGGCGGTGCGGCTCGCGAGGCTTTAGTCAGGGAATCAATTCCTGGTTCCGAGTCAGATTTGGGACCGGCGCGGACTTCGGCTCGAGCAGACAAAATGGATCAAAGTCCTGGCGAGCGTAGACAGAGAGGGAGAGAGACCTCAGCCAGGCGGAGAGCCACCGCTGTGGAGCCCCCCTAGAGAACACCTCCAGCGGGATGGAGCCCCCCTAGAGAACACCTCCAGCGGGGTGGAGCCCCCCTAGAGAACACCTCCAGCGGGATGGAGCCCCCCTAAAGAGCACCTCCAGCGGGGTGGAGCCCCCCTAAAGAACACCTCCAGCGGGATGGAGCCCCCCTAAAGAGCACCTCCAGCGGGGTGGAGCCCCCCTAAAGAACACCTCCAGCGGTGTGGAGCCCCCCTAAAGAACACCTCCAGCGGCATGGAGCCCCCCTAAAGAACACCTCCAGCGGCATGAAGCCCCCCTAGAGAACACCTCCAGCGCGAGGCTGCAATCCAGAGATGCCCCCCCCGACCCTAACTCGTAGTGTGGGGGACGACGACGCAGAACGAGCGAGCAGTGCCATCACCTGTCACTGCTCCTCATCTCGCTGCGTTTGGCGAGCGCCGCGGCAGCTTCACTGTTGCCCCAGCATCGTGGTGCTTGCGTGCTGATTTTAATCAAATATCAAGTGTTCTCGATGTTGCCGCTCTTGTACGGCTGGGGTTCTTCCCATCCCATCTCCCGGCCGCCCGCTGCTGCCGCCGCCGCCGCAGGATGTACCGAGACGGCCGGATCGGTCCGTCCAATCGTCTGCCCGACACTTGTGTCCGACCGTGCCCGCCCGTCCGTCTCAATCGTTTACGAGTGCACAGCGGCCCCGCTTGCTTCTTCCCGCCGCCGCCGCCGTTGGGTGGCCGTAATTACCGAGGCCGTCTTCCAACACCGACCCCCCCCACCACTTCCCTCCCAGGACGGCGGTAGCGCGGATATGAATACAAGAGCGCTCGCAGGGAAAGGCGGTTCGGTTTGCGGGCGGGACGTCGAGCCCAGAAAGCCAAAGCGATATTCGCTCGCCGCCGTATTATTCAGTGTAGATGATCGCTTTTTAATGGGCTACCGTGCGGTAACGATGATTAGTTCCCCACTTCTCACGCGAGCGTGCGCTCTGTAATAAGCCCAACATCAGGTCCATGAGATGTTTTTTTTTTAAATAATGATTGCATCGTAACTTTTCAACCGTCCTTGATATATTGCGTAGGCGGTGTGATGACGATAATAACAATGCTTTATAGCCATCGGTCAATCCACTGCTGGACGTAATGCCTCGCCTTACCCTTATCGGTAGTGGAGGCTGTATGATCATACTTCACCATGACAGTCAGTGTGCTTTAGCGAAGGTGTGCAAGCCCAGTGACCAGCTGGGATATAAACAAAACGAAAACATAGTTTTATTTGACCAGCTAAGGCCCACTGAGCTATGTAGCTCTTTTTCAGAAGCGACCTGGCCACAAATGATAGCTCAACGAAGTGGCTTATCACGTGTGGAAATGTACAGCAGCCAAATACTCTAAACGCGTGACGTTGATTCTAAATGTGGAGGGGAAAACGGAGGACCCGGAGAAAAATACACGCGACCACGGGGAGAGGCGTCAGGGTCAGGATCGAACCCATGACCACCTGCATACCAGACGAGGTAGTTAACATCTCACTGACCGCTGCCAGCCATGGATGGCCAGGAATCAAACGTGGATTATCCGTTGTACCCATAGAGTAGAACTGGTTCAGATATAGCGATTTACAGTCCTCTGTTGATCCACTGCTCGGATGAAGGGCTCACAATGCGGTGTCAATCCTGGTGGAGATTTGACCATACTTCACCATACTGGTCAATGCGGATTATTAAATGAGAGGGCAGGGGAAGGGCAGTGATGATGTAATTGGTCGCTGTGTTCATAGCGCAGCGTGCTAACCACCGTCCCACACATCCACCTCCACATACTCCACCACAATTGGCAACTAATACGCACAACAGTGGAAGCACAATGCCTGATTAATATAAACAAAAAAATACCATTGACAAGGTCAGCATGATTTTTACGCAGAATCAACTTGCAAAAAAAAAATGAATATTTTCATGGAAAGCATCGCCTGACAAATTGAAGGTATGTAATCCAACAAGGATGATTCTAAAGTAGCAGAAAAAGCAATGCATTGTTGCATCATGTAGGAAAGAAAAAAACACGACAGCCAGCTACGATTCAGTGGACGCTCGTGTCGGGGGAAATTGCTGCGCGGCTGGAATGGAGGAGTTTGTTGAAATAATAATAAAACTAATCGTCGGTGTTCACTGCCAAATTTCTAGCGGCGTCGACGGCGAGCGCAGCGAACGAGCGAACTCCACAAGTCAATGGATTGTCCCTCTGTTCACCTGCACGGTGACTCCTTGCTGAACGCGTGGCGGTGTTCACGCCACGCGCTTTCGCTATAACGGGGTCCGTTACGGAACAATTTCGCACAACGAGGAACGTATCCCCGTTATAACGCGATTTCTGAGTAGTCGACGGCAAAGGTACTCCTTTGAGCTGCACGGCTGAGCGGAGTGATACAGTACGGCGGCGTTATCGTCAGTTTTCGTCCCGCCATCTCACTGCGTGGTGTGCGTAGTCGTACATCGCATCTTGCCAAATGTTACCGTTACGTTATTTATGGGGAAATTGATTTCGCTGGGCGCGGCACCTTTGAGGAAAGCATCCACTACCGCGTTAAACGAGGACTGGCTAGACCTCATTGCTAACATTTAAACAAAAAGATGAGCTCTTAGATTTTTGTTTTAAAAAAGATCAACCCAGAGTTTGTTCTGTGATTTGCGCGTGTCTAGTAAATGAACGCACCGCTAAGCGCATCGCCTTTCGCGGCTGTGCCGAACAGCTCTTCCATGCGTTTGTTGCGCCGCGTGTCCGTTCGGCACGATGTCCGACGTTTCGCTCCAACTGCACCTCCAGAATTGAGAATTTGCTCCATAACATCTGTACAATCCACTCTCTTTTCTGAACGATGTCCATCTGACGTTTTCCGGACGACGTCGATCTCACGTTTTCACTCCACATGCGGGGAGCTTGAAAGCTCGCAGCGCGTGGGGCTAGGAAGGCAAACTCTGAACACAACATCGCGTTCGGCGTGATCTCCGACGTTTCGTATTCGGTCATGGAGGAGTGTTTGACAAATACGTCAGACCTCCTGCCAAACAATCTCGGGAAAAAAAACACACCGGAGGAGGCGTTAAAGTAACTGCACGCCCGAAGTGGCGTGGTGTGGCAGTGCCATCCCAGTACGTTCCACTTGCACGTCCTGGCTCCTGCTGCGCACGTCCGCTGCTGGAACCCCCGGTGCAACTGCGCCGGGCGTATCGCCGCACAACGCTTGGGCACAAGCGCAGCAGCAGCGGTGTGGTCACCGCGGGCTGCGGATTGTAGTCGATTGGGCTCCGTGGGGGCTCGCACTGCTACGCTGTGCTCGGACAGAACGCAGCGTCAAAATGTAGAAACCCCCCCCCCGCCCGCCCGCCCGCCACCCGCCGCCTGCTGCCCGCGCCTCCTCCGATAGAGATTTTTCAGAAGCCCGGCACGACGGGACGTCACGTCCATGGGCACGCGTCTCACGAAAATGTGAGCCGGGCCGCGAGGACGTCCATCCTCTCGTCACCATCGCCGGGCCCCCCCTCCAGCCCCCCCGCGAGACATCTGCGGCGGACTCCGCGGCGCACTGCCAATCGTCGTCCACGTTGCGCTTTTCAGAATCGCCGTTCCCAGTAAAACACAAACACAAAACAAAGTTACGTTGTTAGATCACGCTTTTGTGGAGATCACTAACGACGCATTCCATGTCCTGACGGTCGGTGGGGGTTGAGGCACCAGAGGAATTTAATGAGCGCCCCGACCCCCTCCCCAACACCCCCCCTACCCCCCGGAGCGTCCTAACAGTGGCCAAAAGCCACATGGCCTCTAACACAGGAAGCCCCCCCCCCCCCCCCCAATCGTGGGCTGATATTGATAATTTTATATGGAGCATGCGAGACAAATCCCCGGACATGCAATATCGCGGCGTTGGCTGGATATCCGCCGAGATTGATGGAAGGCCGTTGTGGCTGCTCCCGCCGTTGTGTTTGGAGTGGGGTCGGAGCGCCCGTTCCACTTCTCGGAAGGTCACGAGTTCACATTGCGGTCAGCGGTCGTCTCGATAAGTCTCGTTCGTCGGCTTCTGATAATTATACGACGGCCGAAAGTTAACGGCGAGTGGGTTCTTACGAACGAGTGCGACTCCTGCAACACGGGTTCAGGGCTGTCCCCGAAGCCATTGAGAGTAAAGGCGGAGCCCCGCAGTTACCTTGCCGCGCCACTGCTGCGGAAGGGCCTACACTCTTTGACGTTGGCGAGACGCCTTGAAAGAAGTTACCCACACTTCGCCCCGCCACACGCGACGTCCCGATCGACTCGGCGTGCGGTGTGCACATTCATCCTGTTGGGAATGGACAGGGAAGAGGATTTAAGAAGTGTGCTCCCTTGTTTCAACTGCCGCGCCTGGAGGTGGAACCGGCTGGAATGTACGGATGGCGAAAGCTTATTCTTATGATGGACGCAACATTATTTGCGTGCGCCGTCAGATCGAGTCTCGCCGGGGACATCCGCCCAACGGAACATTAATGGTATTCATGGAATTGGCCAAACATCCAAATGCAGGCTCCTCCTGACAGACAACCTTCGAGACTCATTGAGGCTTTTCTGGGTAAATTAATGGGGCAAAATTATTATCAATAGAATTACTACCCTGGAGTGAGAAGAAAACACACTTTCAAATTATTTTGCCTGTCGAAGAAAGCCAAACGCGCCGACACCCACGAACTGCCCCGCGTCGTAACAAAGCAGACGTCTGCGTTCACGATGTGGTCTCTGCGTTCCCGTCAGCCGCACAGAAAGCGCCACGACCTCAGTGGAGTTCTCTCTTCCCCCTCCTCCTCCACGTCCAGGGGGCTCTGCTGCAGCTGCTGCATGGGCTACGTTATCAACATCCATTCCGTTGTACTGCACTTCTACGATCTTAACGTCCGAGCTCTCTCCATCTTCACAAACTCGCGTGGCGAGATGTTAACTGCCTCGCCTGGTATGCAGGAGGTCCTGGGTTCGATCCCGACGCCTCTGTATTTGGAGTTTGCGTGCCTCTTTCTCTCCCCGTGGTCGTGTGGATTTTTCTTTCGGGTCCTCCGGTTTTCCCCTCCACATTTAGAATCAACGTCACGCGTTTCGAGCATTTGGCTGCTGTAAATGTCCACGTGATAAGCCACTTGGCTGTGCTGTCATTTGTGGCCAGGTCGCTTCTGAAAGAGAGCTACATAGCTCAGGGGGGCCTTACCTGGTTAAAATGAAAAACAACTTTTCATCGTCTTCTTGGTTCTTTCGGTAAAGTCACGTAGAATGGAAATAATAAAATAAAAAATATAAAACATAATAAAATAATATATCATTTTATTATGTTTTATTTTTATTAAAGTCACGTAGAATGGAAATAATGAAATAATAAAACATAATAAAATAATGTTATATTACGTGACTTTACCGAAAGAACCAAGAAGATGAATCCCTGCAGTCACGAAAGCTTTAAATCGAAATTCAACTTTTCATCGCTTAGTTTTTAGTTCAAAAGTACGACGGCCAAAGAAGGCTCGGCGAGTCCGAACTCCTCTTTGTTACCGTGCACTCCCTCCGAGCGCCAGTCCACCACGAATGCGCCGCACCGATCGTGCGCACACCACACCACACACACACAGGAAGCCCGTTAGAACAACATCGTCTGTCGCAATGCTGGCGAAGACTCAAGGTTGGATCCAAAACATCTGCCGGTAACTGGTTCCAGGTCTCGGGGGCCGGAGACTCACGGTGAAAGTGCACTCGCCGTATCGCGACGCGAGGTTTGCGCGTCGGTACAGCAGCGGCAGCAGAGCGGCCAACGTGGGCTGCGGATCGCAGACGCCGTCGATTGGGGGGTCTGGCGAGGCCTGGCACTGCTGTTCACGTGCGTTGCACTTCTTTCGCGCCGTACGTAGCCAACGGCGCTCATCGGATTGAGCATGTTTTCAGCCGGTTTGTGATGAGTGCTTATACAAGTGGGAAAAAACCAGAGCTCCCGCGTATCAAAAACACACGCGTGCGATGGAGCAACGCTCTATCCCCGCGCAGTTGAAAATCAAAACACTGATGGCCATCAGTCCACTCGCTGTACCGCCTCCTCCCGGGCGGCCAGGGAGCGGGCACCTCCTCAACGCCCAAGTGAAAGTTGAGTTTCACAACATCCGCCGTGTGAGCGGTGATCCACCGACCCTCCCGAGCTGCCTCCACGGCGCTGGACGAGAGGCAGCCGGGGCGGGCGGCGTGACCTGGATTTTAGTAAAAATCGCGCGACGGTCAAGTGACCCCGCGAAGACTCCGAACCCGATCGAAGCGGCGACCTCCGCTTTGCACGTCCGGCAAGCAAAGCGTTGCACCCCGCGCGGCATCCACGGGCTTACTGTATGCGGGCCCAAAATAACTGTGATTTATTGTTATTTGCCAGATGCTGGCCGCGGCTCGGCGCGAGTGTCTGAGCACAGCGGGTGGCTGTGGGGCAGATTGGGTTTCCAGCAGCAGTGGCAAAGTGGCTTAAGATACAGAAATGGTCTCATCTATCCAACAAGTACCAATTTGCCTGTCATCTGTCACACGGATTGGACTGGGAAGGCTACGCGAGGTGAACGTGTGAAACAAATCAATGTGAAGCTATTAACAAAACAACACAAGTTAAATAAAAATAACAACAATAGCCGGCTGCGGTTATTGAAGTCCACTGCGATGACGGGAGCCTGGGGGTAACTCGGTGCTTTTGTTTTCACGGTGTAACGGTCGGCCCCGCTGGACTTGCCATGCGGATGTCCCCGGCGAGACTCGATCTCCCGGCGCGGCAGCTGAAACGAGAACGGCTCTGTCCACCCAGCGGAGGCGATCGAACGAGGCGGCGGGGGCGCCGCAGTGAGGCGGACCGTTGTGGGGCTAAAGTGTGGGTACTCCCCACCCCCCTTTGAAGGATGTCTGGTCAGCGTGAAAGACTAAGATTACAAAGAAAGAAAACAAATACCCCCAAGGAATTAAAAAAATTCTGCCCATTGTTGCAAGTGTCACGCGGTGGGGAGGGGGGGTACAATCGAACCCGGCGACCTTCGGATCGCAAGTCCGGTGCGCGAACCGTTACAATGAGTTCTAGATTTGAAGCTTTCGTGACTGCAAGGATTCATATTCTTAGGTTTTTTTTCGGTAAAGTCACGTAGGTAAAACATTTAAATTAATAAAAGTAAACCAGTATATATAAAAATACGGTTTTCTTGGAATTTCTCTCACTTGATACAGCTATCGTGCTGTGACTGTTCCACCTGCAGACGGAAGCTTGTGTTGCCTCCGAAACGTCGTGATTTTTATTTTATTTTTATTTTACTTTTATTAATTTAAAATTTTTACCTACGTGACTTTACCGAAAAAAACCTAAGAATACGTTACAATGGGTTGCAGCGTCCCATTGTAGCGCGCAGGCGAGAGGCTTTCTGGCGAACCCGCCAGTGGAAGTCCTCCTCCTGCCAGCGGTCACGTGGCACACGTGGCTTTCAGGGCTGCACCTTTTTACACTTTGCCTCGGGATGATCGTTCTCGCGACGGATATATTTTCTATTTAACTCAAATCGTTCTGCATTCGCGTGGCGGGGGTGGGGAGAGAGAGGGGAGGTGAAAGCGGCGAATCTGGCGGGCACACAGAGTGCGAGAAATGAAGCAATTGCGAATGAACATGCGGGACCCATCACAATCTCTACACCACCACCCTCCACCCTCCACGGTGATGGGGGAGCCTGTTCCTCGCCGTTGCCGAGTTTGTGATGCTCGCAGCGGCGGAGCCAGGTCACAAATTCCATCGCTCGCGCTTTAGCTGGCAATCAAAGTGCGCCGTGTAATTGGACTCGTCCGAAGCGCTTTCCCATTGTCGTTGTAAACGGTCGGAAATGTCAGCACGCGTGGCCTCGTCCCTCCCTGGTCTTCTTGTGGCTCCCGCCACCACCGCCGCCACCACCACGGGGCCTCGCATCAACCCGTCATCGCACACCGCCCGCGAGATTACCACCGCGTTCAAACCGCGTAAAAAAAGAAAAGCGTCGTCGCTCTCGCACCGCGTTCCCGTCACGCTGCGCCCCACCGCAGTTTTAATTACGGACGTGCAAACACAACAGTGGTTAATTTAATTTTAACCGCCGCATTGACCTTCTAAGAGAACAAAATAACGCCTCCTTCAAGGGTCCTTGCCAATACAACATCGTGCGCGCTTCTCCCACGCGTTGCTTCGAAAGAGTCCGGCTCCGCGACCGGCCACTGGCGTCGTCGTGGAGGATATAAGTTACAAAGTAAGCGGGCGTACGTCTGGAGATGAATCGTCTCTGCTTATTATGACTCTGCTTGTGATAAAACTGAATGTTGAAACTGGTTCCAGTTTGCTTGTATTGGAGAAATTCTGCCGATGAGATGCAACTCGCGCAAAGCCATGCAGCCGTTGGATTGTGTAAAAAAGAAAAAAAACTCAGTAAAAACACACACACGAGGCAAAAAAATATGAAATCAAATGTTTTCGTTTTTACTGTCGCCGAGAGAGAAAATGATCTTGACAGTTCATGCGCCCTGGCTTCTCTTCGTGAAGAATATAATTCCGAGGGAGAGTGTTTTAATAACGCTCGAGAGAAGGGATGGGATTGCATTAGCCCAGCACTCATTACGTTACCCAGGCAGTGGGCACGGGGAGATGTTGGTTAGGGAGCCAGTGCATGGGAGGTGAAGTATAGTCACACGAGTAGATGATTTTCTTGTTCATCAGCAGCTGCTGAAGCATAACGAGACGCTTTCTTGAAACCTCCTGGCCCCACCGTCCACCCAGCCGTAGAAACTGGTTAGTCGGACAGCAGATCGCATGCTGTGGGGGGGGGGGGGGGGGGGGGTAAAGTGTGGCAACTTGCACCTCTTTCAAGACGTCTGGCCGGTGTGGAAAAGCAGACCAAATAACCATTCGAGGGGGGCTTTCTCTCTCTCTAGGGCTTCCGTCAAGCGGAGGCCCTTCGACCAGCAGCGGCTTGAACAGCGCGCTGTTGCAGGGCCTGCGCCTTTTCCCCTCTCAAACGCCGCGGTGAGCGCAGGCTCAAGGTGAAGCATCGCGTGCAAGCCCATTCCCCTCCTCGCCAAGGCCCTCGGCCAACATGAGCAGATTTGACATTTTCCTCTCGCAGAGGAAATCCCGCCAGATTCCGACTCGTCATTTTATTTCATTTATTTCTTTTTTATATTTCGTAAGAAAATAAAATCGCTTTCTGGCTTCGGGTTAATTTTTGCATCGCCCTGGTTATTATTCATTATCGTGATTTGTGGTCGTTTCCATTCTATGTTTGTGCCTTTTCTGCAGAAAACACATTTCCCGTGCGCCGTGCATTCTTCGCAATTCTTTCCCCTCGGAAAGCCTCAACGGCTGCCTCGACATTGGCTCCCCCGACCTCACGTCCATAAATAATGGAACGGATCGGACTCGGAGATGTGCGCGCGTGCGTTGTACACACCGCACGTGTGACGAAATAAATAATTTCATGAAAAACTTGGCACAAATCCCATCAAGGATTACACGGGCTGTTTTGTCTAGTGCCGCATTAAATCTGCTCGTGACTCTCTCAATAACTCGGGAGTAATTTCGGAAGAGTTATTTTTGGAATTGTCTTTTAAGAAAAAAAATATAATACCCCGCGCAATTATGCTGTCACGCAAAACCATTTTAATTAACCTCGGGAGTGTTTATTGCGTGGCGGTTGTGAGCGGTCTGTGCCACGATCAACAGGCGCGTCGCTCCCTCACACCAGATATAAATGTAAATTCCACCGTCAGGTCTAATTGGTTTCTCCACAATCCATCCCGAGCGGCTTAAAGGGCGAGCGCTGGGATTGCGGTAGGCCCTCTGCTACGGCAATGGTCGCCGACGGGAACGTGAAGATTCGCAACAAAGTAATCCGTCACTGTTAACTAATTACGCATCACCGTCGGTGAAGCGCTGGGTATTATTATCGCTTTGCTTCCTAGGGACATTATTATTATTATTATTCAGTGGCTTTTCAATTACAAGTATGAAGAATTATTCCACATTATACGCATTAAAAAAATAATTACTTCTATTTTCTTCTCATTATCGCCGTGTCCTGGAGGCACTTTTTGAGAACAAAAAATAATAAAAATCATTAAAGAAGTGCTAACGCATGCCCTCGTCTCGAGTGGCGGTGGAGCGGTCGCGCAGCGTTTAGCGCGCCGAGCTATCAAACCGGTGACCCCTCAAGTTCGATTCGGGCCTTGGCCAACAGCAGTGGCGAGTCATATCGGAACCAGCCCTGCCCTCCTCTCCCTGCATTCACCGACCCGCACGCACGAGCGCGAAGTATGGTAAAAATAAAACCCAGCACTGAAAAGGCCATGGCGAAGCCTTCATCTATTGTATTGAGAGTAATCTATAATTGTATTGTCATAATTTATTAAATACATGTCTAAGACTTTTGTTTAATGTATACTGTATTTAAAAAAAAATGTATTAGCCCTATTGATTTATCAAATCCTCTCTGACTCAAACAGCACTTTCCCGAGCGGAAAAAACTAAGCAAACTCGAAATGCAGTGATTGTAGCTCTGCATCAGTTGTGGAAATTCCACAAATCTATGAAAACCCACTGATGAACGACGAGTTTGCCAAAGAGAAATCCATTTCTTTCTTTTCGGTTTCAAGTCCGTTTCTGTTTTTCAAAGTTTTAATCGCCTACCATTTATTTTTTCAGTTTCTCTCCTCTCATATGTGCGTAAGTTTCCACTTGAGTGAGATGACCACAGGTCTCATGCACACCACGAGTCCGTAGTTCGACGTGATCCCAAAACAACGTTTCATAATTTAGCATCCGGAGACACTTTGATGCACTGCCGTTGGAATCCCCGCAGTGAATAGCATCGCCGCATTGAGTGTTATTGTGGGATGAGCTCTCCGAGAGCCAGGGCCAGACCGAATGCGGACGCGCTCGCCAGCGCGGTCGAAAAAAAGCCACGTTCATGGCGCCACAGACCCAACCGCCATGTGGTCAAACCCAAGTTTTGCGGGGTGGTTTTTTTTTTCTTCTTTCTAGGCCTCGAACGCTTTCTTAAAAAAAAGATTCCATTCGTTCGGCTCGCAATGTTTTCAACTCCACACCGCGTGACGGCACCAACCACTGTGATTATTGTTACTTTAACGAAGATTTTTGGTTTCACTTAAAAACCGACAAAAACGGCCATATTGTTTGGCACCGGGTGCGTGGGCCGCTTCCAAAATCTTGTCTCGGCCGGGCCGCGCGGAGGGATTCTGGCCGGTGACGCACCCAGCGGGCAGGGGTGGACGGGGGGGGGGGCCTCGGCTTTCCAGGCACAGAGACACATCGATCGCGGCGGTGGCAGCGAAGGCGCTAGAACGCCGTGGGGTCCTGATCGCAGGCCCTCTAGGATTTGGGAACGTGCCGTTCCGCGGGGTGGGGGACGTGGGCTCGGCAGCGAGAGCCATGTGGCCGTGACGTGCAGGTATTTTGCAGCGAGCAAAAATCTTCTGGGAGGTCGGGCAGTTCCTGCACGCCCCCCCTCCCCCCCCCCGTGTTGTCTCGGGATGGGATATTACCGTAAATTACGGCGCAGAATGCATTTGGGTAGGTGAAAAAAAAATGCTTGTTTGTAATCCTGGGAGGGTTGTGGCAGTCGCCAGGGGTATCAGACTGCAGGCCTGGCTTCAACCCAACCCACAGAGTCTCAGCCGCCCGCCCCGCGCAGACGCGGTCTCACGCACATACGGGCGGCCTAGCGCCCGTGCGCCTGTACGCACGGGCGCACATGTGCGCGCAGACGCACGAGCATATGCGCGCGCGTGCGGACGCATGTGCCAACACAAGCACGCACGCGCGTAGACACAACACACAAGATTTTTACAAACGCCCACAAATGTCGTCGCCCACACTTGCACAAACACAGGCCGGCACAAACATACGCACGCGCACACACTCACGACACACAAGCGCACGCTGAAAGACACGCACACTCGCACGGACACCCGCACGAACGCAAACCCCGCAGAAACACGCTCGGTCACACGCACAAACACACTTGGTACACACAAGCAAGCGCACACGCACACGCTAACTCACACGCACCCACACACGCGTGCACGCACTACGCACCAACTGCAAGTCACAGGCCTACCACGGACAGCGCCCTACTGCGATTTTCCAGGAACGGCATCAGACGCCAGTTTTATGGTCGCTTTCTCGGAAAGCCTGGAGGTTGGGGGGGGCGTGTGGGGTGTGGGGGGTGTGGGTGGGAAGGATTCTGCAGCGGGGCCGCCGTCGCTTACCCCTCTGCTCCACCGACTCGTTTCACGAGCTCGTAAAAGCCAAACAGAATTCGTTGCCAAACTGCCAGAATGAAAACTGGCGGAGGGCTTGAAGCACGCAATGAATGCAATATCTGTTTTTTTTTACATTTTTAATTTATTGAATTGCAGTGGCTTAAAGTTCCTGGAATAATGCCTTGTCATCTGGAAGAAGGATTCATTTTAAAATATTAGACGTTACACACTTGGCACTAATTTTGGCGCGCGCACTCTGTGAAGATATTAAATTGTTTATGAGAACGCCTCTGCTATTCCCCTTCAATTATAAATGTTTTAAACGTTCCCAGTAAACGGTGGGGGGTGGGGACAAAATCTGTCAGGCTGGAACACGCTTCAGGCCCTCCTCCGCCCCACGGCGTCGGCGCAGAATGTCCCTCGTCTCGCGTCGAGCAGTGCGTGCGGGACGTTTATCGGGCGGGGGAAGGAATCTGCCTCCTCTCGGCGGGAGTCCCGACCCCGAGCTGTTGGCCGTCGTGGCCAGCGGCGCGGCGTCTCTCTCGGCAGGCGACGGGCGGCGTCGTCGTCGTCACCCGCGCGTGATGTGTTCCGCTTGAGCACAGCGGCGTTCGGTCGCCCACGGCGAGATGATGTTTACTCGTTTATTTCTCCTGCCGAGCTGTTTAAATATTTGTTCTCTCGGCTCAGGCTTTGAGGTGGGAGGCGGAGGGGTGGGGGTGCCGGCCCTTCTCCCGCGATGCGACGACGCTTCCCTGTCGCTTCCCGCAACTCCCCGCACGCCCGCTCGGCCGTTCTGTGTCAGTGGAGAATCTGTCCCCGCCGGGGCCCCCCTGCGGAACCGTTCGTCAGACGTGCGTCGCCCCCGACAGCCGCCCGCCCGCCCGCGCTTTCCTCCGCAGTACGCAGAACCTTGGCCTGCAGACACCGCCGGCACAAAATAATGATTAATCATAAATCTTCCCAAGGCAGCGGTTGGCTGTTCTCCAGCCGTCCCGTCCCCCACCCCCCCCCCCCCCCCGGTTCGTTCTCTGGTTCCGTGCCACGTGAAAAAGGCCCCGTGGAGACAGCTGCCTCGGCGCGCCGGCGCAGACGCCGCGGACAGACGGGCGACGGACGGACACACACGTGGGGGCAGACCGCACGGAGGGACCGACACGTGGACAGACACACGGACGGACACATGGAGGGACCAACAACACAGACGGACACACGGACGGACACACGGACGGACACACGGACGGACACACAGACAGACACACGGACAGATACACGGACAGACGGAGGGACCGACACATGGACAGGCATGTGGTCACGCGCACGGATTTGACGCACGGGGACACACCGATACCAAAACGGACGGACGCACGGTGGGAGATGGACGGACACACGGACGCGCGGGGCGTGATCACGACGACGGCGTCCACCGCCTTCCTTCCACAGCACGTTGGCTGCAAACAGCAGGAAGGCGGTCACTGCGGGGACCAGCAGGGCCACGGTTGCAGAGAGGCGCGAGGGCGGTGAAGACCACTGCTCAGAGCGCACCGATGCAATGGGTGCTGGCTAAACCAACACGACTTTAATTAATACAGAAACAGCCCTCGGGGTTCGTTAATGATTGACTGTTCCTTTCCAACGTCTGGGTGAGGGGGGGCGGTATTCAGATATCAATATCGCGAGCCGTAACTGTGCCCTGCCAAATGGTTATTTTGAACAAGCTCCTCTTACTTTTCGAAGCCAATTTGATGAAGATAATCAATTGCGCAGCCATAAACAGCAACGTGACCCAAATCGGCCGGAAACGCGCCCGACCTCGCCAAATCTCGGGCACTAAGCAGGGTTTGAGTCCGGACAGCGCTTGGATGGGCTCCTACCACGTGCCACAAAAAATGTATATCGGCTGCTGCGGGGCCTGCGCCTTTGGGGGGCACCACGGTGCCGAGATGTTAACCACCTCGCCTAGTATACAGGAGGTCGTGGGTTCAATCCCGACCCTGACAATGCCTGCTGTCTATTTGGAATTTGCTCGCGTGATTTTTCTCTGGGCGGGTCCTCTGCGTTTTCCCTCGACATTTAGAATCAACGTCACGCGTTTAGAGCATTTGGCTGCGATAAATTTCCACGTGACGATAAGCCACTTCGACGCTTCTGAAAAAGAGCTACAGTGGGCCTCACATGGTAAGATACAAGTTTAGTTTAGGTGCAGCAGAATGCATTTGTTGTACCGCACTTCTATGTTCCACACGGCTACACTCCTCCAGTCCTTCACCGACCCGTGATGACCAGTGAGCTACGGTCAAACGGCACCGCACGACAAGGCCATGGCGCGGGGGGGGGGGTTCAGTGATACGGCGGTCAGATCAACATAGGAGAACGCGTCGCTGCTATGCTCGTTAAAAAACGGGGGCATCGTTATAAGCACGCTGTGTTTTGACGAGGTAACACTGCATGTGTGTGTGAAGAGCTGGAGACATCACCCGCTAGCGCAGCCCTTTAAAAATTAATCGCTGCTATGCCCTGGATGATATAAAAAATTAAATAAAGTCAGAGTGACCCCACATTTTGCTTGTAGAACAACCACACAATGATGAATTGTCCTGGCGGACCCACGACTAGGACTTGAACCCGTGCCTTTGGCACTGTGAGAGGAGGACCCAGAATGCCATTTTTTTTTGGCTGGAGGATTTTTATTTTGTGCGAAAGAAATTGTCTCTTGCACGCGTTTCTCTTTTCGATTTTGCCAATTGGTGCCCACGAAACGAATCGCCTATCCAGAACTCTCACACTGTCACACGGCGATTCAATTCCGTGGCAGGAAACGGCCCTGCTAAACGAGATTTCGGAGAAGTACTTTTGACATCCGTTCAAAGTGACCTCATTCGCACGCGAGGTGACGGCCGCACTCTTCCGCACATCCTGCTGCGGAGGAATATTCAATCGCAGTGGCAAAAGTGACAAATTTTAACTCTCTCAGAGCTGGGATTTTCCTACACCAAGCGGCGAACCGAATTATAGCGAATAGTTTTTCTTGCAAGCAGTTTCTAGCGACCCAGGCTGGTGCCCAACATCTCACGACGCTCGAGGAGCACGGTCTGGGCGGCTCTCAGCCGGTGCTCCGACTCCTGAGCTGCGTGGCCGGCCGGCCGGCCTCCCACTCCCGCCTCCTGCCCCTGCCGGAGGATTTCACTCGAAAGCACCGGGTGCTGCCGGTGCCCGTCGTTGTGGTTTAACGTCGCCCACGAGCGCAGGTGTGCCGGCCGGAGTGGGGGGGGTGGGGGGCAAACGAGCTCACTGTCCGAGGAAGTCGCGGCGCGTCTCGACAAACTCCAGCGCAAGCTGCTGCTGCTGCAGCCACTTGCGGATCATGGCCGGGTGTCTGGGCTCCGTTTCCAGCCACACCAGTCTGGTTGGCGGCAAGAGACAGCGAGACACACACACGCACCCACGCACACACACACACACGCACGCACACACATACACGCACACACACACGCACACATACACGCACACACACACACGCACGCACACGTTCGCCGGCGAGGTCCCTTTTTATTATTTATATCACGCCTGCTTTGCGAGGTGCGGCACATCCATTCGTATTCATGACCGCGTTTCCACCGGAGGGGTATTTTTTTTATATATATACATTTTTATTAACACAGCAAAGGCGGCCTGCCGCTCTTCTATCGCTCTTGCCGTGGGGCGAATGGAAGCCCCCCCTTCGCATGGCATTACAAAATTATAACGCGCGCGGAAATTATGCCTTCGTTAGGGATCGCCGCCGAGGTCTCGTCCAATGTGTTTATTTAGTTACCTCGTGATGAGGGTACTCGAGGCTGCGGTGTCCGTGAGCTCACGCGACAATCGCAAAGGTTAATTGTAATAACGGGGGGAGGGGGGTTGTTTTTTGTTTCTCGCCGTTTGGCAAGGATGGTGGCTTTTCGTCCAAAAAAATCCTCCCTTTCCCCCCAGTGACAGCAACAACAAAAAAACCCCTGTTATTATTCGTAATTAACCTGTTATTTACTACAAAGTTGATATAAAGCTGGATAAGAGGCCTAGCTTTGTGATCTCAGAGCGGCGTGCCTGGGGAGTGGAGATTCGTATCGAGTTGTGACCGGGTAAAGGGCAGAGCGAAGGGGTGGTGGGGAGCCCAGGGGGGCAGCGGGGGGGTGTGCAGCGAGAGGGGGGGGCGAGTGGGCGACCGTTCTTGCGATTAGAATACGAGCGGCATTTGACCCATGCCCCCCCCCCGTCCTCTCCAGACGCACACACTTCTGGGGTCTGAGCCAATTGTTGTTTTCTTTTATTTTGCTGCCGTTGAACAAAAAAAAATCGCTGCCATTTTCAATTTCCTATCGCTGTTGCCACAGACCGTTCAAATTATCTGGCCTCTCGCCAGATAATTTAAACGTGGGGAGGCAGCGGCGTCGGTGGCGGCAGCGGCGGCTTCGGCGTCTGGGGGTCTCCAAGCGACATTTCCCTGGTCAAGCGTGGAACCGAGCTCGGTGGTCTGCCGCGTTCCGTGCCTCGAAAAACCGCGCGGCCGCGGAAAAGTCACTCCCGCACCACGACACGCCACGCCACGACGCTCCACGAAGCGCCAGCCGCGGTGGCTCAGAGGGTCCCCGCCCCCACACCACGATCCCGGTTGACCCAGGTTTTACCGCCTGCCTGTGCACATCATCAGCAATTGGGCATCCAAACCCCCCGTGCCTGTTCGGAGGTGGCCGGGGGTGGCTCAGAGGTCAGAGCACCGTGACGGCAACACCGTCGGGATCCTCCTGGGTTAATATCTGGGTTTCACCCCCGCCCACCGCCGTTCAAAACCACGGCTGTTACGATTTCATACGAGTGGCGGGGGTCTCGTCCTCATTTAGCAATCACCAGTTGAGTATGGCCATCGTTTCCTGTTGCTGCCGCTGCCGCCTTGTGACTCGGTGGCTTCATGTGGACATGCCCTCCTTGGTCACAGGGAGGGCATTTTGGCACCGTCTCAGGGCGACGATAAACCATCTCTCAGACACTTTCCGGGAATTATGGGAATAGCTAATTTGGGCAGAAAAGTGCGTGCGATGGCTTTAAAAAAAAGAAGAGTATATTTAACACGACGACACACAAGACGGTGATTTTGTAGACGGCAAACGGGGTGGTTGTGACCAGAGGCGCGGGTTCTCCGCCTAAAACAAGGACTGTGTGTGCATGGCGCGGTGCTGTGACGTGATGCGCAGGGCGTGATGGGAGAACCGATGCTCCGGCCACACGATCGCACCTCTCGCTGTCTGGAAATCACCTTCCGCTTGCATTAATAACGCCAGCGATTATATAAAAAACAATTTTAATTGTTATTATTGTAAAAAAGAAAAGCTGGGAAAAAAAAACCCAGCCCCTTTTACACTGACCTCATTACTGTCCGCACTAATCTGCGCAAGTCGACGTTATTACCCCACTGGGCAGCGCGCCAGGTGACACAGAAACGCTCCGTGCGTACGCAACAGCAGTGGCAGCAGCAGCGGCAGTGGCAGCAGCAGTGGCAGCAGCAGCGAGAAACGGGACGCGAGCGATCCAATGGCGGCAACGAGTAGGGCCGCACGACGGCCGCAACAGGTGTGGAGTGAGGCCCCCCCCACCCCAGTTCGTAACAAGACGCGAGAAACTCCCTGGTAGACGGGGCACGGATCGACACCGCGTTTAACGTGTCGCGTCACCCCCACCCCCCTTCACCGCTCCTACCCCCCCCCCCCCCATTGGCTGGAGTAGGGCCGCCGCCTATCTGCGCATCCGAAAAGCGAATTTCGAGCGGTGGGCAAAATTCGCGGAATTCAGATTATCCCAGGCAGCTGGGCAAAACAAGCGCTTACAAAAACAAAACCTCTCTCTCGCTCTCGATTTTAAAACATATATAAATATATAATATTTGTCCGATTCTCTAATTACTCGCGCTGTTCCTGCAAGGCTCCTGACATTTCCTGGAGCCTCATGAAAGCGGTGACTCTCCTCTTTTTCTCCGGGTTCATCTGCCTCCCCTTTACTATCATCAAAGCACCGCATTCAACGCTTCCAGGAATGCCCTTCAGTGCGCCGTTTCCTGGAACTGGCAACTGCGGAGCGCTGCCGTCGGGGGCTGCGACGCCGGCGACGACTAGAGCGCGGCGCCGGAGAGCCAGGCAACGCCGCAATCAACGCCCGCTCGCGCTCGCGCCCGCCCGCCGGAGCCCACCCGTCCGCCCGCCCGCCAAGACGGGCGCGCGCGTGACTCTCCAGTTCGCCCCCCCGCTAGACTGGCCGGCGAGTTCGACGGCACAGCCGCAGCCACAGCCGCCGCCGCCGCGGATAATCGATTTTTTTTACCTCTTCCTCGCCGGCGCGAGCGAGCGCAGCAACAAGTCAATTTAATTTTAGTGGTTTTCATTTTTGGCGTCGCCACCGCCGCACGGCCAGAAATTACTCGCTCCTTCGCGGACGTAATTAGGAGAACTGTCTCCCCCGACCGGCGAGGTTCCGCCCCGGTGCTGCGGACAGGAGTATGAACGTCAATCAATTACCCACGCAGCACGCACGCCGTTTCGCAAACACTGTATGGATTTTTTTTTTAAACCCAGCGACGGGTCATCGAGTTCGCCGAAATCTTTTTCTCTTTCTCCCCTCCCACGTTCTGACAGACCCCCCGCCCCCGCCCCGTGTCTTATTGTCGAACGCTTTAAAGGACGGCGAACAAACAACACTTTCAGCGCCGTTAATGGATTTTTCTCGCTATGTTCGTCCAAGGTTAGCCAGCCGGGAATAAAAAATGATTCCAAATTCACATACCTCACATAGAAAAAAATAACAACCGTTGGTCACTCCTGCCAGAATTTGAATATATGCATGGTAGTGAAAAATAAATATATATATATGCAAAACGGCGTTTGTGGTTTTGTTAAAATGGCATTACCGTACGTAAGGTTCATTGGGTTTCAAATTTCAGGGAGGTAAAATAAGATGCGATGGCAACGACGGCAAAAATCTGGCCAACCTCCATCCGGAGAGCGACTGCTCGCGATAGCGATGCCGGCCAACGTTTCGCGGTGACCGTGAGGGCTCTTTCCTTGTTTTAAAATCAGGTTTTCTTTTTAATTTCATCCTTTTTTTGATTTACGCCCGCCGAGCTCCCTCACTGACGAGTCAATGGGACTCGGTCTCAAGACGGCCGCGAAGGATTGCCCCCTGGTGATCCTCGTGGGTAAATCACTCAAAACCAAAGCGGAGGTTTGTTGTCTTTTTACTTCTACAGCGATCAACAGCGAGGAAGCCAAAGCTGAGCGAGAGAGCCACGCTCTCCGGAGCCCCGGGCCTCGCACCAAGCGCCGACCTCACTTCCTCCGCATCTCGCCACGGCGCCGAAATGTTAACTACCTCGCCTGGTGTACAGGAGGTCGTGGGTTCGATACCGAAGCTGACGCCTGCTGTATATTGAGCTTGCATGTTCTCCCCGTGGTCGCGTGGATTTCTCTCGCATCATCATCATCATCATTATCATCACGGTGCGTGTCTCTTTCATTATCATCATCATCATGATGCCGGGATGTTAACTACCTTGCCTGGTGTACAGGAGGTCGTGGGTTTGATCCTGAAAATACCTGACGCCTGCTGTATAGTTGGAATTTGCGCGTCTCTCTCTCTCCCCGTGGTCGCGTACATTCTTCTCCGGGTCTTCCGGTTTCCCCCCCCACATTTAGAATCATCGTTTTGAGTATTTGGCTGCAATACATTTCCACACGTGATGATAAGTAACTTCCTTGAGCTATCATTTAGGGCTAGGATGCTTCTGAAAAAGACCTATTTAGCTCAGTGGGGGCTTAACTAGTATAATAAATACATAATAATCACCCGGGCCAGGGCTCAGTGGGATTCGGTATCTCCTGCGCATGGGAGAGTGCAATATTCGTGGCTACACTGGGACGATGAATTTTTTATCTAAAAGTAATTTTGACGTATTGGCTGCAACACAAGAACTCAATGACCTAAAACTTGCTGCTGATGATGATGGTGATGGTGGACAATGATAACCATCGTCATCGCGGTGATGACGAAGATGATTATGATCATGGCTATTATGATAGTGACGATGTCAGAGATGAAGATGATCATCGTCATGGACAGGTCACTGAAACAAGTCACCAGGATAGGTCACCAAGACAAGTCATTACACAGGTCACTAACACAGGTGACCAAGACGGGGAAGAGCTGAACCCAGACGGTGGTAACGACGGTGATGATGGTGAGACTCTAAGAGTGGACAGAGGTCGGGTGCCGAGTTCACAATGACTACGAGATCAGGCAGCAAGGAGGAAGCGATGGCGAGGTGTAAGGAGGGGGGGAGGGGTGGAGGGGAGGGGCAGTCGGAGCGTCTGCTACAGGGTCATCAAACGTAACAACGAAACTAACCCGATGCAAACTGAAAAAAACTACGTGAATTATGACGAACGCAAGAACGAATTATCTTATTTCATTCTACCAGGGAAGGCCCACTGAGCTCTTCAGCTCTTTTTAAGAAGCGACCTGGCCACAAATGATAGCTCAACGAAGTGGCTTATCACGTGAAAATTGACAGCGGCCAAATTCTCTAAACGCACGATTCTAAATGTGGAGGGAAAAACTGGATGACCCGGGGAAAAATCCACAAGACAGGGTTGGGATTGAATCCACGACCTCCTGCATACCAGGTGAGGTAGTTAACATCTCGTCACTGTGGCCCCCTGCATATCGGGGGTACACCGGTAATGAAGCCAAAGGCTGTCTTGTCTCCGCCCGAGTGAGTGGACCATGTTCTGGTAGCAAGCTTTTATTTAATGTCAGGAAGTCATGCAAAGCGGCAGCTGGGGCCAGCCAGACCTGTCAACCCCTTATCAGTGCCTCCCTACCTTATTACAGACCAACTCAGACCTTACTGGTCACCCCGTGCCCTTATAAATCTCAACGTTCATCCTACAAAGTCCCATCACAAGGGAGAAACACAAACAAATAGGCAATTTTTTTTTTAAACGCGTGTACGCAGGCTGGTATGGACCTGAAAACTAAATTTCCCTCTACAAGAATACAGAGTAAACCGTAATGGATTGACAGGTGTGGGCCAGCCAACATCTCGCCAAGCGCTCCGTGCTCAATTAAAGGTTGAGTCGACCTAGGGTAGAGGCTCATTGCGGGAACTTCCGGGAAACGGGGCAGTGATCTTTGTCATGGCCAGGAATAGAAGGCGGGTGGCCGAACGCCTGAAGCCGAACACTTCAGGCAATCAGGCGGGTCGCCACGAGCGACAGTGCGACGCAACGGGCGCGCTAACAGTCAATTACGGGGTGCCGTGCGCGTGGGATACAGACCCATTATCCTTCACGACCTCCGCGGCCAGAGTGAGGACAACTTTGATTAAGTCCATTCCGTCTTCACCGCCGTGCAAAGCAGCCGGATCCTCGAAACTGCCGGGGGGGAAAAAAATAAAAACACGACAACAGCGGAATAAATTCAGTTTCAAAAAGAAAAGCGTACACAACGCAGAGCAAATATTTTCGGTTGCATATTCCGAGTGCGCAGCGCGGAATTGAATCGGACGAAACGTGCTCTGGCAAATGTCACGGCGATTCCGCGGTGCTGGTGAAGTCCGGCGCCTTTAAACATTTTTCCCTTCTCCCCGCTGACGGTTCTCTACATCCGAATTCGGTGTTTCTCTCTCCTCCACCTCGGTTTTATCCTCTACGATATTCCCCAGCCCCCACCCACCCGTGCCCCCGCCCGCCACTCCTCCCCACGTTTCCGTTTGACTCTCAATCCTCAAAGGACAGGGTAATATAGTCTTCTTGGTTCTTTCGGTAAAGTCACGTAGAAGGGAAATAATAAAATAATAAAAATATTTTTATATTTTATTATTTTATTTCCCTTCTACATGACTTTACCGAAAGAACCAAGAAGATGAATCCCTGCAGTCACGAAAGCTTTAAATGGAAGGGTAATATAGATTTGGAAGTTTAGAAGGGCACGTGGAAAGAATATGTTGTGGACGTGTATGAGCGCTCCTAAACTACTTAAAATACATTTTTATCTTCCCAGGTAAGGCCCACTGAGCTACGTAGCTCTTTTCCAAAAGCGACTTTGCCACAAATGACAGCTCAACCGAGTTGCTTCTCGTGTGGACATTTGTAGCAGCCAAACACTCTACGTGCACGATTCTAAATGAGGGAAAAACCGGAGGACTCGGAAGAAAAATCCACGCGACCATGGGGAGAACACGCAAACTCCAAATATACAACATGCGTCAGGGTCGGGATTGAACCCACGACCTCCTGTATGCCAGTCGAGGCAGATAACATCTCGCCACCGGTGCGCCGCGGTATCAAGTCCACGTACAGCCCCTTTTGTCAATCCACTGCTGGACAAGCGACTCCCCACATCGTGCGGCTGGCTCACGGGGGTCACGATCGCCAGTGTGAGTTGGCGATTCCGTGGGGAGAATAATGTTGAAAACGCCGACACTGGATATTCTCACTTTCCCAAGCACTAACGAGGCTTAAGTACCCGCTTAGCTTTGCGAGCTTCGTCGAGATCGGGGACAACCAGGGTGACCTTGTCGGTCAACAACAACAACTGCCGTTTGCCACCGTGTGGCGGTGACGTCACCGCGGCGCTCGTGCCCGGCTATGTGCACTTTAAGGCTGCGCGAGGTTTCGAAAGCCCGCTGTTGACCAGAGGTCACGGGACGGACCCAGGTGCCACGGGTCGCCTGACTGAGATCACCGGCAAATGCACCATCCGTGGCCCCCTTCTGTGCCAACTCGCCGTGTTTTAGCCCTCCCGGCGCTGCACCCGTTGCTGCGCTTGGCGCGGTAGAGTCACCTGCGTATCTCGGGCTGCAGGGCGGCCATGTCGCCGGTGAACACGTAGGGGGGGTTGCTGACGAGGACGTCGAACGGGCCAAGCGCTCCCAAGGCCTCGGCGGCGTGAGCTGAGCGGCCAATTCAAACAGGAGCACCCAGAGAAAACCCACGGGTGCGAGAGGGAAACACTCCATCTCATATACAGGTGGAACACACGGAGCCCACACTTGCTGTAGAGCATTCCGTGCAACATTTGCGTGATCCAACAGCCCTCGCCTCCACAGTGCTGGATCAACAGGCGCGCGTAGCTACCTCCGCTTGGCTCAATCGATCACAAGGTCGTAAGTTCGAATGCCAATCGGAGGTCAAATCAGCGAACCGTAATTTCTTTGGTAGATTAAATGAGCACAGGCCTTTGCGCTAAGAGGCTGGGCCCTGCCCATGGCAATGTGGAATTTTCAGAACTGGTCGACAACAGGTGAGTGCTGTCGCACACTCAAACAGGCATGTAACGCCTTACAGCTGAATAATATATTTGACAGTGACACAAAAGTGTGATGAGGCAAACTGAAATTCATACCATAACTATTCTTATAATAATAATACGATTGAATGAAGACAAATTTCTGGGAAATGGATGGTTATTTTTTTTCGGTGCTGCTGATGCTTACAATGACCCCTTGGTGCATTTACGTGAGCCTTAAAAAAATATATCGGGGCTCGCAAAACAGCGCAAGGCCCCAGGAGAGCCTGCGAGCACGAGAAAACGACAGACAGACACCGCTGGCAACGCGTGCGGCTCTCTTGACCCCCGCGAAGCGCACCGCGGTCGTACCGGCCGTGATGTTCAACTGCATGACGCTGCATCTGTCTTGGAGACTCAAGCTGAGCAAAGGGAGCAAACGAAATAAAATAAAATTCAAAAATAGCTGGCAGGGGAGCACATGCTGCACGTCCACGGTATTCCTCAGTTCGCCGTGCTAATTTCAGGGGTTGAGGGTGCGCCCGGTCTGTCCACGATTTCCCAATAGGGGCCCTGCTGGCCCTATCCAATGTAAACCCCCGCCCCCGTTATTTCCCTGTTTACAGCTTGTATCGCTATTTACAATCTTACTTCGGCACCTCGCAAACACAAACGCACAATGTAAAACAAAGGCGCAAAAAATAACCTAACAATGCCGCGTTCCGCAAGTAAACTTTCCCCCGTCGCTTCAACCGTCTCAGCCGGGAGACAGGAATCGAACCGGTGACCTCCGTGACTGCAAATTCGGCGCGCTCACCGTTGCACCGCCAGCGGGAAGTGCCACGGGCCAAACGGCCTGGTGGACGCTGGGGGCGTGGGGGGGGATGGACGCTAGGGGGTGGACGGTGTGAGGTGAGGGGCCTGGTAGACACAGTCGGCTCACTCAACTCTTCGGCGTTTTCTCGAGCGAGGGCCACGGCGTCCGCACTCTTGTCGACGGCGACGCAGCTCGCCTGGCGCGCACGCGACGTCAGGATTAAATAAATATTCAGGGTGCTTCTAAAAAATTTGAACACTTTTGAGAACGTGCAACAATACCACAAGAAATGTGCCTCCGGGCTGTGGAGACCACCTGGAGAAGATTCCAGGCCTGTGTTGAGAATGATGGCGAACAAGTGGAGATCGGCTTGCGTACCGCTTAGTTGAATAATGAAACGCTCCCGAGGACAAACGCACGTCTGGAAGACACGCTCCATTACTCCGTGACCTTGTTTCAAAACAAGGCGTTTCATTTCAAACTTCTCCTCTCCCACCTCGGTCGGTGGCTTAACTCCTCTCCACCACCAGGCGAGGTCAGGGAAATCTCCGAGGTTCGGCGGAGAAATTAAGGGCCGCGCGCGACGCCCTGAACGCCACCCAAATGAAGATTAACGAGGCCACCTCGACGGCAGAGTTAGCGCCAAAGTCTGCGCCGGGCGTCGATAACCCCAACCTGAACCTCCTAATCACCGCCGGATTGTTTGGACTGTATTTCTACCCGCGGCTTCCTTGATAAAAGAATGCATTAATCAGCCGTATTTTCATTTGTACAAGAGCTCAATCGCAAGGAAATGAAAGAATATTATTTTTCGCTTCTCATTATTGCGAACGATTACTGGTGCTGAAATTCCATTATGGAATGATTGGTGCCGAATTATTTTTCGTGGGTTTTTATTTAATTTAATTTATATCGTGATGAGCGCATATTCTTCAACTGAAGTGAACTATCACACTCATTGTTTTATTTCGGGTTAAAAAAACAATTAAGGGGCTTTAGTTGGCAGTGATATACGAGCACAAATTAACAATAAAATCACCACGTTTGTCATTAACAATGATAATAAATTCGACTTCTATAGCGTGCTTTATCCATGGATCGCACAGTGCTGTACACAATATACATACAAATGAAAAAACAATAAGCATAAAAACATATCAATTAAATTGTCTAAAAATAATTGTAGTACAAGGAGAGCAAGATCCTGAAGATAAAAGGAGGTGAAAGCCTTCTTAAATATGAATGTTTTTAACAACGCTGGCTTCTCTCAGAGATAGCTAGTGTTATTCATACCGTGCATGATTATAGTTCGCGATTATAATCCATTGTAAAAAAAGAACATTAGAAAATATGAAAGAATGATATTTATTAATGTAATTGTTTCGCCTTTAATTTGCTCAGTGTCCGTTTAAATCGGGCTCATCTATTATAACCGTACGAATTTACACGCCAGTTTAAGACATTCGAGTAACGATTTAACGTTACTTTTGTTTAGTTTTTATTCGGTGCCAATATTAATTCGAACTGCGCTACGGGCGTCATGCGACGATGCGTCCACTCGGAAGTCTTCCGGGCAGCAGTGCATCAGCCCCGTGTGTTGGACGACGGTCCGTGGAAGGAAGCTTCACAGAACTACTTCTGAGGCCCATTCAAGTGACTCTTTTTTTATCCACCCACCGGGGGCAACGCCTTCACATGCCACCGGAGAAAACGCGTGCCGCTGATTTGGCCGGGTCACCGTTGACAAAGAGCTTCTTAGCTTCATGGACCTAACCATGAATAAACTGACCGATTCACCGATAAATGTGTAATGTATGACAGCCAGAATGTAGCCAAATGAAGTGACAATAAGCATTTTATATGACGGTGGCGATGTGTTTGGGTGCAGTTATTCGTTCGCAGGCTGAGATCATCAACTCTCCACAGGAGGAATTCGAAACCAGGAACTTATCAGCGGTGATGCTGGCTCAGTGCTCTAAAACTCCTGAACCACCTGGCCCCCTGGAATAGTTTATTTAATTTCAAAATTCCCTTCTCAGAAAGCCCCTCGTCTTTGTGATCCTCCGTACCCCCCACCCGCCCCGTAGTGCTGGCTACAGGTACCAAGGGAGAGGCGCTCAGGATCGCGAGGGAGATGGCTCCACTCCCGCAGCCGATGTCCAGGACCCGGCTGGGCCCTCCCTGGTCTCCGGCAGCCACCAGCGATGAGCCCAGCACGGCACTCACCAGCTCCTGTTCAGGGTGCAGTGAGGGATAATGAAGGGGGCGCCACGGTAGCTAGAAGATGTTAACTACCTCGCCTGGTATACAGGAGGTCGTGGGTTCGATCCTGACCCCGACCCCGACGCCTGCTGTATATTTGGAGTTTGCGTGGATTTTTCTCCAGGTCCTCCGGTTTTTCCCTCCACATTAGAATCAAATGCGTTTAAGAGTATTTGGCTGCTATAAATGTCCACGTGATGAGTCACTACTTCTTTGAGCTATCATTTGTGATCAGGTAGCTTCTGAAGAAGAGCTAGACAGCTCAGTGGGGGCCTTACCTGGTAAAACATTTATTTTGAAAAAGGTCAAGCCCTGCAATTGCCTGCTGGCTGGCAGGAGGGGCCTTCACCAGCAAAAGCTCCAGACGGTATTTCATCTATTTATTTTTCACACGCTGACCAGACGCATTAGAAGAGGTGGGTGGGTGTACCCACACTCTACCCCACAGCACGATACCTGCCAATCGACTCACTGCAGAGTACCCATCACTACTGTTGGGTGGACCAGAGGCAAAGAAATTTAAGAAAAACTCGGCCCATTGTTTCAACTGCCACGCCGGGAGATTGAAGTACCGTGACCTCTGGATTGCAAGTCCAATGTCCTAACCGGTACGCCACACATGAGACAACAGATCCAAAGGCACACAGGGCTGTACGTGCGTGTTTATTGTCGTATGTCATTGCATATGAGGCAAACCGATAACTGTGTTTTTAACGATTTTTTAAATGTGGTTACGTGTAATGAAAGATAACGGTTTTAACAACCCCAATTAAAACCCAGGATCTCAGCGGTGTTATCGTAGTCAATGATCTCTGTGTGTGGAAAACTGCAAGGGTTATTTATTTAAAATGTAATTTCCCCCCAATTGTATCTGCATTGAGAGACAAAAAAATGCATTTTGGATTCACACACCCTGCGCTACGTAGCAGCTCACGAGAGGGGATATCACAGAGCAGCTTCTGAAATATCTTTAAGGTGACCTCCTATGCACTGTAGGGCCACAGCTCTTTCGTCACCCACCCTGGCTACAGGGATAAATGCTCATCACGTGAGTCAAAATTTTATTTTTTATTCACAGCCAAAAAACTGGAATTGAGCCAAGTCAAGTGCGGAACCCAAAAGATCGAATGTTGTGTTTCTGTGCGGCTCTTGATGGCCGAGCAGTCAACTCGCTCCGCTGGAGAACCAGAATGAATCGCAGGTGGTAAGAACCTGCGCCACTTCCACAGATGTACATGAGCACAAACACGAACACACAACACGCACAATTCAAAACTGTTCATCACTTTTATTTGCGCGCTGGGCATCAAAGTCAAATTTACGACAAACGCACAAAACCCATTTATAATTCACGGCGCTACCAGCATTAAAATAACTGTACAATTCCCCACGCATTCCATCACGCGGCCAGGGCCAAAAGCCAAACACTTGTAGGCAATTTACTTTTCTCCGTATCCTCGCCATTCCCTTTATTTTCTTAAGCATCGAGTCGATCTTGGCTCGCCCGTCTTGCACGGCCGTTCGCGGGGCTCCGAGTTACGAGCCAGTGTGGAGCGTGGGGGGGGGGTTCGAATCCAGGACCCGGCATCGCCACACGGGAGTGACGCAATAGCCGCTGGGGTAGGCAGCCGAGACTGCTCGGGGAGCCTCAACGCACCGTCTGGGGAAGGACCACTCCATATTTTCACAACGTCAATTAACCACGAAATGTATTACTTCTCCACCATCATCATCAGCCATGATCAATCGGTTGATGGACAAAGGCCTCCCCCCAAGCCTTCGCCATCTCGCATGGCCCTGCGATACGACGATCCAAGCGCCGCGACGCAGGTCCTCTTGGGGCCCGTTCCCACACCCGACTGCCACTCTCGTCTTTCCGATCCCCCGGCGGCGAGGGCTCGCACAGCGACGTGTCCAGCCCAAGCCCTCTTACTTGCTCCGAGCCCGTCAATAGCACGGTCGGCTACCTCCGGTGCGAAAGAAGTTCAACACACAGACACGTGTACAATAGCGGATAAGTGAAATCCACTAAACTATTAATTAACTAACAAAAGGTTACGTAACATAATGAGATACGGAAAACAAGTCTTGGAAACGTCAGTTGCTTCACGCTGGCTCTCTGTTATCGTGTTTCATCGCTCTCATCCGCCCCTGATCAGAGAATGAAGAGGGGCACAAAATTTTGCGGCGGCGGCATGCAGAGGTGGTACACGAGGTTGCACATGCAGATGACCATGAAGATCGCCAGCACCAACAGGAATAAGCCCGCGTTCACGTTCCACTGTAGCGCGATGAGCACGAGCGCGGCCAGGAGCGCACCCACCACCGCCAGCACGCACGCAAACAACGTCGCCCTCGGGCACCGCGGCGACACGTCCATTGTCGCGTCGCCGCCGGGGACGCTCGGCGTCGTGAGGAGAGGCGGCTCCGTCGCATCGCCGTAGCTTCCGGGGAGGCCGAGGTCCGCCCGCGGGAACCCGAGCCACCCGCCGAGCGAGACGTGCGCGGGCGTGCTCGCCGATCGGCGGAGAAAATCGGCGATCCGGGGCGCCGACGGCGGCGCGGGCGGACGGGCGGCGGCGTCCGGCGCGCGGCACGCCACGGCCGGCGCCCGGCGGCAGAAGGGGCAGCTGACGGCGGCCGAGGAGGAGGCGGCGAGCGAGCCGATCCGGCGCAGGCACTCGCCGCAGAGCGCGTGGCCGCACAGCAGGTAGCGCCGCGGGTTGAGCGCCGCGTCGTACGCGACGCAGCAGATCTCGCAGTCCTCGCCGCCGTGGGAAGGCGGGGGGAGTCGCGTTCCTGCCGTCCCGCCGGATGCCACCACCCCCGAAGCGCGGCCCGTTCCCACGCCGGCGGGCGGCTCCACGCGGACAGCTGCGAAGGTCTCCGAGGGATTCTGTTCACCCGCGGTGTTCATTGCCAGGGTGTTGGACGCGGGCTCTTGTTTCCTTTTGCCTCCGTCGTGCGCGCTCGTAGCGATGATGATGATGATGTGGAGCTCTGGAAATGACCTCCCTTCCTCTAGCAGGCTGAGTTTTAAAACAAGAGTCCGGTGTGGGTTGGTCCAATCCACGCAGCCGTTCGGCGTCAGTAATTAACTCTGAAACAATGCAATTAACCTAAAGTAAGTGCTGGTGATGTCTGCTTCTTTGTTTTGTTGAGTCTGAGCAGCAGCCCACAAATAATGGAGAGGCCAGCTGTAAGAGCGGGTGTTTGAGCAAAGCATTACATCTTTCAGCCCAGCCATGTCATTTGTTCAATGCGTTTTGTTGCTGAAGTAGCTGAAAGAGGCATTCTTATACGACCCAGGGCTGTTCAATTGCTAATTGTCGTCACGTAAGCAGGTAGGCAAGACACAGACTGCAAAAAAGACAAAGCAATGTAGTTCCAATGTGTATTGTCTTTTCAAGGCTGGTGATATATTCTGCAAAGAGTGACTCAGCCAGCAGTTACATATTTAGTAAATAATCTTCTTTTATATTGTTTTTGATACACATATATATACAGGGTGGCCTAAAAGTTAGGACACATAGGGTTATTTAATTTATTTGAATACTGAAATTAAGATATTTTCATTGTTTATTCTTTTCGTTACTATTTTATCTATTGTCATTATTATCTATTTTTCTTCTTCCTGTGGGGTAACCTCAAATCCGTCATTTACAAAACTAAACCAAGAACCCTGAATTAATTGAGACATAACATGAATTGATTAATGTTCAAAGATTACACAGGTGTAATCTTAAAGAAAAAGTCTTAGATTCGTTTCAAATATAATTCACGCATGCATTCTTGTTAGTGGACGTCAGTTTGAACATGTCAAAATAAAAAAAAGTAGTGATGGGTACTCTGTGTCATCCTACTGGACATCTGAGCTTCATAGCTTATTGGATTCCTCCGGTATAAATAAATATTCATATTCCGATCTGGTTAAGTGCAACATAAAACGTTTAGTACATATACTTACATTAAATATATACAGTAGTTGTAGAGTTAAATGTTTGAGTTTTAACGTGGCATTCTTCGATTAAAAAACTCTGCGCCCCCTTAGAATTGAGCCACGGCCACTTCTCTGTAACATACACACGCCAAGCACAAATGTGCCCCGCTCAGCCTTATAGACTGTTGGGCTAAGTGCTGTTCGCGAGTACCTATTAATGCTGATCATTTTGGCGATACTGTGTTGGCGGTTGCACATTTGCACAGGTAACACACGCGCACAAAAACAAAACCCATTTAGGAAATTAATTTGCGTGTGCATGTTACATCCTGGCCCGTGAGAGAACACGTGCGCATACAAAGGCGACGTTTTGGCTAATGTTTTGTCATGAAGGGCGGTGAGGTACAAGAGGGGGTTGGCGTGGCGAGCATCATGTCTGGCGGCTGCCTTTGTCTGACGTTAATACTCTCCACCGATGTTAGCCACGGCCAGGAATTAAACTCGGCTTTGAGGTGGGGTTTCGTAGCACACACACACACAGAATGCACACGTACGATTTCAATTCCAAAATGTTTCTAAATGCGACGGCGTGTCTAAAAACGCCGTACTTAGCAGGAGACACGTGATATTTATAACGTAGTGTGTCTGAGCAATGAGGGACATAAATTAGGAAAATGTTTTATGGCTACCAGATTTAGTTAAAGAGAAAGGATGTGCAAAGGCTTGTCGTAATGTGTAAACGTGGGCAATAAAGCATCTCCTAATTTCAAGACCATATGTTCCATCTTGGCTCTCATCCTGACCCATCCTTCATTCACTGCAGCAGCCTTGGTGAGATTTCAGCGGAATTTGTGAATAAACCACACACGGAACTCTCTTTCCTGAAATATGTTCCTTCCGCTTGCCACTGTAGTAAGGATGTATCAATCCATTGGAACAACTTTGAATTTGTTAAGAGTGGTTTTTTAAAATTCTCTCATAAATTATAATTGTTTCACCATAGATCATTCCAGGTCAAAACATTCAGCGT